AAGTACACAACAAAGGAGCCACACGCACATCTGTCGGCCAATCAGAGCAGAGCATGGAGTCATATGATCAGCAGCAGTGACCCACTTTCACACACGGTTATGGGTTATGTAACAGATGCTACAGCGGGAGCAAACAAGGCTTAAAGCTGGGGTCTGTAACTTCTGTCTCATAGATACACATGCTAAAGCTGGGGTCTGTAACTTCTGTCTCATAGATACACATGCTAAAGCTGGGGTTTGTAACAGCCACATAAATAATGTTTGATGGTCCCATATTTCATTCTTTTCATTTTTCCCAGTCCATCCTAAGCAAATATCTGATAATAAATTGAGTGACACACTCAAAACTTGTGAAATTATAGTAATTTCTTGCATCGAGGTGATGTCCCTGCCTGTGAGCACACCTGACCTGACTTTTTACCTCCAACCTTTTTTACCTTTTTCCAGCAATGGAAAATAGAGCCTCATGTCCTCAATCCAGAATCGGACCCTAATTATTTGGTTAACACTGATATACAGCGAGTTAGTTGAACTGCACAGATCTCGGCTCCTCTTTAGCATCTTTTATTGTGGGATCAGCTTTTGAGTAAGTCCTGTTTCAAAGTAAACCAGGTGTCTTTGGTAAAGTGTCACTCGCAGGTAAACAGATTTGTCACGGATTTCAGAGGCAGATCCCTGTGAGTAAAGAGTCTAGCCACATTTGCCGCATTCTTTGTCTTCGGGCCAAATAGTGTTGTCACATATTTACACCCAAAAAGACATTTTCTCTAAGTTGACATAATGCTAACACTTTCAATCTACGAAAATTGCAGAAAAACAGCATATGTGAGGGTAACACAGACTGTGGTAGATGCTGGACTCGGGAAAAGGCTATGCACGCTGTTTTGATTTCCCCCCATCACCTCCGGGAGGCGGGCCTCTGCAGCTCGTGTTGTGTCATTGATGTTGTGCCACGTCATCAGTGTGGGCCGAGGACTTTTGCTACCTTTCAAGAATAAAAGATAAAGATTGCTCTCTAACTAAAGCTTGAGGAATAAGCGATCTAAAGATGTGACAGAGGCCAAACATACATCATGTGAAAACTAGTGATAGAAGCAAACTGTTGTAGAGCCAGGAACTGGAACAGGATAAATGTCCATATAAGGAAATCGGCTACAGCAAGCTTCTGTTCATATCGGCCTCTTCTGCATTCAGGCACCACAACACTACAGTGATGTCACACCGTTATGATGTCATACCGTTGTGATGTCACACCGTTGTGATGTCACACCGTTGTGATGTCACACCGTTGTGATGTCATACAGTTGTGATGTCATACAGTTGTGATGTCATACTGTTGTGATGTCATACTGTTGTGATGTCACATCATTGTGATGTCATACTGTTGTGATGTCACATCGTTGTGATGTCACATTCTGGTTAGGGCTCGGCGATATGGCAAAAAAGTAAAGGGCTAGGGTCAATTTTATTTCCTGCTTTGGACAAATTCGATTTTAAATCGATTTCATTAAAGTCACAAAGACAGAGTTTACAACTATTTTTAATTTGTTTTCCCCAATATGTATTCTAAAAGTCTTACACAGACTGTGCTGATATTGCAAGTATAATTCATGTGCTGCTGGAACCCTCACAAGGTCCTTCATTCCATTTCAGGCTTTTCACATTTTTCACAAACTCAATTCTTTCAAAAGCCGATTAATTGCCTAAATTCGATTTATTGCCCAGCCCTAATTCTGGTGAATAAACTCAATACTGAGTTTTAATAAAACATGAATCACTGAGGAAATGAAACAGAAATAAAGCTGCTCAGAAAGACCTCTCCCTCTCTCTCCTCCCCCCCTCCCCTCCTCACTTCCTCTGTTTGGGGATCACTGACTTGTTTTGCAGAATAACAATCAAATGTTTTAAAAACTTGGAAACTGAGCGACTGCTTACATTCTGCATACATAAATACACACAGACACACACACACACGCCACACACGTGCTGGAAAAGAGGAAGATTTATACTGCAGCTCAATACGCTCAACATCAAAGAGACTGAAACAAAACTAGGATCAACTCATCCACAAGCACAGGTGTAATGTGAGGTCTGTAACACAGGTGTAATGTGAGGTCTGTAACACAGGTGTAATGTGAGGTCTAAAACACAGGTGTAATGTGAGGTCTGTAACACAGGTGTAATGTGAGGTCTGTAACACAGGTGTAATGTGAGGTCTGTAACACAGGTGTAATGTGAGGTCTGAAACACAGGTGTAATGTGAGGTCTGAAACACAGGTGTAATGTGAGGTCTGAAACACAGGTGTAATGCGAGGTCTGAAACACAGGTGTAATGCGAGGTCTGAAACACAGGTGTAATGCGAGGTCTGAAACACAGGTGTAATGCGAGGTCTGTAACACAGGTGTAATGCGAGGTCTGTAACACAGGTGTAATGCGAGGTCTGAAACACAGGTGTAATGCGAGGTCTGAAACACAGGTGTAATGTGAGGTCTGTAACACAGGTGTAATGTGAGGTCTGTAACACAGGTGTAATGTGAGGTCTGTAACACAGGTGTAATGTGAGGTCTGAAACACGTGTAATGTGAGGTCTGAAACAGGTGTAATGTGAGGTCTGTAACACAGGTGTAATGTGAGGTCTGAAACACGTGTAATGTGAGGTCTGAAACAGGTGTAATGTGAGGTCTGTAACACAGGTGTAATGTGAGGTCTGAAACAGGTGTAATGTGAGGTCTGAAACAGGTGTAATGTGAGGTCTGTAACACAGGTGTAATGCGAGGTCTGAAACACAGGTGTAATGCGAGGTCTGAAACACAGGTGTAATGCGAGGTCTGAAACACCGGCACCTAAGAATCTAAAGTGCCAGTGTTTCCTGCTACACTCAGTGCGCACACACACACAGGGGAGGGTGAACTATGTATGGGGTGGCACCCTCTCCACCTGTAGAAGGAGCACTCTCAAATACAGCAAAGCACACTGAATGACCTCTGTGTATAAAATGGGTTATATAAATAAACTTTAACGAAGGAGTGAATAAATAAACCAAAAATAAATTCAAATGCAGTTCCTACAGAGTGGATGTTTTCGTTCCAAGCCACTTGTATACTACAATATAGACAAATAGACAATAAACAGAATCTTGAGCCTAAGTTGATTAGCATTACTACTTTTGTATTCATTTGATTGAATATTGTTCCTATACATAGTTCCCACATGACGTCACTACATACGGGGATTTGCCGACCCGGCGCCATTTGTCTTGGCATTCTGTGGGCAAAACAATAGAAAAAGAAGCTGAAACGTGTTAATGTCGTGATAAAGTTGAAAATGGTCATCTCCTGCTGGGTCAATGGATGTTCAAATCGTGCCGGAGGTTCTGTTAAACTTAGATTTTACAGTATACCCATCATTAGACTTCATGAATGTGAGAAGACTAAGCTTTTGTCAGAACAACCACGGAGGTTATGGCTTGCGAAGATAAACAGGCAAGAAACTCCCTCAAAACACGCAAGAATATGCTCGGAGCACTTTGTGTCAGGTGCGTATCGTATCTTATAATGTGTTGACAGACGTAATTTACTCAGTACTAACTTGTGTATGCTGATATCTGGTAACTTGAGAGTTTCATTATTTAGCGTTAGATTACTTTATTATGAGGAGGATCGGTGTCGCGTCCGAGGCTCTCGAGGGCAACGTAAATGTATTAAATAGATTATAATAGTTCTATGGTGGGCTAAAACAATGTTCACAAACAGCATTGCTTCTGTAAAAAGATCTGTGTCATAAAATAAACTGCTCTTTACGCCTGGAAAAATCAGTTGCCCACCATTCACCAAAACATACGGTCAAAAACGCGGAAATAAACAATAACAGCAATCCAGAGTGTCCGTGTGGCATTAGCATTAATTAAATTAATTGTTAATATAATTAAAATAATTAAATGGAGCTCCAACTGGTATTAAATCTAAAGTTTTTGAGAAATGTTTGCATTGCTTGTTAATTTTTGCTGCATAATTTGATCAAATATGTAAAACATGTCCGTAGCACGTTAAACTGTGGTGCCATTGTATTAATATACAATTATTTGCTCAAAAGTTGCCCTTTTTTCAAATTTGCGTTTGAATATCTACATTTATTCTCATTCTTCTGTTTAATGGAATGCACAAACACAGCAGCGTGCCATCAAAGATGGCGTCTCCGAGGAGGTCATGTGACATTCATTGGTCTGTGGGAACTATGTATAATCGGACAGTCGTAAAACAATTCATTTAAAAGCTCATTTATAAATCCTATGTGTTTCATCAAGAAACAAGTAAAAACTATTATGGGCTGTTTTATTTGGGAATTCTCGCGAGTTTTGGGCTGGAAACACTCGCTGGCATCTGACAACACTGACCGACTTCTTCCGTATTAAGGCTAACTGTGGTGATGTCACACTGTGGTGATGTCACACTCGCTCAGTCCATTCCTGATACAAAACTGGACTTCTATGGTTTTGCGAAGAGGCAGATAATTTATGTCTCACACAGATAAACTATATATTGACATAACTGACAAATTATTGACAGGCTCCAACTGACATTAAAGACATAAAGAAATATGTTGTTTCAGTGTCTGCGGTTTTACACGGAGCAGAGGACATACTGTTTATGTTACAGACCTGGTTTCTGGGTTCAGTCCTGGTCCACATGTTTTGTCTCGTCTCACACAGCAGTTTTGTGCCACACTCAGACTAAAAACACTCGTTATGTAATTACACCAATCCTCCCCTGGTCTCAGTCCTGGTCTCTGTCCTGGTCTCTGTCCTGGTCTCTGTCCTGGTCTCTGTCCTGGTTTAGTCCTGGTCCTAGTATAGACCCTCTTTAGTCCTAGTCCTTCTTTAGACCCAGTTTAGACATGCTTTAGACCTAGTGCAGACTTGGTTTGGACCTAGTTTCAACCAGTTGTAGACCTGGCGTCAGTAACAATATGTAATAACCCACACATTACATAAGGCACTCACCCACAACACGTCCTCTCTGTTCCAGGCGTCGTGAGTCACATCTAAGGCCACAGTCCAAGCCCTGAGTCCCGGCTCTGCTTTGGCCCTTCGCTGCGGTGCTCTGGTTCTGCTCTCCCGGCCTGTTCTGGTTCTGCTCTGCGGGCCTGCTGTGTCCCTCTTTGGCCCTAGGCACGCTCTTCAGCCCGGTCCCCTGGTTCCCCTCTCGGGCCTTTTCTCTGCCCACACCGCACTGCTCCTGCTCGGTCTGAATTTGCACTCGCAGTCGGCGGTTCTCCTGCTCCTTGGAGGCCGTCTCCAGCAGCAGGTTATTAAGACTGCATCCCACGGTCTTACTGATCTCCTGCACGGCCAGATGCACCACCTGCTCCAGCACGGACTCCAACTGGCCTTGGAAGAAGGAGATATACACGGGCCCGTTCATGATGCTGCAGCCGCGAGGAGAGCAGCGAGGCCCGGGGAGAGAGGCGCGAAGCCCGTCGGGGAGAGGCGTGAGGCCCGGGTAGAGATGTGAGACCCGGGGAGAGATGCAAGAGACCGGGAGAGAGCAGCGGAGCCCGAGCAGAGAAAGGAGGGGCGTGTGTGGAGACTTAAGGCCGATGCTGAGCGCTTCGGAGGCCGCCTGTGCTGCACTCTGGTCCCGCAGACACACTACCGTAATGTCGGTGAAAAGACGCAGATCTCACGCCCACATGCTTCTGTTGTGGAGGACCAGGGGAGCCGCCATTTTGGAGACTGCAGCACCGAGACCGAACCAGGTCTGCGGAGAGGCGAGCCGGATAAAGACAGTGTTATTCACTGTTTCTGTGAATATATTTAAGAATAATTATAATGTAACATTGATGTAATCTCAAACCTGCAAGCGGCGATGAACAGCCCTTGCCTTAACATTGGAGCACAAAGATCTGAGTTTCACATCTCTCTCTAGCCTCTCCCTGGTCTCTAACTTCTCTCTGTGTTTTCTCTCTCTGGTCTCTCTCTGGTCTCTCTCTGGTCTCTCTCTCTGGTCTCTCTCTGGTCTCTCTCTGGTCTATCTCTGGTCTCTCTCTGGTCTCTCTCTGGTCTCTCTCTCTGGTCTCTCTCTGGTCTCTCTCTGGTTTCTCTCTCTGGTCTCTCTCTGGTCTCTCTCTCTGGTCTCTCTCTCTGGTCTCTCTCTCTGGTCTCTCTCTCTGGTCTCTCTCTGGTCTCTCTCTGGTCTCTCTCTGGTCTCTCTCTCTGGTCTCTCTCTGGTCTCTCTCTGGTCTCTCTCTCTGGTCTCTCTCTGGTCTCTCTCTGGTCTCTCTCTCTGGTCTCTCTCTGGTCTCTCTCTGGTCTCTCTCTCTGGTCTCTTTCTGGTCTATCTCTGGTCTCTCTCTGGTCTCTCTCTGGTCTATCTCATGGGGAGTTTATGTCGTTGCTACAGCAACACATTGACAAATAAAACATAGGACTCGTTGATCAGGAGCCAAAACTGAAAGATGTGCAACTTATTTTAGAATTTTAGTTTAAAGCAGCCCCAAAGCAGAACTAAAACAGGTCACTAGAGAGCAGGACATTTTACATAATATTTCTCCTTTAAACAGTCACGGTCCCTCCCTCCCTGGGCCTCTCCCCATTGGTCCTCTCCTAGTCTTGGCCCCGCCCTCCCTGACTCGCTTCCCATTGGTCACTTTGGCTTTAACTGGTCACATGTTTCCTTTACCGTAACTCCGGTTGTGGTGCGCATGTGTGTTTGGGGGGAGTGGCAGGAGCACGAGCAGTGCTGTTGTCATGACGTCACGGGCCTCAAACGGACACAAGCAGTGTGTATAATTTGTTGTTTTTGAAGACGCTGCACTCGGTGACCGGAAATACATAAATACAACATAAAGACTGACCATAATAGAAAACATGAAGGCCATATGTTTAGACACACAGTTTAGAATGTTGTTCAAGCTGCCCTTGCTTCCCAAACTGTGGTCTGCACCACTGCAGATTCATCCCATTCAAAACAATGGAATTATTAACCCTTCAGAGTCTACTGCGTCACATGCGCCAGAGGTGTCCAAACCGGTCCAGAAAGGGCCGTTGTGGCTGCAGGTTTTCTCAGATCCAGGAGGAGCAAAGCAGACTCCACCCATCAAGTGAGTTCAGTCCATGGATCTATGATAATATCTGGATAGGCTTATCTGCTATCTACTAACTATCTACTAGCTTATCTGCCCCACCAAAGGGCAGTGGGGGCGCCCCATGGATCTACAACAATAACTGGATAGGGTATTAATAGCTTATAGCTGTCCCACCCATGGGCACAGGGGGCGCCGTGGTACTGCAGACTAAATTCACGCGGGCTACCCATAAAAAAGTCCCATAGAACTCAAATTAAACTAAAACAGCTCGACCTCAGCTGACAGAGAACCTACAGCTTTCATAAAGATCGGATTTTGTGGGGATTTTAGTGTTCCTTGTCATCCTGAACTTTTTTTCTTCTTAAATCCTTCACTTTTCTTTAAATCCACACTTTACTGCCACAAACTCTGCTCCTTTCCTTCCCGCTCTGGCTCCGCTCTGCTGCTGCTCTGATCAGAAGCTCTGATTGGTCAAAGCGCAGCCGAGCCCCTCTGTGCTTGTGTACTAGCCTGGCCATAGCCATCCGAACACTCCGCTCAATCATCATTTCACTGCATGTAGCGTCCGGGTCGGGTCCCTGTGTTAGCGAATACAATCGGTCGTATTTCGACCGGGTACTCAGAGAGTAGCGGGTGTCGTAGGTCGGTGCCGGTGACGTCAAGAGTTTGCGCCGAACGGGCAGGTTGTAGTTTGGCAGTGGCGAAGAATGCGATAGTAAAGTAATCTGGTCTGGTTCTATCAAGAAATTGAAGGCGGAGCAAGAGGAATGTTTAGCAAATGTAATCGCTGGTCAAGATTGTGGCGCTACTCCCCACGGGCTCCGTTAGCGGCAATGGAGATGGCTAGGCTAAATGCTAACAACAGACTCGGGTGCATAACATACGTCACGATAAACTCAGATCCAATCGTTTCAATCTGCAAAAGGAGTTAACCCCTCCCACCTGTTCATGGAGCTCAATGGAGCAAATCCAGACCTTAGTACGAAATGTAATTTGTACTATGGTGTGGTACAACCAGGCTACTCGTGTACGAGGCTCTCCATGGTCTCGCACCAAAGTACATTTGTGACATGTTGGTGGCATAGGAACCAGCCCGGACTCTGAGGAGCACAGGAATTAGCCTCCTGCTTGTACCCAGGATCAGGACTAAACATGGGGATATAGCGTTTCAGATGTGTGCTGCAACAATGTGGAACAGTCTTCCTGAAAGGCTTCTTCTCTGACCATGTTCAAATCCGAGTTAAAGACTGTTCTGTTTGCCTGTGCATACAACTGAACGATTTTTTTCTCTACTCTTTTTAATACATGGTTGTTATTAATGGTTTTGATTACTTTTGTGATTATAATGTTTTGGTATTTTTGATTACTTGTGTGATATGGACTGTGCACCATGTGCACTTGTATATTGTAAATAGTAATTGTAACTCTATTTTAAATTTAAATGTATTCCTTTGAAGTGTTTTTTATTTTTTATTATCTCTTTCTGACTGTTGCACTGAGCCAAAGCAATTTCCAAGTCTGTGACTTCCTGTTACTTACGTGGCAATAAAAATGATTCTGAACCACTTTGTGTTACCCTGTGTAGGAAAATCTCTCTACAAGTAAATATTTATTGATTTATTATCTATTTATTTTTTATCAACATAAATATATTTATCTATATATTTATACATGTCGTGTTTGTATATATTACATGTTTTTCCACATTTCCCTGTTCTGTTATTTGTTGTTTTTTATTGTTGTTTATGTTTTTGTTTTCATTGAGAAGTATACTCGTGTCCCATCATGCCCCGCGCAGATGCTAACGCTAATGCTAACAGCTAACAGCGGAGCTCGGACTGAATCCCCCGGAGTTTCCCCTGCCTCCTGCCCGCCTCCAGAGCCCCTCCTGCCGGCCACACAGACCTCCACAGCCGGGCACGCAGAGGCAGGCCCCCGGTCCACCCCTGGAACCCCAAAATGATTAAACTTTTCTCCCTCAAACAGCAGAAAAAGGACGAAGAATCCGCCGGAGCGAACAGGAGCGGCAGTGGGGGCAAGAAGGCCAGTGCTGCCCAGCTCAGGGTGCAGAAAGGTGGGTGTGTGTGGGTGTCAGGGCACGGTGGATGTGGAGACCCGGGGTAGAGGCTCCAGACTTGGGGACACATCCACTCTGGACCCATAAACAGACCCTCTGCTGCCGGGACTCAGCTCAGGCTAACGCCGCTAGCCGAGTATGCTAACGGCTAATGGCTAGCATGACAACAACACGTCCATAAAGACTAGTGTTGAGACAAATCGAATAATCGTGTTTCGAGTTCAGGCGGTGATGAGTTGGCTAGTTGATTTTTCCAGCTGTTATTCCTTTCGTCCATTCATTGTGAGACACATTCCCCCCAGTCACACTCACATTCAAACCATGTTACAAAGTCTTATTATTGACATGAAATACAATAACTTGTGTAAAGATTGTGCTGTCTTTATCACAAAAGTTGTGGCCGAGTGTTCTGGAACCTGTACAGCCCAGTTCAGCATCAGAATGTCCACAACTACTCATTTCCACTGAGCAAAAACCCCTGGTGCTGGTGTATTAAAGGTATATGGTAGGATTTTCTTTTTCTGGGCGGATCATCAAGACTATTGGTCCTCCTAATTGTCAATCATTCTAGTGATATGTGACGTAAGCCCGTCGTACGTGCTTGTCAAACAAGTTGAGTGCTTTTGAGAGATTCTTTCACACTATGGCTTGTGCTGAAAGCCCAGGTTGGGGTTCTCGCTGATGCTTCTAGGGCAAAGTTAAAGTTTGGCATTCTATTTGGAGAAATCCATTTCAAATCACTTACAAATAAAATTTATCTGCATCTATATCGTCTGACATTATGGAATAAGTGCAAATCTTGTTGGATATTTTGTGAGATTTCTTTGTTACAGCTTTCATTAATAGTGTCTTAAACAGATGAAGTGAGATCATGGTTAACCTGGAAGTAACAATTAACGTTGATATAACTTTTCAGAAGGAGTTTGCATCGGTTGGTAAACTCACAGCAGATGTCCAGAATTATTGGATCAGTTTTCGAGTTGAGCTCAGCCACATGTTTGTCAAACAGGAAGTGGTGACGATCCGGGCCACATGGCTTAGTTTGTTCGTAAAAACCTATGTGACCATCCCCTGAGTCTGTTTTGAAGCGCGCTGAAATCCGACAAATTACAGGTGTAATTTAGACTCTATACATTGTTTTCTGTCACAATATGAACATCGTTTTTGGTCGTTTTTGCTGATTGCTTTGCTATGTCTCCGCAATCATCTCCGTCTAAACGGGCCGAACATATGTAAAAACCCAGCAACAACAACGGCTGGCCGACAAAGGGGAATATGATTGTGACAGCGCAAAAAGAAATTGTAGATAAAAAGAGAAAGGTCTCAGGTCTCAAGTTTGGCTGTATTTTGGATTTTTACGTCTTTAAATGACTCAGAGCGATGAGTCTGCAAACTTTGTTGTCCCTAAGTTTGGGAACACGGCACATTTATTTTACCACCTGAGCTTGTCTCACCTATTGGAGTACAGCAGTATAAAAACTGCAATTTATTTATATTTGTATATTGCTATCAGTATGGCCTTAAAGGGGACATATCATGAAAAATCCACTTTTTGTGCCTTAAATGCCTTATGTTGTGTAGTTGGAGCCTCTAGAAGTGCAAAAAAGTTGAAATCAGTCTCTTCATGGGTTGCAGAGAACACTTCATATTCTTTTTAGGTAAGATTTTTCAACCCGTTCTGATTTTGCCATTCTCTATTACGTGTTTAGAATTATTACGTCACAGTATTTGCAGCGAGACTGCTATATAAGAGCATGGGCGTCTAACAAAGCACTTCGGCCCAGCCCTCCTCTACTGTGCATCACTTCGAATTTGTAGTCCAAGCTCAAGGATGCGAGCGAACAGGGCTGGACTGGCCATCGGGCGTACCGGGCAATGCCCAAAGGGCCGATGCCCATATTTGGGCCGGTCTGTCTGCCTCATACAAAACACATGTTTATGAGAAGTGTAAATCCGTTGAGAATTGTTCGAGCGGGGCGCGCATATCCGCGGGGCCCCTGCTGTATGTACTTGAACAGGATTCCGCCACCTCAGCGGCCACAGTGTTCCGGGGCATCTGCGGCCGCTTTGTAATGAGCAGCTTCCGCGTCCAGCGGCTGCGAGAGGCTGTGAGCGTCCAGCCGCTCGCAGCCGCTCCACCGTGTTGTGGCTGAGCGCGCAGCCTCATCGTGGCCATGTACTCAACCCCATAAACGCGCACAGGAACATGCGTGTCTTTGAGTAATCTGTGCACCCAATAAATACACTGCTGCAGGAAACAGTCCGCGTCTCCCCTCTCCTCTTGAAGCGCGATTAAACGCCCTAAATAAAGCTCTGATACCTACATTTTGCATTGCATTAAAAGTTCATGTTTGAGCCCAAAAGTAATATGTTGTGAACAAATTAAACAGATTTAGAGCCAGCAAATGGCTGACAATATGCATTTCTGTCTTTTTTGACCAATTCTCATCCCTGTAACAAACAATAGTGTTGTCTGTGTCCACCTCCCTCACTCTGAGACATGTTTATTACCCTCTTGTAATGTAGACTATTGCATTTTATTTTATTGTTGAAACTGCACATATCCTGATCCTCTACAGTATTTGCTTCCACATACTGTATAAACTAGGAGTTGGCAACCTGCGGCTCCGGAGGCGCATGCGTCTTTTTCCTTCTGTAGAAGGAAAAACGTTCTTAACGTTTTTAAATGCTGTAAAATTGTGCATGAGTAATTTTCCATTAAAACATTTCTGGGGGCGACAGTGGCTCAGTTGGTAGAGCATTGGCCTTTGAGTCTGAAGGTTGTGGGTTCAAGCCCACCATAAGACCTACTTCACAACTCCCACTGATGACTGCTGTCGTTGTGCCCTTGGGCAAGACACTTAACCCCACTTTGCCTGAAGCCCCCATTGAAAGATCTCAGCTCCTGTGGACTCACCACCTGCAGGAGGATCAGTGAGGGGCTGGTGCTAAGTGTACTGGGTGCAGCTCTGACTGCCACCCCCCCAACCCAGAAATGGATTAAGGGGAAGAAAATGGATGGATGGATAATTTTCCATTAAAACATTTCTGTCAACGTGTCAAACCGGCGTGTGAGCATCATAGACTGTGCGCATGGATCCCAAAGCTAAAAAGAGAAGAGTCGATAATAAGACTGGACTAAGAATGAAAATTAACATTTGCTTTCAGTCAATGATGAAGGCCTGCTTCATGTTTGCGATGTAATGAGAAGTTTCTATGAGATAATTGTATCTGTGCTTAGAAACTACAAAAATGGCTGCTCGGGGTGGAGTTGAACCTGTGTCACCTGGATGGGGGCGTGGTCAAAAGTGCCTCATTTGCATTTAAAGAGACAGCACCAAAACAGGTTGCTCTCAGACGCACCTCAGAACAGGTGTAGAAGAAAGGCCTGTGGAGCTACAAATAATGAGACTCAGACCCAGGCATTGCAGTTACGCTTTATATAGGCCACAAATTAAGGATTTAGATGTAAAAATCAATTATTTGAAAACACGATATGTCCACTTTAAAGCCTGAGTTGTACACTGCTTATTCCTTAGTTACAAAATACTATGTCAGTTGGATTAAGCATTTATTTGCACATCAACCTATATTTTTATTTAATTGCCTGCTTTTCATAACATTGACCTTGTTTTAAAGGTAAAAGTATTTCAAGTCAGCCTTTCTTTCCTTTGGTCTTTATTAAGAACAGGTTTAATAACACAAATGTATGATTTTTGACATCCACTGATGCTCCACTGACGCTAAGATCATATCCAGATATCAGTTTCCTTCTGTCCACGATTACAGTTTTAACAGACTCTGAACGCGCTCTCAACTCGCTGCAGGCAGGCGGTAGCTCTAATCCTCACGGAGCCCCTGTGAGTTAGCTCTAATCCTCACGGAGCCCCTGTGAGTTAGCTCTAATCCTCATGGAGCCCCTGTGAGTTAGCTCTAATCCTCACGGAGCCCCTGTGAGTTAGCTCTAATCCTCACGGAGCCCCTGTGAGTTAGCTCTAATCCTCACGGAGCCCCTGTGAGTTAGCTCTAATCCTCATGGAGCCCCTGTGAGTCAGCTCTAATCCTCATGGAGCCAGTGTGAGTTGGCTCTAATCCTCATGGAGCCCCTGTGAGTTAGCTCTAATCCTCATGGAGCCAGTGTGAGTTGGCTCTAATCCTCATGGAGCCCCTGTGAGTTAGCTCTAATCCTCATGGAGCCCGTGTGAGTTAGCTCTAATCCTCATGGAGCCCATGTGAGTCAGCTCTAATCCTCATGGAGCCCGTGTGAGTCAGCTCTAATCCTCATGGAGCCCGTGTGAGTTAGCTCTAATCCTCATGGAGCCCATGTGAGTTAGCTCTAATCCTCATGGAGCCCGTGTGAGTTAGCTCTAATCCTCATGGAGCCCGTGTGAGTTAGCTCTAATCCTCATGGAGCCCGTGTGAGTTAGCTCTAATCCTCATGGAGCCCGTGTGAGTTAGCTCTAATCCTCATGGAGCCCGTGTGAGTCAGCTCTAATCCTCATGGAGCCCGTGTGAGTTAGCTCTAATCCTCATGGAGCCCCTGTGAGTTAGCTCTAATCCTCATGGAGCCCGTGTGAGTTAGCTCTAATCCTCATGGAGCCCGTGTGAGTCAGCTCTAATCCTCATGGAGCCCGTGTGAGTCAGCTCTAATCCTCATGGAGCCCGTGTGAGTTAGCTCTAATCCTCATGGAGCCCGTGTGAGTCAGCTCTAATCCATTTTATTTTTTCAGATATAAATGAGTTAAATTTGCCGAAAACGTGTGAGATCAACTTTCCCGATGATGATGACCTGCTCAACTTCAGACTCATCATCTGCCCTGATGAGGTGTGTGTGTGTGTGCGCTTGTGTGTGTGTGTGTGTGTGTGTGTGCGCGTTCGTTCGTTCTAAAAGCTGTTTGTGTTTCAGGGTTTTTACAAAGGAGGGAAGTTTGTGTTCAGTTTTAAGGTGAGTTTGGCCTGAATCCCAGGTCTGTGAATATAACACATGGAGAGACAAACATATATGTTGCATGTTCTCCTCATGTCTGTTTCCTGTGGGTGCTACGGTTTCCCCTGTCACTAAAAACATGTATAAGTATTATTATTCAGCTGATGTTACTGAGTAGGCGTGGTCAGCCTGATTGACCATGCCCTCTTGCGCCTGGTGGTCTCTGGAGGAGGGTGTCTCATGTGTGGGACAAGAGGAAGAGGTCTTAAGCCGCGTTCAGACCGGATCATGCGTTGCGGCGACTTTCAATGCAAAGTCAATGGTGATGCGTGCTCGAGCGTGGAACTGCATGTGTGTCTCGGCACAAACACAGACTGCGCGGTAGAGGCGCAGGAGCGGAAAAAAATCGACGCACGCAGGAGATATAAACATTGCGGAACTTTTCCCTCTGGACGCTCGTGCAGTGTCCAATCAGAGTGACGAAAAGTGGTCACGGGTACATTAGCGGTCTGAGCGAGCAGACTGAATATACTCGTAAACAGCCAAAACAGGAGCTACACCAGGACTTAAACCAGGGTTGACAATGGGGGACATAGTGCTTGTGAACATATGCGTTCTCTTGCTCCCGTGACTGTATACAACTGCTTCGAGTGTGTTTGCCGATGCGGAAATACCGTTTAATAATAAAATAAACGTATTGTTTAACGTATGAGTTATACGTTAGCGTAACATATAGCTCATACTGCTGTTGTATAAAGTCTCTGGAAGGTCTCTGGACACTACAGTCGTTGCAGAGTTGTATTATTGGAGAAGAACTTTACACTATAAGCCGCTAGCTTAACCACCGTTAGCATCATTACGCTACTTCCGGCGGGCTTCTGGCCCGCTGGCCAGGACTTCTGGTCTTCCTAGTGTCTGAAATTTAGAGAATGAGCGTCTGGTGCGCGCGGAAGCTGGTCTCCCCTGTGTCTCTCTTGTGTCTGCCCAGTGTCTCCTACTGAAGCGCAATCAAAACTCACAAAATTAAAGCTTGGGTACCTACATTTTTCGGTTGGATTAACATGTTGGTTGTGCACAAAAGTAAAATTTTGTGAACAAATCAAACAGAACACACCACAACAGGCGTCTTGTATTTTATTTTGCATACCCGATAGAAGCTATACCTGATTTTTATTCTAAAGAGTTCATAAAAATGCTTATTACTACATACAAGTTGTATAACAATCTGTAATTTAATTGAAAACTTGAGCTCATTGATTCGGCTTGTGTATGGGCTGGGCGATATGGCTGAAAACTATATCACAATATGAGTAATTCATATCGGATGATAACAATATATATTGATAAAAATATATATATATATTCTAAATAAATACATTTGTCACGTCGGCTCACACGCGTTGGCCGCCTTGTTTACAGTCATTTTACAGTCTGATAGCCGCATGTGCTTCCCGAAAAAAAGTGAATCTCTTGCTCTCGCCGAATGCATCGGGTCTCTGTGTCCACTGCCTCTCCCGCCGCACATGCTGTTCCTCGCACCGACGTGCATCATCATTGACACGGCATTGAAAAACAATCTATAGATCCGTGGACACTACGCATGGTGCGGTTGTTGTTTTTGCGGTTCATGTTTGGCTGTGATAGGTCGAGAAGCCTCTGCCTACATCCCCCAGAATGCTGCGCGCTTCTGACTCTACTTTACTTCCTGTGTTTTCCTCCTGTTTATTCTAACGGAGTGAAGTTAAACTATCGAACATTCTATCAAACCTGTTTTCTTTTGATATAGTACACTTGTCTATCGCAATATATATTGTTATCGTTTTATCGCCCTGCCCTAGGTTGACACAAGTCTTTTTCATACAATTAAAATTGACTGTCTGCAGGTCGGACAGGGATACCCCCACGACCCTCCCAAGGTGAAGTGTGAGACCATGGTCTACCACCCCAACATCGACATGGAAGGAAACGTGTGCCTCAACATCCTGCGGTCAGACACACACACATACTGCAATACACACACAAACACTGTAACACACAGAGATGGACACACTAATAACACATTAACCCTGCGTTCTTGTTTCAGAGAGGACTGGAAACCTGTGCTCACGATAAACTCCATCATCTACGGCCTTCAGTACCTTTTCCTCGTGAGTCTCTCTCTGAACACAAACACATCACATCTTCAGCTCAGCTTTTTCAGACAGAAAAGTAAAAAAGAGCAGACCACCCTCAGTCAATCTGCTCTCAACCCAAAGAATCAAATAGTGACTCAGAGGACGCAAAAGAAAACATGTTTTCTGAAGACTGCATACTCGCCACGTACTCCAGCTTTAAACATGTTATTTATGAGGCTAAAGTTACTGACCCCAGCTTTAAACATGTTATTTATGAGGCTAAAGTTACTGACCCCAGCTTTAAACATGTTATTTATGAGGCTAAAGTTACTGACCCCAGCTTTAAACATGTTATTTATGAGGCTGAAGTTACTGACCCCAGCTTTAAACATGTTATTTAAAAGACTAAAGTTAGGTCTCTGAGCTTTTCTCTCTTCCCTCAGGAGCCTAACCCTGAAGACCCGCTGAACAAAGAGGCCGCAGAAGTGCTGCAGACGAATCGTCGTTTGTTTGAGCAGAACGTTCACCGCTCCATGAGAGGAGGCTACATTGGCGCCACCTATTTCGAACGCTGTCTGAAGTGATGGCCCACAAGCCCCGCCTATGAGACCGCCTGGCCCTGCCCCTCACACCTGGCCCCACCCCACGAGACCGCCTGGCCCCGCCCCATCCATGAGACCTTCTTGGCTCTGGCTCTCACACCTGGCCCTGTCCACACCGCCGCAAGCCGCACCCACAATTTCGCCTGGCCCCGCCCATGAGATCGCCCGGCCCCGCTCCTCACACCTGGTTCCACCCCTCATACCTGGCTCCACCCCTCACACCTGGCCCTGTCCACACCGGACGCCCTTAGCTGTTTATGTCAGTGTGGCGGCCATTTTGCATTTCCCAACTCCTCGGCCTGTCACCATAATCACTACATTGAGTCACCATCCAATCAGTGATGAATAAAACAGTATATTGCAGGCTCTCTCCTAATTGGACCACCACTTTCCGAAGGCTCTTTCCTGATTGGACCACCACTTTCCAAAGGCTCTTTCCTGATTGGACCACCACTTTCCAAAGGCTCTCTACTGATTGGACCACCACTTTCTAAAGGCTCTCTCCTGATTGGACCACCACTTTCCAAAGGCTCTTTCCTGATTGGACCACTACTTTCCAAAGGATCTCTTCTCATTGGATCTCCAGGTTTTCCACAAAGGTTAATAACGGGAGTCTCTCTGATCTGAACCAAATAGATATAAACATTTATACAGGAAAATATTATCTGCAAATGTTAGGCCCTCAGAGAGCAAGTCAGAATGTGTTTGTTATTATACTTCAATATTATAAAAACAGAATGTAACCGTTTCTTTAAGGGCCTCCACACTGTGTCCAGGCCCCAGGGGAGGGAGATTTCAGCTCTTCAGTGTCCAGGCCGAGTATCTAAATTCATTTGATTTTAAGTTTTTCTGCAGTGTAAATACTATCCTCTCCCCTGTCTCCCTTAGCTCCACCCCGTAGCCCCTCCCTCCTGCACTTCCCTTCCACACTACACGGCGGCGCTTTTATTTAAGTCTCCTCAAACTGGACTTCATTTCCCATGATGCCCCGTGCTCTGGTCACACCCCTCGGAGCGGCGTTACTTTGGAAGGACTTCATTTCCCATGATGCTTTGTGACAAAATGGCTTCTTTCTGAAACGTCATCAGTTTATTTTTTCTTTTTATGAAAATGCTTAAATTTATGTGAAACTTGTACGAGCCCGGAACACACGGCGTTATTAAAATTACTGACAAACCCCACGCGTGTCTTTACTGCTCTGTGCACAACGTCCTGGGGCGGGAGACTTCAATTCAATGTGTTTGTGTGTCCCCCTAAATCCCAACAGCAGTCGTCTTGGAAGACTTTTCAAAGTTGTGCATTGAAAAGCAGGATTACTATTGCAACGACACATCAGTAGGGTAAAACTAACCTGTCTAAACCCAGCTCACTTTCCCTATTAGTGTTCCCCACTAATAGGGAACAACAACAGATCAGAGACTCAAACAGTTCGAACACAGGAAATAATAAATGTATAGAAGCCTGTATCAGATCATTACTGTCCTTAGGCCCTGTGTCTGCAAAGAGCCAATCAGAAACTCAGTGGGAAAAAGTGAGAAACGTTGGGTAGTCCCTTGAGAAAAGAATCCGCTCCCATGGGCGGACAGGCTGTAGATCCAGGACTGAAGAGGCTCTCAGGTGGAGAGGGGGGTGCAGCCTACGGGTCCGGTCCGGTCCGGGGTGACCAGTTCACAGGTGCAGATGAAGAGGCCAGATTCAGGTCCCATTTCTGAACCACCGCGCAGTGAGAGTTTGGTTGATAATGTGTCTTGGGTAGGGGTCGGACCATTTATAACCATTTATGTTAAACAAATGATTTTGATGTGATTCTTAGCTCTACAGGTATCCAGCAGAGTCGTGTGCTTCCTCCTTTTAGTGGGTGTTAAGATCCTTGCTGCTGTACTTTGTATGAGCTTTTTCTACAGGATTTAGGGCACCCTGCCAGCAGGGCGTTTCAGTATATTATGTTCACACTCAGAGCAGCCGTCCTCCTGTGGACTCACCACCTGCAGAGGATCAGTGAGGGGCTGGTGCTATGAGACTTGGGTGGCATCTCTGATTGCCATCCCCCTGACCCAGAAATGGATTAAAGGGTAGAAAATGGATGGATGGATGGATATATGATATATATAATATGTATGGTACATGTGATATATAATATATAATTAGGTTTGCCTGGATTGGTTTGCACACCTGGTGTGCAATCCATGAATCTCTTTATTCAAGGCTAGGTTTAAAACAGTCCTCTTTAGTTTAGCATATAGCTAGGAAGGTAAGACTCAGGGAAGGCTAAACTCCTCAGACTGTCAGTCAAGCTGCATAGGGAGCCCCCTGCTGGAGAAGTATGGTAACTTGAGCACTATCCTCTCCTTCTTCCTACTATACCTGTTTACCATTATTAGGATTTTGACTGTAGTTTGTTCATTGCTATTCACCCGTTGTCCCATTGTCTGTTTCATGGTACGTTGACGGGATCTCTGAGCCTGGCCTCCTCCATCTACACCTGCGGACTGCCCCGCCCGACCCGCCTGGGAGTGCTTCAGTCCTGCACCGGACCTGTCCACGTTCAGCGGCCACTGGTCCACGTCCTGTAGCTAGCTTAGGTCCTGGATCATTAGCCTGTCCGTCCGGAGGAGCGGATCCCTTTCTCAAATGGGTCTCCCTCCCTGTGGGTTTCCCTAGTTCTCCCCAAGGTTTCTCACTTTTTCCCACTGGGTTTTTTAACTCATTCACCGCCATTGACGTCTATAGACGTCAATTGCTTTTTTTTCGTTTTTTTCTTTCTATGGCTCGTCATGGCTCTTGTGCATCCTGTGTCAACATTTCAGACCTGTAAACACTTTGGAACCGATCCTGTAGGGGGCAGAGGTGACACTGTGGCCAGATCCAGGGAGGGAGAAGGGGGCATGTGGTGCTGTGAGCAGCAAACAGCCAGAGGAGCAGCCATGCTTACACAGAGGATCGCGGATCTGAAAAGCTCACGCAGCTAACGCTGTTTGAGAGCCTGTTCAGTCATCAAACGGATAAATATGAAGCAGCTAGATGCCACGATGCTAGTTCTTCAGGTTTAAGTTAACATGAGACTCCAGGATCCTCGGAGCCTTCCCCCTCCCTCCTCGTCCAGCAGCAGCAGCGGCTCCTCCCCCCGTCGTCATGTGGTGAGTTGCTTTTCACTTCAACATGTTGCATTTACGAGTTTATTTCTCCTCTTTATCTAATGTGCTATCAGTAGTGATGGCAATATGAAGCCCCATGAAGCCTTGAGGGATCGCAGCCTATTACTCGGCCCATGAGTCGAAGGCTCGAGGTGAATCATGCTCCACTACGCCATCATGTGGACAAAAAAATACATAACACTCTTAAGTGCTTACAATGAATGGTGAGATCTAATGTTAAAATGTATATTTACAATCTATGGTCTAACGTGTTGTGTTTGAAATGATGCTTCATGAACTATGAACTATTTGAGTCTTTCAGTCAATTGTGTTGATACAACAAACACATCCAAAGTAATACAGTTCTACAGAAAGTGATTAATGGAGGAAAAACTACCAAGAAGTGGATTAATTAAACACAACAAACCATTTATTCCCAATAAATAAATACATTTACTTTGCAACACAACATTTATTATGGGTAGACCGGGATTCGAACGCTATATCTTCTACTTCGGAGTCCGTCATAGACCGACTGCGCCACACAGCTGTTGTGAAATGTATTATCCAGCGTATTATTACTAATAACTTGAAGCCTTGATATATGAGGATTTACTAAAGTGAAACGTTTTTAATTGTATTTCATATGAAGTTGTTTCTCTATACTTAGTACAGGACTGCTCCACATCACGCACACACACGTACGCACACACACGTACGCACACAGAGGCAGACGGGGACAGCCAATACAGTCTATGGTACAGCCGCGGATCACAAAGCACCTGTCAAAGCAATGCACTCTCCGAACTATATGAAGCACTATATGAACCGTCACGTGGTGCGGCCGCTACGCGAGGCTTCGAACGTCACCACATACGTCACCAACACACGCCTCGAACCACGCTTCAAAAAATACGCCCCTTTTTTACTCGGTACACGCTTCGAAGACCCGGCACGCTCAGCACATCACTAGCTATCAGCCCCTCCAGGATTTGTGCGCAATTGTTGATTGATGAATGATTATTGCGGGGTAAAATGCTTGATTACGCGGGACATTTTTCCAAAAGTTTCTCTTGAGTTTGAATGTGCATGCGTGTGAATCTGGCATGCAGCATTAGCTGCCAGGGAGTTATGGATGATGTTACCGTGTGGGTTATAGACAGTGATGGGAATAACGGCGTTACTAGTAACGGCGTTACTAACGCCGTTACTTTTTTCAGTAACGAGTAATCTAACTAATTACTTTGACAGTAACTATAACGCCGTTATCATTTCCGACATCCCGTTACTGCGCGTTACTCAAGACGCACAATGAACGTGTTGTCATGAGAGAAGGGAGGATGAGAAAACCTCTCAGCAATTATTGGCTGATGTAAATCATATTTCCTTTACAATCTACATGTCTACAGTTGAGAGGATGGTCATAAATTGTGTTTTTGAAACAAATATGGGTCTTAATCGCGCTCAACCACGGCTTGTATCACCGTGAGGTCAGCCACAGAGGAGCGCATGTGAGCGCAGAAGTCGGCTGCATACAATTCCATCGATAAGCTCCTTGCTCTTCCTGGTTTATCTGCTAAGGACAGCAACAGGTTTGGCTAACATACATATAACACATTTTTACATAATCTAAAATGCACATAGGGTAATTTTTCAATTACTATAGGAATGATAAGAAAGAGAGGTGAAGTGTAAGACGGTTGATTTTAGAAATTGGATGCAGCCGGCTGCAGCAAAACAGAGGAGTTTACGGAGGACACACGCGTTTTGTTTTACTTTTTAAAACTCATTGGACTCATTTCCAAATGGAGGATTACATATCTACGCTCAAACCATTCACTGGATTTAAACAAGGAACTGGTCTGAACCGAAGTGGACTGTGCAGGTCATTTATATAAGGTAAGACCCATAACTCATAGTTTTGCGTTTTGTATGAACAAACAATGCGGGCATAAAACATATTTTGCTGTAGCCAAACAAATTGTCCACTTGATTTATATGATGTATATGTTCATCTGATTGGACTGAAGTCAGTGCTTCACCAGCCTCACCGCTCGTCACCGGTGTTTCCACATTCACAAGTGGCGGGCTTTACAGCACAGACAGAGATGAAGAGTGAACAGGACTTCAGCAGCAAAACAGCCTTTTCTAGATGGAAATATTGGCACTGTTAAAGGTAAAAATGCGCACGTCGGGTGCACATTATGTTCCAGAACAAAACGAAAAAGTAACGCAATAGTTACTTTTACTGGTAACTAGTTACTTTTATAGTGGAGTAACTCCGTTAGTAACTCAGTTACTTTTTGGGAGAAGTAACTAGTAACTATAACTAATTACTTTTTCAAAGTAACGTGCCCAACACTGGTTATAGAAGGGACAGGGGGAGGTGATCCATGGCAGACCAGTGAGCAGGACCCATGATGAAGTGTTAGATTTACCGCACCATGTGCATTCTGCTGTGGTGCGTCTCACTGTGGAGGGTGCGTCAGGAGCGCGCCCGCTGCTGCTTTGGAACAGGGAGAGAGAGACTCTCTCCCTGTTGCTCTGACCCCGGAGTCTGCGTGATTTTGCGTTCAAACATGTATGGTGATTTTATATTTTCCTTTGTGTTGTAGATTGTTGACCCCAGGACCCCAAAATGCTGCAGCAGAGCTTGATTTGGATCAGCAGCTGACTTCTGCAGCTCTTCATAACTGATGAACTGCTGGATCCTGGATCTTGTGTTGAACAGACAAAGCTGTATGCAGCACAATATTTCAGTGCACACACACAGCGTCTCCCATTCAGCAGAGAAAATGCATGGACAGTGACAGTCTAGCAGCTAAAAACCTTTTTTGGTTTGACATTTCTCACTGGGTTTGTAAAAAAAAAATACTAATCTGGAAATGTATTGGGAGTGCAGATGAAGTAGCTTCCACCCCACACTTCAGCAGAGTGTGGGGTCACCCAATTACTATTCTTTATAAACTAAAGTAAAATTGTTTCACAAAGTGTTCAGAAAGTGTTATTTTTACTGTATATTTGTAAACAAAGTGTTTTTATTGTATACAAGTTGAATATTTTATGTGTACATAAGACAATCCTTTGAGTGTATTGTGTGTGTACACGTTTAATTTGTTTAAAAATAATTATACATTAAAAATACAATTCAAAGTATTGTTTCTGTTTTGTGGCATAGTAAGAAACTGTCATACATTGTAAAATATCAGTAAAGACAAAAAAAACCCACTTTTCTGCTTGAAAATGCGCGTTTCACAAAAAGGCTGTTTTCTCCAAATCTTGGTCAGGAAACAGCATTTTGTGTGAAAGTTACCTATGTTGCACTCTCAATTGCTAAAAAACTAAAAGGGTTAGAAACTTACTTTTTTTTAAAAATGAAAGCCAAGGGATAGAGCTTTCATTTGGTATGTTTCATACTTGTGTCAACCAAGGGCTCACATTTCTATGCGGTTCGGAAAAACACTAAAAATGTCCAAAATCTCTGGCAGTATGAGGGATGCTGCTTTTTAAATGGCTGGCAGTGAATGAGTTAAGAGTTGTTCCTTGTCGATGCAGGAGGGTCTTGTTGGACAGTTAGTGTCCAACAGAAAGGATTGGTGATGATCAGGACACTTTAGCATTCTACAACATTCTGTGTGTGCTTTATATTCTTCATATTCTTCATGTGTTTTAACTGTTGATTCTCTGACCTTTGTTGGTGATTTCAATGGTTTTGTTAAGTCTCTGAGATTACTTCTGTTGTGACCTAGGGCTATACAAGAATAAATTGTATTGTATTGTATTGTATTGTAAAAAACGGCCAATAAAAACTCACATTTTGCCGCGCCGCTGCTCAAACAACGTTTCACTGATCAAAATTCCCTAAAGTCATTTTGAAGGTACATGTGTTGAGATGATATGGAGCGTTTTTGAGGCCAATCGGTGAAACGGCCGAGGAGGAGTCGCTTTCCAACCGACATGTATGAAAATTATTGCTGTTCATTTTTCAGATTCAGTTTATTTGCCATTTGCAGTAAAACACCACATTGGAATACATTAGCAAAAAGTCTCCATTTTGCAGTGAAATTTATGGGCTTCCTGTTTGTCAGAGGGCGTGGCCACAATAAAATGTTTTTCTTGTCTTGACTTGAGGAACATGTGTACCGAATTTCATGGCTCTACGACAAACTTGACCTCTGAAACTCCCATTGGCTCTTGTAGGTGGCGCTGTTCTGGCATTTTTTTTGTCCCATAAAAATAAACACCAAAATATAATTTTTTTCACCAGGTCTGATTTTTTTTCATGCATGTTCAGGGGGTCAAATTAAGGCTCAAAAAGCAGAATTTGACATCTCTCGAGCAAAAACAATAAAAACATGGTAATAAAAGAGGCGACTTTTGACTTTTTTCAGTTGCAAACTCCCTGCATCTGCCGAGGTTTCCTCTGGGTGCTCCGGTTTCCCCTACCACTAAAACATGAACAATAGATCCCCTCTCTCTAGGGTCAGGACTCCCTTGAACAAGAGATGCTGAAATATCAGTGGGACTTTACTGGTTGAATAAAGGTAAATAATCATTACTCAGTATGATGTCTAATGCTCTGACGCCTTCTAGTGGCGGCTCCAATAACAGCAGGTACAGTAAAAAGGACTTGAGAGAACCATGCCGTATACTCACACCTCGCGCGCCGTAGCTGCGATGGCCGAGTGGTTAAGGCGTTGGACTTGAAATCCAATGGGGTTTCCCCGCGCAGGTTCGAACCCTGCTCGCAGCGTTTCGAGTGTTTTATACATGTAAGTGTGTGTATACATTTATATAAAAACTCAGAACAACATCTGTAGAAGGACTTTAGATTACACTGAAGAATGTAGGCCCATAAAATATATCTTGCACAAATGTTTAACCTTTTTAAGATGTTTGCACACTCCCTGTCTTTTTGCACAATTCGGGTGATTCTATCTATGCCAAATGTGACGTGTAAATTTCTCTCTTGTGTGATCAATAAAGTTTATCTTATTCTATCTGAAATAAAGCCGTAATTCCCACTCTCTCCGGCAGAGGGCGACAAACTTGCAACTGTCTCCTTGCAACTGTGAGTTATACACATAGACTGTATTTATTATACACCACCTCTGTGTTGGCAGAGCTGTCTGCGAAGGGCTCATATAAGCTACAATCTACCACAATATCATGTCTTTTATACTTTGTTTACATGGTCTTTTATCGCGGAGAAAACTTCTCTTCAGGAAACACAATATGGCGGATTCCGCGCTCTCTAGTCTCTGCTTGTTTACCTGCTGTTCCCCGGGTCTCCGCTAAGAGGCGCTGTTCAGACACGGCTATGGCGCCGCTGTGCGGGCTCCGTGTGGTGCGGTACGGTCCGGTTCGGTGTTTCGGTTCGTACGTTGTTAACCGTTAGCTCGTAGCCCGAGAGTGTGATGGAACAGAGCTGAAGCTGTTAGCTTGGCTAGGTTAGGCTAATAGCTAACAGGACATGATGTCGGAGCCGCAGGACCTGGTCCTGATGAGGCGCGTGCACGCGGGGTTTGTGCCCGTGAAACCCGCGCGTGACACCAGCCCCGTGGACCGAGACCCGTCCCCCCACTACAGCTCTCCTCTGCCCGGGACAGGAGCTCCAAGAATCGAGGAGGAGATAGAGCAGGGCCCGAGGAACGACCAGAGATCAGGGGATGGACCAGGACTAAGATCTGGTCAGGGACCAGGACCAGACGTCCTCCAAAACCTGCTCCGGACTGAACCAGAGACCAGCGCCTCAGCGGACCCAGGTCTGAGACTGTGTCCCCTCATTCACCTGAGACTGTGTCCCCTCATTCACCTGAGACTGTGTCCCCTCATTCACCTGAGACTGTGTCCCCTCATTCACCTGAGACTGTGTCCCCTCATTCACCTGAGACTGTGTCCCCTCATTCACCTGAGACTGTGTCCCCTCATTCACCTGAGACTGTGTCCCCTCATTCACCTGAGACTGTGTCCCCTCATTCACCTGAGACTGTGTCCCCTCATTCACCTGAGACTGTGTCCCCTCATTCATCTGAGACTGTGTCCAAACTTCATGTCCTCCTATGTCCAACCACTCACACATGTCTCACACATGTCTAACACATGTCTAACACATGTCTCACACATGTCTAACACATGTCTAACACATGTCTAACACATGTCTAACACATGTCTAACACATGTCTCACACATGTCTAACACATGTCTAACACATGTCTCACACATATCTAACACATGTCTCACACATGTCTAACACATGTCTCACACATGTCTCACACATGTCTAACACATGTCTAACACATGTCTCACACATGTCTCACACATGTCTAACACATGTCTAACACATGTCTCACACATGTCTCACACATGTCTAACACATGTCTCACACATGTCTCACACATGTCTAACACATGTCTAACACATGTCTAACACATGTCTCACACATGTCTCACACATGTCTAACACATGTCTAACACATGTCTCACATGTCCCACTCATGTCCCACTCATTTCAGCCCAAGTCTCCAAACACATATTGCAAAAGTGAATTCACGGATGATAAATAACGATCCCAAATCAGCGACTGAACTAGTCAATACTGTGAGACATCTACAAGGACCTGTTTAAAACTGGGGTACGTAACTTTAAAGCTGGGTTATGTAACGTTCAGACCACAACACAGACATTTCCCCACTGTGGGACAAATAAAGGTTTTCTGACCTGATCTGTTATCATGTATCGTTGGCCTCTAAATGTGAAAAACACTCACTCAGCCAATCAGCTCTCGACTCAAAGAGTCAATGAATGACTCACATGGCTCTTTCTTACACAAAACATGTTTCTGATAAAGTCTCTCCTCAGGTCTGGACTCAAGTCTGGTCTCCGGTCTCTCACACATATGTCTCTCCTCAGGTCTGGTCTCCAGTGGAGGGCCCTCAGACCAGGGGCCCTTCTCTCTCTGGCCCCCTGCTCTGTTGGACCAGGCACTGAGGCTTGGGCTGCTCGACCCACCCCCCAGGTGAGGACACATTTAAAAGCAATAATCTTTAGAGATGATCACATCTTTCTCATACCAAATATTTTTTAGGCTGATCGTTGCGGGCAGCCCCTCCCCCTCGGGCCCCTGGGAGCCTCCTTCCCTCAGCCATGTGGGAGCCAGTGAAGAGGCGGGACTCTGCTCCTGCCACGGCCCTGCCCCATGGCGACTGCGACCACCACAACAATGTCATGAAGAGGACGCGCACTCGAGTCACGAGGCCCCGAGACCACTGAGCCGCAGCCTGGATCGGCTCTTGGACCGACTCTCGGACCGGCTCTCGGACCGCAGACCTGAGCAGGTCTTGGCTCAAGTCTTAGAGCGCGGGTGCAAGTCCACACCGCACAGTAGAGCCTCCACGCCCAAACTGTCAGTGGCCTCCGGAGGGCGCTGTCTTTCTCCTGTGGGTGTCCAGGATAAAGAAAAACATTCAAGTGAGACCAGAGACCAGACCAGAGACCAGACCAGAGACCAGACCAGAGACCAGACCAGAGACCAGACCAGAGACCAGACCAGAGACCAGACCAGAGACCAGACCAGAGACCAGACCAGAGACCAGACCAGAGACCAGACCAGAGACCAGACCATGGAGGTTTGTTGTGACATCATCTCTATCAGAGCATGTGGTGATGATGTCATAATTGTTGTCTGTGGTATTTTTTCAGACTAACCCTAACGACTTTTAGTAGTATCACATGACAGTTACCGATATATTCAGAAGAAAAATCTTCAGTCTCTCTCTAAGGAGAGCGGTTTTACAGCGCCTTGAAACACAGAGCTGCTACTTTAGGGATCTCACTTATTGTGGGTTATGTTAGAACACTCTCCCTCTGTGATAAACCTGTGACCAGTGTACAACAAAAACATCTAGAGTCAAACCAAAACTCTGCCCCTCTCCATTCAGCTCGGGGGAAGTCCCGCTCCTCTAAAGTCCCTTTGAAGACCCGTCTGTCCAAACTGTTCCGAACTCGCTCTGGGCCAGGACCGGGACGAGGACTAGGACCAGGACTCGGGGATAAGCGACCCAGTGTGAGCTCCACCTCGTCTGGGGGAAGTCTGCTGGACCTGTGGGGATCCAACAGCAGCAACCAGGACCAGAACCAAAGCAGGTCTGAACTAGGACTAAACCAGGAACAGGACCAAAAGAGGGCTCAACCAGGACAGAACTAAGACCAGGACCAAAGCAGGTTTGAACCAGAACTAAACCACAGACCGTGAATATTAGGCTGAACCAACAAAATCATGTATAATTTTGCTTTCACTGCACATTTGTGTGTTACTTTGTTGTGGTCTTTTTAAAAATGTGTGCTGTATGTGTGTGCGTGTTAATGTATGTGTCTCATTGCATGTGTGTTTGTCTGTCTGTGCTTATGTGTGTGTGTCTTTGTGTGTTTGTGATTCAGGCTGCAGAGGTCCAGACCCCTCAGTGCCTTCTCTCCGGTGACGTTTACTCCTCTCGCCTTCACTGGTGAGTCAAGCCTGATGCTAACCCAAGCTAATGCTAACCCTCCCTCGTTATAACCCATACTAAAAGACGTCTGCTAATTCTGTTTTTTTAACTCATCTCCCACTTCTACAACACTGTTTTGATTTAAGAGTGGATAATGTTAGTTTAGCATAGTTAACGCTGCTTTTTGAAACAGCTGTTAGCATAATGTTAGCATAACATTAGCATGGTGTTGACTGCGTCCTCTGTGCTCAGGTGAGACTGTGTCCCTGCTTGATGTGGACGTGTCCCGGAGCAATCGTACTCTTCATCCTCCCACTCCTCCTCCTCCTCCTCGCCGCAGCCTCAGCCTTCTGGGTATGGACCTCTAACTGATCGTTGACTGCTAACTGACTGTTACCGGAGTGCTTACTGACTGCTAACTGACCAGCTCTACCCCCATTCACATAACCTGGACAGGACTGAACGAAGGCTGTTTTAACACACCTGCCTCTGATTGGGCAGATGGCTTTGGGGCCCCTCCCTCACAGAGCTCGTTCCTGGACGATGGAGTGGGCGTGTCCGTGCAGTCGCTGCCCCCTGCTGTTGGCTCACTGCAGCACAGCCTCAGTCTCAGCGGTAAAACACTCACTTTCTTTTCTCCATGGCATTTGCTGGTTAATCACCATATTTCTTTTCAGATGCGTTTCTCCGCACATTGCCCCGCCCTGTCCCTCTGCGCCCGCCCCCAAGACCTGCCACCCGCTGCCGCCTCAGCCAATCGTACACCGCGGCCCACTGCCTTCTCAGCCAATCAGACACCAACAGCTTCGCCTCCAGCCTTCGGGAGCTGGAGAAGGTTTGGACCAATCAGATGTTGGTTAATTAAGGGTTAGGAAGTGGGAGGGTTCTGTTGTCATTATACCTATGGCTAATATAAAATAACACACATTTAAACTGTTCATGCTTTTCGACCATTTGTGTTGTGTAACGATAGCTGCTTGCGGCTCTAACTCTAGTGTAGGCGTAGCTGCTTGCGACTCTAACTCTGGGGTAACCGTGGCTACTTGCGACTCTAACTCTGGGGTAACCGTGGCTACTTGCGACTCTAACTCTGGGGTAACCGTGGCTACTTGCGACTCTAACTCTGGGGTAACCGTAGCTGCTTGCGACTCTAACTCTGGGGTAACCGTAGCTGCTTGCGACTCTAACTCTGGGGTAACCGTGGTTACTTGCGACTCTAACTCTGGGGTAACCGTGGCTACTTGCGACTCTAACTCTGGGGTAACCGTAGCTGCTTGCGACTCTAACTCTGGGGTAACCGTGGCTACTTGCGACTCTAACTCTGGGGTAACCGTGGCTACTTGCGACTCTAACTCTGGGGTAACCGTGGCTACTTGCGACTCTAAACTCTGGGGTAACCGTGGCTACTTGCGACTCTAACTCTGGGGTAACCGTGGCTGCTTGCGACTCTAACTCTGGGGTAACCGTGGCTACTTGCGACTCTAACTCTGGGGTAACCGTGGCTACTTGCGACTCTAACTCTGGGGTAACCGTGGCTGCTTGCGACTCTAACTCTGGGGTAACCGTGGCTACTTGCGACTCTAACTCTGGGGTAACCGTGGCTACTTGCGACTCTAACTCTGGGGTAACCGTGGCTACTTGCGACTCTAACTCTGGGGTAACCGTGGCTACTTGCGACTCTAACTCTGGGGTAACCGTAGCTGCTTGCGACTCCTAACTCTGGGGTAACCGTGGCTGCTTGCGACTCTAACTCTGGGGTAACCGTGGCTGCTTGCGACTATAACTCAGGGGTAACCGTAGCTGCTTGCGACTCTAACTCTGGGGTAACCGTGGCTGCTTGCGACTCTAACTCTGGGGTAACCGTGGCTACTTGCGACTCTAACTCTGGGGTAACCGTGGCTACTTGCGACTCTAACTCTGGGGTAACCGTGGCTACTTGCGACTCTAACTCTGGGGTAACCGTGGCTGCTTGCGACTCTAACTCTGGGGTAACCGTGGCTACTTGCGACTCTAACTCTGGGGTAACCGTGGCTACTTGCGACTCTAACTCTGGGGTAACCGTGGCTACTTGCGACTCTAACTCTGGGGTAACCGTGGCTACTTGCTAGCTGTTACAGTGTGGCTGGTGTAACCATAGCTGCTTGCGGTTGCAGTGTGGATGGTACTGGGGGCCCATGACATGGCTCGATGCTGAGGCCAAACTCCGGGACAAAGCAGACGGGTCGTTTCTGGTGCGGGACAGTTCTGACCCGAGGTACATCCTCAGCCTCAGCTTCAGGTCCCAGGGGCTGACCCACCACACCCGCATGGAGCACTACAGAGGTAAGCACTACTCCCTCACCACAACAGGATCCCACCACTGCAACATGATGCTAACCAAACGCTCTGGAACAAATGGAACAAAGTGCTTTTAGAGATGTCCTAAATAAATCTAACTTACTCATTGAAAGTGCTCGTGCTTTGTGCTCTACTCCCATAGACTGTATCCAGATGAGCAATGTTAAACAGCTAGCTCAATGCTAATCAGCTAGCTCAATGAAGCCCAATAGGGAAGTGCGTATGGTGCTCAAGTTTGGCTCCAACTCGCGCTGACCCTTTTGACGTACATGTAAAAGTAAACTCCTCTTCGCGGCGGGAAACTCCGGCTTGACTTTGCAACCATTGTCAAGCGTTAGCTTTGTGCTGCAACAGGGGAAGACGAGTTGTTAAGACGTGTTGCCAAGGCGTGTTGTTGAGGTACAGATCAGCATGGCAAGTAAGGCAAGAGATAATTAACATTACATAAAATAAATATATGTACAAATAAAAATGATGCCCAAAAGGAGAAGGCAGAAGCAAAGCCTATTATAGCCTACCCCCTTTGACATTCACGGGTGAGCAGTCAACTTACTGTGCATTTATTTGCTATATGAGTGTGTTCACAGTAAAGTGACAATTGAAGTATCTGGACTTTAAAAGGTTATAACTTAAAAACTAAAATTACTTTCATAGATTGGAAAAAAGATTTCAAACACAGACAGATCAAAGAGATAGTGTGGAAAAAATCAAAAGGAAAGATTGACATAAAAATGTTTAGCAACATTTTAAACGACCAAATGAGCCTCTGATTGGACCATTCTACTGTGACGCCAGTTACATAGAAAATAAAACGTCCTCAGTCTGAAAAAGCAGAAGATGAAATCCCACAAGATTTACATGGTTAACACAACAGAAGGAAATCACTTGATATAAAAAGGAATCGTAAAAAAAAAAAAAAAACAAAAAAAAATTAATTACATGACCCTTGAAAAATGTATAACGGACGTGATGAGGACGGTCCTCTTTTCTCTAAAAATTAAACTTGAGAAAAAAAAAAATCTGGTCTGTTTTCACATTTAATTGGTTGACAATATGAAAGTATCACTTTGCATCTACTTTGTGTAAAAAAATAGAATCTCTGAATCAAATGTGGACATCTGAAAATATCTATCAAACTTCCACAAAGCTCATTCCGTCATCACGTCCGTTAGATAAAATAAACTGGGCCGCTACAGGAAACTTGTCTAATGTATAAAACAGTTATGTTCTAGCAACTTCTAATGAACAGAGGAGGTGCTTGGAAACATGAAAAACATAAAATATCTTCTGATTATTAAAATCTAATTTTTGGCCTTTTGTCACACTTTTGTTCCCTTTAGTGTGAACAAGCCCATATCCAAATGTGAATGGTCAAGGAAAGCTGTAGTTTCCCCCGTGGATTAAGACCTTTTGGTCAAGCCTTACATGGTTCATATCTGGAATCACACGGCACATTCTGGTGATGTCACACTCGGTCTGTGTGTGTTTCTCAGGGACCTTCAGCCTCTGGACACAGTCGAAGCAGCGTGGTCAGCCCGAGCTGCCCGAGGCGCCCGAGCTCCCTGACCGCTGTGAGTCTGTGGTGGACTTCATCCATCGAGCCATCACTCACTCCAAACACGGGCAGTGCCTCTACTTCCTGCGCTCCCGAGTCCCAGGTAAGAGCCAGTCAGAGACCAGAAGGATGCCCGGCCCCCGCCCACCTTCATTCTTACACAATTAGAAAGTTACAGATTTATGTCCCATATTACGCTTTTTTGCATTTCTAAGATTTAAACATCACAAAGTGCTATTTTGCCTCCATACACATGCCCAAAGTAGTTTTTTTAATCAATTCCCTCAGCCTTTAATTAGTGATCTTTTCCTTTCATACTTGATGACGCGGCACCACTTTGATGATGCGCACCGAGCAGAGACTGTAAATATTTGTAATTTTGACGTAGTGAGACCTAACCTGATCGTACCACACCATCAAACAAACTAACAAACTCTGTTAACAGTTGGGAGGGGTTAACTCCTTTTGCAGATTGAAACGATTGCGCCAAGTGAGTCCCTAGCATTTAGCATTTAGCCAAGCCATCTCCTTTGCCACTAACGGAGCCCATGGGGAGTAGCGCAACAATCTTTGCCAGCAAAAAAAAATGTGCTAAACATTCCTTTTGAATGCGCTTGAAAACGGCTGTAAGTCCTAAGTAACTCTAAAACAGTTGTTGTTTTGTGCTTTAGAATTTAAATTTGTATTGCTTTTTTTCTACCTGAGATGTTGCTGCAGTAGTGTTCATGGTTTTGCACTGGTCCAGACCAGAGCAGAGAGGATTCATGGTCCCAACCAAGCGGATCAGGTGAAAATCCACTAACTTTTTGAAAAATGCAAATTTTTCTATCATTTTACTTTGGACTAGAGCAGAGAAAATGGTCTGAACCAAGCGGCTTCTCCATCGTGTGACCTGTCCTGCTCCACCCAGAGGCAACTTCATTCTCTCAGCAAGAAGGTCCTGGGTTCGAATCCCGGTTGGACCAGGGCAGTTTGCATATTCTCCCCGTGTCTGCGTAGGTTTCCTCCGGGTGCTCCGGTTTCCCCTACCACTAAAAATATGTTCAATAGGTCTGTCATGCTGTACTGGCCCCGCTCCCAAAAATCACAATTGTAAACCGCTTTGAGACTCCGATGGCGGTATATAAATAAAGATTACTTACTGATTATTACTGTTGTTAGCTTTTTATTTATTTTTTCATTTTTGCGGCTACTGGACAACTGAATTTCTCCTACGGGGAACAAAATAAAGTATCTATCTATCTATAAGACACTAACGAGGATCCATGATCTGTAAGTAGCGTACTAACCCTCAACTGAATAATTAGGGTCTTATTCTGGATCAAAGACAAAGAGCGCTATGTGACTGATTCCCATTGTTGGAAAAAGTTTACTGTCAGGTCTGGTATTGCTATGTACTAACAAACGCCGTGTGTTTACAACAAAGTCAGCATGAGGCTTGTGGTCTGGGCTACGTCTCTGGCAAGTGGTGGGAGCTGGACTCACTGACCAAGGTGCAGAGAACCTTTCAATCAAGGAGTTTTTACCTCTATACAAGTGTTGAGTGTTTTATTAATTATAATCCAAATGATTATAGGATGGACTGTGAAAAATGAAGAAATTTGAAAGTCCCATTTTTTTTGCGCAACAATCCAATTTATTTACGGAGCACACTCTTTAGCACAACCTAAAAACATGCACACTAGGTAAAATCCTCCAGCTGCTGTCCTGACCAAACCGAGCATCAACATCTGGAGGTCCCCGGGCGCTGTTACTACGGCGACCACTGCTCCTGACCTAAGCCTTAGCGGCATCAGGATGGGTCAAATGCAGAGGATGAATTGCCTCACGGGGATTCATATAGTGCACCTTTACTTTTACCTTTACCTTTGCAGTGACTGATCTCCCCCTCTCCCCTCCTCCTCTCACTCTTCAACACCCCTCTTCCACTCATTCCCCCCCCCTCTCCCTTACCTCACACCACAGGCCTCCCCCCCACGCCCGTGCAGCTCCTCTTCCCAGTCTCTCGCTTCAGTTCAGTGAAAACTCTGCAGCATCTGTGTCGTTTCTGCATCCGACAAGCTGTGAGGATTGATCACGTGGAAGACCTGCCTCTGCCAGGGTAAGACATAAGTCATAAGTCTAAATCAGGTCTAAATCAAGTCTGACCCTGGTCTTGCCTTCAGGCCTTTGATCTCATACTTGAGGAAGTTCTACTACTACGATGCGGAGGAGCAGCAGCAGCCGGGCACGTAATGGCAGGTGAGGAGGTGTGTGTCTCCAGCAGAGGGCATCTTTACATTTGTTATTTTTGTGTCCGATTTTGATTGTCTGAATTGTCCAATCAGATTGCAGAGAAAAGAACCTGCCTCCGCTCGCCGGCCTCTTCCAATCAACTGCTCTGCCATGATCCGCCCCCCCGAGCTCTGTCATTGGCTCACAAGGGGGAGGGGCTTCGGGGAAGTAGAGCACGTTTTGATGAGGTCATCACTGGGACAATTTTTTATTTAAGAGAAAAAGAGGTCAAGAGAAGAGACGGGGATCCTTGGACCGGTTCAGAATTCCTGATCCTTGTGTGAATCTGGAAAATTTATTTTGGAGTTGAATTATCATTTGTTTATTTCTGAATTTACTACTTCTGCTGACTTCACGTACTGCTACTACTTCCCTCTTTCTAGTCTTTGTACAAATGTCAAATTTCTGCCAAATATTGTTTTTCTGAGTTTACTGTGTTTATTTCTGGAAGCAAGGCAAAGGATTGTCGGAAAACAGATTGACTGAATAAATGAAAGCTCTGATTTTAATAAAGTGACGATTTTATTCAACAAACTGATGTCACATTCTTAAACATCCCACACGAATGATGTCACCACCCAGGAAGTGTTTACACGGGTTAACGCCGTGAAGCTAACTCCGTGTGAGTGCTGTGGTTTTACAAACATGCTTCACAAGTCAAATCTAGTTGTCCAGAAAGACTACATCTCCCACAATGCACTGCTCAGTAAGACTACTTATCTCACAAAGCACCAGAGATCAAAATTTGATGTCAAATCTTTCCTGCTAAAATCCAAAATCACTTTGATTTGAACCAAACACAAACTCGATATGAAGTAGGAAGTAATATACGTATAGCTTAGCATAGTTAGCAACACCAGGATAGTAAGTAACTAAACTAAGCTAACGTGAATATTACTCAAATCAAAAGTATTTATAAATATAAAAGTATAATCAGAAGTATTGTGGAAGTGGGAGGAAGCAGACTGTCTTGTATTTACAGTTAGCTTTAGCATTAGCTTGGACACTGAAATGACAAGTGTGATGTCAGCAACAAACAAACGATAATCCAAATATTTATGGTTAAATAGCAACACTTGCCAACATGCGTCATTAGTATTAGCTTGTTAGCATGATTAGCTGGCATGCGTCATAAGCACCAGGGGTACATCCTTATCGCCCGTGCCCAGCAGGGGGAGCATTCTCTCTGTCAACTCGCTCTTGTTGTTGAAGCTGTAAATCTCTGCTCCGTTTTTAGAGTTGAAGAAGGAGACCTGTCCTACGTCCATGTCCAAGTACACGCCCACCTGCCTGAGGCGGGGCGGAGCCTTCACCTGAGGATGAGGAGACACACAATTACAAGACACACACACACCAATTCAATGTGGACAGTTATCGCTGAGCCCTTTGCAAAGCTGTCGATTTGACCCATCCTGATGCCGCTAAGGCTTACGTCAGGAGCAGTGGTCGCCGTAGTAACAGCGGCCAGGATGTTGATGCTCAGCTTGGTCAGGACTACCAGAGCTGGAGGATTTAACCTAGTGAGCATGTTTTTAGTGGTAGGGGAAACCGGAGTACCCGGAGGAAACCTACGCAGACACGGGAGAACATGCAAACTCCACTCAGAAAGACCCTGTTCCTATCGGGATTCGAACCCAGGACCTTCTTGCTGAGAGGCGAGAGTGCTATCCACTCCGCATAGAATGAAGGGACACGTTTACTATCTGTGTGAGTGAAGGTAACAGACTGCTCAGAACAGACTTCAGAAATCTAGTGGGTACATCCAGGCTGCATGCGGAGGAGCTTCAGCCGCTCCCCGGTACTTTTTATTAATGGTTTGGCCCTGGTTCTAACCGGGCGAGTCGATACCAAAACAATCTCACGTCAGCGAACATCAATTTTGATTCCGAAATGAATGCTTTCAATCTCTAACCAAGAAAAAAAATCGAGTTTCAACCCAGTGTTCAGCAGAAACACAACTGTCTTTATCGAACCATGATTGACTCTCTGACTGCGTTTAGTAAAAGATATAGATTTGACACATAACACCAGAACCACGTTAGCTGATTTAGAACCACAGACACATGTTCAGTATAAGACCAGATACTTTTGCATTTGATTGAAGACAGACACTCACCAGGCAGAGTTGGGTTATCTCCTGGTGTAGCTGTTAGCTGGTGTTAGCTGGTTTTAGCATGTTAGCCGGTGTTAGCCGATGTCCGTAAATTTAATCCATTTGGTCACACCACCTCCAGACTTTTCAGGTCTGCCTTTACTTCGGCTGCTGCGATCTTTCATTTCACGGTTGTCACTTTTAAGCTTTTTAATTTTTCTCTGCATTGTGATATTCGTGGGAATCATTCTGCCTTCTGGTTTCTGGTGGAACCATCGAGCTCACGCTGGTGTCCTCTCCTCAAACTGAGGAAGGTGTTGCCCTCATCCAGCGACCAAGGAACTGCTTTCCGTACGGACGTCATGGGTCGAGGCAACGTGTTTGTTATGATATTTGCAAGAGCTGAGGCAGCAGCTGCAGAGTGACTGACCAATCAGAATTGACGTTTGCCAACGTCAGATTGTTTTGGTGGCCCGGCTAGTGGAGTGAAGTCGGCCTTTACTATGGGTCAGAACTACATAGAGAATGAATGGCAGCGCCACCACCGAGGCGTTTTTGACGCTTGTCGTGTGAAAGCCCGAGAGCCGCACGGAACCAGCCAAAGAGCCGCATGCGGCTCACGAGCCGCGGGTTGGCCACCCCTGCCCTAGGTGGCTTTGGAGGTACGTATGGGGAGGTTAAGTCTTCATCGCCGATCTTATCATGCCTGCAGAGTGTTCCGGTAATTCTAATAGTGATGGAAAACAAAGGGAAAGGTCGTCCTAATTTTCCTTAGATGGAGTGGATGTGGCGGGGGGGGACCCAAACCGGGTCCATGGAAGGTGATGAGGGAGTCTTTGGTGGAGACGGAGGTGGTTGAGAGACACCCAGTACAGGCCTGTCTGTAGCCTGGAGCAATGGGGGGTGGGGCTTCTATGCATCTATGAACTTCAACAAAGTTCATAGATACATTCCGAATGGCAGAATCTCCAAGCAGAAAACACTTTGACCTTGACGGAGGGGGTGAATCTGACGGCAGCTTTGCTTCTTCAAACAGAGCAGCATGAAGACTTCAAAACATTAATTCTTAGCTTTGTCAACATTGGGTTTAGCGCCGCATTTATTCCAATAGTTCTCTTTGTTGATTTTGGGAAAAGTAATTAGGCCATCATAACTTACATTTCCAGTCTGTCCATTCATCCCATTTTCACTCATTGGAAGAGTTTTGTTAAGTCCCATTTCTGTTTCCAAAATATCCATCCGTTTTTGAAGAGATTTGAGTTGATTTTCCAGAGAGCAGCAGCCATCGCAGACATTTCTCCGTTTCTTCCGTCCGGACATGACTAATGTTGACAAATTTCACAAAGCTGAAGTCTGTAGAATGAGTAATCCGTGTTTTTTAGAATAAAAATCTAAATAAAACGATTAAAAGAGATTACAAAGCGACGCAAGCAGCGGGGCAGCAAGGAACACGTCTACACTCTCCAAGCAGGAAGCATCAGGGGGATTAATATTTCGAGTGAAAATATGGTCGATGTAGCTCTGTCGGATCATTCTTGCATATTTGTTTGCTAGAAAACCACCAGCAGAATGTGCAATTGTTAGAAGAAAACACAAATGAAAACACTGGCGAACTGTTGGGAATCATACACTTTGAGAATGTATTGTGTTCTACTGTAGATGAACTGTTTAACTGTCACCTCTAGTGTTTTGAATGTTCTGGACACCATTGCTCCTGTGAAGGTTAAAATAGTAAAAAATAAGCAGATTCTGTCAGAGCACAGAGGAGAGGAAGTGGCACAAGTCCAACCTCCAGGTTTATCACGAGATCTTTAAATATAAGTTGTGCAAGCTTAAAGCTGCACTAACTGACTTTGGGATTTTGAAGCCGCGGACTCGCTGGCCTCGCTCTTTCTGCTCCCCTCCCCGCACCCACGAAGCTATCGCCCCCACACACACTCACTGTTGGGACGGAGCTAGTGTCTCCCAATATGGATAATACATGGATATGGATTTGCACGTGGATGGCGTGACCATAAAACGATAGAACCGGGAAGCGCGGAGGAACGGGACTTTCTTTTGGATGGCTGTTTCGCTAAGTAAGCAGTAACCGTGACGAAGACACACGAAGCTTCAGGTTAGCTCCTCGGCTTGTTGTGCTAACTCAGCTGTCTGTGCTAACGGACCTGTAGATTTCTCACGAAAGTGGGGGCTTTGGTCCGCTGTGATTGGTCACAATCCGCGACCCGAAACACATTCTCTTCCTTGTTTCATCAAAACTCGATCTAAAATATAATGTCACGCCAGCACAAATCTGCGCTAATTATTCTTCAAAAGGACGTATATCCCAATGCACTACATGGACATGGATAGCATTTTCGTAATGAATACGAAAATAAAGTCAGTTAGTGCAGCTTTAAATTGGGTGCTATGTTGAACGAGGATAAGTGTATTTTTCTGAAATTATCAAAGGCTGAAGTAATAACTGTAGGAGGAATAAAATGACCTCTTTGTATGCGGCCCTTCCTCCGCGCTGATAAGACCGCCGCCCCCCTGTGGGAGGCGGCCCGAGGAGTGCCAAAACCCTCACAGCTCCATTGTGACACGCTCTTACAAAGAAGACTGCGTGGGGAGAACCTCTATGCTCTCGGCCCTCCATTTTTCCCTGGAGGGCCGAGAGGCCTGACCGTCTGTACTCAATAGTCAAACCTCAGCTCCAGGTTTGAAAGGACTTCCACAACCCTTCAATAGCCTCCAGCTTCAACCTGAAGAAGTTGCTGAACCGTGGCTCCTAGACTGTGGATCGTGGGAGGACTTGGTTCAACCACATGATGCACCGCATTGGCCAGGCCCCATGAACAAGGACTGGCCCCTCATTCATCGCCATCAAGACCCAACAAGGACCGCCATCGACCAAAGGCCCATTCTGGTTGTATGATCTGCTCTTGCTTCACACAGTTGTTGGCTTAATAAAAATCTATAACTCAAACTAAGAACACTTCTCTTACAGAGGCTGCACACATGCAAGTCCGGGCCTACCAATCCATTTAGAAGGACAAAGGCCCACACATTAGCCTCATCTCACATTAGCCTAGCATGTTAACCATGTGTCTTGCAATCAATGTTTCCTTCATGTTATTCTTGACAATTTGCATATTTCATATCTAATCTGTATTGTACAGTGTCTTGCGAAAGTATTGAACCTTTCAACATTTCGCCACATTTCAGGCTTCAAACATAAAGATAAAATTTTAATCTTTTGTCATGAATCAACAACAAGTGGGACACAATCGTGAAGTGGAACGAAATTTATTGGATAATTTAAACTTTTTTAACAAATAAAAAACTGAAAAGTGGGGCGTGCAATATTATTCGGCCCCTTTACTTTCAGCGCAGCAAACTCACTCCAGAAGTTCAGTGAGGATCTTTGAATGATCCAATGTTGTCCTAAATGACTGATGATGATAAATAGAATGCACCTGTGTGTAATCAAGTCTCCGTATAAATGCACCTGCTCTTTGATAGTCTCAGGGTTCTGTTTAAAGCACAGAGAGAACCATGAAGACAAAGGAACACACCAGGCAGGTCCGAGATACTGTTGTGGAGAAGTTTAAAGCCGGATTTGGATACAAAAAGATTTCCCAAGCTTTAAACATCTCAAGGAGCACTGTGCAAGCAATTATATTGAAATGGAAGGAGTATCAGACCACTGCAAATCTACCAAGACCCGGCCGTCCCTCCAAACTTTCATCTCAAACAAGGAGAAGACTGATCAGAGATGCAGCCAAGAGGCCCATGATCACTCTGGATGAACTGCAGATAACTACAGCTGAGGTGGGAGAGTCTGTCCATAGGACAACAATCAGTCGTGCACTGCACACATGTGGCCTTTATGGAAGAGTGGCAAGAAGAAAGCCATTTCTCAAAGATATCCATAAAAAGTCTTGTTTAAAGTTTGCCACAAGCCACCTGGGAGACACACCAAACATGTGGAAGAAGGTGCTTTGGTCAGATGAAACCAAAATCGAACTTTTTGGCCACAATGCAAAACGATATGTTTGGGGTAAAAGCAACACAGCTCATCACCCTGAACACACCATCCCCACTGTCAAACATGGTGGTGGCAGCATCATGCTTTGGGCCTGCTTTTCTTCAGCAGGGACAGGGAAGATGGCTAACATTGATGGGAAGATGGATGGAGGCAAATACAGGACCATTCTGGAAGAAAACCAGTTGGAGTCTGCAAAAGACCTGAGACTGGGACGGAGATGTATCTTCCAACAGGACAATGATCCAAAACATAAAGCCAAATCTACAATGGAATGGTTCACAAATAGACGTATCCAGGTGTTAGAATGGCCAAGTCAAAGTCCAGACCTGAATCCAATCGAGAATCTGTGGAAAGAGCTGAAGACTGCTGTTCACAAACGCTCTCCATCCAACCTCACTGAGCTCGAGCTGTTTTGCAAGGAAGAATGGGAAAGAATTCCAGTCTCTCGATGTGCAAAACAGATAGAGACATACCCCAAGCGACTTGCAGCTGTAATTGCAGCAAAAGGTGGCGCTACAAAGTATTAGCGCAAGGGGGCCGAATAATATTGCACGCCCCACTTTTCAGTTTTTTATTTGTTAAAAAAGTTTAAATTATCCAATAAATTTCGTTCCACTTCACGATTGTGACCCACTTGTTGTTGATTCTTGACAAAAAATAAATGTATATCTTTATGTTTGAAGCCTGAAATGTGGCGAAATGTTGAAAGGTTCAAGAATACTTTCGCAAGGCACTGTATATACTTCATTAAATCTACAAAACCATCTTTGTCTGAAAGTGATATTTGTACTGATTTAACTCCAGAGATTGGGTCACTGATTTGTAAAATAATTCATTTCCTTCAGATTCTATTGAGAGAGAATTGGACTAACTAGCTAATCAAATAATTAATTACTCATATTTATTTATTTATTTAGAGGATAAGCCCCTTGAGATGAATCATCTTGTTTACGAGGGGGTCCTCAAGATTTTCACAAGGTGACAGATACAGCAAAACAGATACAAATAAAACAAAAATACAAGAAAATAAAGAAAAAAGCAACCATAAAAAAATACACACACATAAAGCCTCAAGCACACACACTCATACTGTACACTCAAACTCACACACACGCGTGACTGTACTGTAGTTACACTAAATAAGGATAATATTATTAATATTAATAGTATATTAGTAATAATAATAATTAGGAGACAGTAAAGACAAGATTAGGTCTCATAACCTAAGATAAATAACATTGACATGAATTCTGGAGATACTGTAGCAGAGCAGATTTAAACAGAGGCAGAGAAGTTAGAGCGAATAGACAACGGCATACTGTTCCAGACGGAGCTTTAAATTCAAATGCATGTTTTCCAGCTTCTGTTTTCACTCTTGGAACCACAAAAAAAAGATTGATTTGCATGACGCAAACTGTACGAGGATTGGAAAGGAATGAGATATTGTTTTAAATATTCAGGAAAAATGAGTTTAATACATTTGAAAATAAACAATAGCCAATGCAGCTGACGTCTAACCTGGCAAGAGCCAGATTGATGATTGTGTAGAACTCTAATGCGTTCTCCACAATATCAATCTGGGACTTCTGCAGGAGAATCCTTTCGGGGAAAGGAGGGATAAGCAGCAGAATACTTCAAGCTGATTGGGCGAAGTGACGCTGTGTGCCCACCTACCAAGGTTTGACTCAAACCAATCCCGGTAACATTATGTCGTCATCGGCGTGCACAAAGCACCTCTCGCTGTTGCATCTTTCAGAAAAGAAATTGGAGATTCTGCTAAAACTGACTTGATAGCCTCAGCTACGCGTCCGTCCTCCTGCGTAGCCATGTTTGTTTTGCTTCGGCCCGGCACTTCTTGCTTTCGTCAAACCCGGATATCCCGCCCTAAACCCCCAGACTGGCGCGTGATTGGCTTGAACACCTAGATGATCTACTCGAAAAGGGTTGGCGGGAGCGGGGCAAGATGTATTCTCCAGTGTTTGTGAACTCACAAATACCGCGAGAATTCAGCTTGCAGGCAAGGTTAGCTGACGTCTGGAGGACAGAGAGAGCCACGACAGCTGCTCGTACATCAGGCAGTGATGGGTTCTGAACGGACAGCGGAGGATGAACCTACACAGACTGTTGTAAGAGACAGTCAGAGGCTGGAGAACAGAGGCAGAGGTGTTTTGATAAATTATATCACAGTAGTCAAGAATGGGGAGAATCAATTGAGAAATGATCCTCTTCCTTACTGATAAACTAAAACAGTTAATTGAATGATAAAGTAATTTTACACTATAGGAAATTTTGTTAGTAATTGTTTGTATATGAATATTAAATGACAGAGAAGGATCGAGCCATAAGCCGAGATATTTAAACCGATCTACAACTGGAACTGGAGACATCACAAGATCACAACACAAGATTAATTTCATTTGTGGAAACAGGACACACTGTCTTCTGGAATAGCAAAACATTTGTTTTTGATTTGTTTAGAAATAAATTGTTAGATTGTAGCCATAATTGAACTGAATTGAAGTCATTTTGAATAGAGTGTTGGATATCAGCAATATTAGCTTTGGATGAATAGATTACTGTATCATCAGCATAAAGTTGGATCTGACAGTCTGTACATGCAAGGGGAAGATCATTAATGAATATGGAGAACAGTAGAGGACCAAGTGATGAGCCCTGCGGCACCCCTCTCTCATATGATTACAGGATCAATAAATGAGCCAATTAGTAGATAACATGACGTCATACGCACGTTATTTGTGATTTAATTCAATGGTGCCCTGAAATAAAGCTATTATCAATTATTGTATTTACTACATGATTGTTTTGATCCAATTCTCCGATATCAAACACATAACTTAAGTTATGTGATATCGACTTTCGCACCCTACATAACCTACATGTTCATTTATTAATAGCTAATAGAGTAACAAACCCTCCTGTTCAGCTGCCGTTAGAGCTGACGTCCTAAACTTAAAATGAAAAGCGCCATTTTCAAACAGCCAGCAAGGCTCTTAGAGCTAACTCACTTTGCAACTGTAGATGATAAAACTGTCCATGAGTCTGAATTTCTCCACATGCAGCCTGGATGCATTACCTGTGTGTATATGTATATGTGTTATATCTGTATATTTTATTTTATTTTTATTATTTTTTGTTTGGCACAATGGGTGAAAAAAAAATAAAAAAATAAAGTGTGTAATATGGTTTTTGGAACTTTGCCTTGATCGTGCTGAGATGTGAGCAAAGACGCAATAAAGTATAACAAAAAAACAAAGTCTGTTCTGAGCATTCCTTTACGTTCACTCACACAGATAGTAAACATGTTCCTTCATTCTGAAACTCCGCTAACGGAGCCCGTGGGGAGTAGCGCCACAATCTTGACCAGCGATTACATTTGCTAAACATTCCTCTTGCTCCGCCTTCAATTTCTTGATAGAACCAGACCAGATTACTTTACTATCGCATTTTTCGCCACTGCCAAACTACAACCTGCCCGTTCCGCGCAAACTCTTGACGTCACCCACAACTAACTACAGCACCCGCCTCCCACGCTCGCTGAATGGTCGGATGGAATTCAACCGATTGTATTCGCTAACACAGGGACCAGACCCTGACGTTACATGCAGTGAAATGATGATTGAGCGGAGTGTTCGGATGGATAAGGCCTGGCTAGGTAATGTACTGTGATTATTTATGATTTTAAGGACTTGTGTGACTGTCTCCATCATATTTTGTTCAGCACTTTGAATTGCCTTGTGTGTGAACGGTGCTATACAAATAAACTTCCCCTCGGCAGGGGGAGGGGCTGTGATGTCATACCTTTTTGAGGGGAGGGGCTGTGATGTCATACCTTTGTGAGTGGTGGGGCCGTGAGTGCGCGCAGCTGTCCTCCGCTCCACCAGAGGGCGTAGTAGCCGTTGGGAGGGCTCATGTCGAACAGCCCCTTCCTCTGCCCAGACTCAGAGACCACGCCCACTTTCCAGTCCTTATTCTCCCCCACAAATACCTGAAGAAGGAGGAAAACCTAAATATGGGATACAGGGGTCTACAGATGTGTTTGGGAGCGGCGTCTACAGCTGTACCTCCCAGTAGTGGCGTCCTGTGACAAAGGCGTCCTTTGCGGTGACACACGACCACACGTCAAAACGCTGAGGACTGTTTCTGTAGAACTGCAACTTTTCTCCTCGTTTCACCTGAAACACACTTTTAAATGATTATACACACAGACACACACACACACACACACACACACACACACACACACACACACACGCTTTATAAGCGATTATACACACACACACACACACACACCTGTTTTCGATCCTCAGACAGAATGAGAAACGGGTACGCAGACACCGGGTTGAGAACCACATCCTCTGAAAACACAACCACAGGTCTTTCTCTTCAGTCCGTCATCCTGGTGCTGTTGGCGCTCAAAACATAACTTACCCATGTAGACTTTGGCTTTCTTGTGTCCTATGGAAAAACACTTATTAATTTATTGAGAACAGTACAAAAGTCGACTTTGAGACGAACCTGTGACCAGTTTGTTCTTCTTGGTCTCTGAAAAACAAAACATTCAGTTTTAAAGAATTAATACACACAACTTGCGGCTCTAAGCTCAGGGCCCTCATCCCCGCTTGCGGCTATAACCTCAGGGCCGCTTGCGGCTATAACCTTACAGCAGCAAGCATAGACTAGGGAGTCTGTGAGATTTCATAACACTTTGAAGCAACTTTTGTTAAAGTTAAACTCATCATTCTATCAATGTGCAGAAGCCAGTACTTTTCCCTTGTTTTGTCTATCTGAAGGCCAAGCTACATGGCACTGTGGCAGCTGTTGATTGGAGGTCTCCATGCCTCCGCTCTGTATAATACACTTGCATTCTGTTGTATCTGTGATCGTGCTGTCTCTACCATCGACAATAAAACATGTCTTCTGTCTGAATTAAAGACGCGATCCCAGACTTTGTCATCTTCTTCAAGTCTATGATTGCGGCTATAAGCCCAGGGCCCTCGTCTCTGCTTGCGGCACTAACCTCGGGGCCCTTGTCTCCACTTGCGGCCCTTACCCTTCACGTTCCAGTGACTGCGGCGGAGGCTGGTGCTGCTCTGGTTCAGACTCATAAGACTCTCGGCCGCCATCTGGTCATACAGCGGCACTGCAACAGAAGGAGGTTAAGTCAGCGATCGGCGGATGTTTTTTTTTCCTCTGACACTCACTGGGAGCGTAGGCGTCATGCTCCTCTCTGGACGGCGTCTGTGATTGGTTCATGCGCACGTCGGCCATCTTGTCTGCGACGTGGATCAGCATAGACTTCACCTCCGACAAATGGAACTGCAGCCCCAGCGGCTCCTCGTCCTCCTGCTGAGAGTCTGCGGGGGGCACCACCGAGTCCATGCTCTGGAACCACACTGCTGTCACGGCAACGCACACACTCAGCATGGAGATAGGCTGTTAGCTTGGTTATGATAGGTCATGCTATGCTAACATCCATAGTCAAAGCAGGTGACAAAAGTATTAGATACATTATAAAAGAGACCTTTTGGAGAGTTAGCTTTAGCCAAGCTGTCACACACACGTCATATTCACACACACTGTCACACACAAGGACACACACTGTCAGTCATAGTCACACAAACTAGAGGTGTGTCCAAATTCATTTACAATGTCCCCGTCAAATGAACGAGGCTCATGGCGGCCAACGCATGTGCAAATTTGTTTTTTCACCATTTTCCGGAGCCATTTTTAAACTGCCCACAGAAGGCAAAAGTGGTGGCACATTAGTTTCAACAGCGGAGATGGGTGTGACTATGTCCGTTATTATTATCAGTCTATGCTTAGAGGCTGACATCCCGGCCTCTACTGCTGCTTATACGTCTTCTTAATTCATAATGTGCTCTTATAACATCATACATCTGTATATTTACCAGACTCCTCGTGTCTGCATAGGTTTCCTTTTGGGGTGCTCGGGTTTCCCCTACCACTAAAAATATGAACCGTGTCTCAGGAACAATAAGGCATCACATGTATCCTTCCAATCTGCTCCAAAAGTGTCCGTTTCCATGGAGATGACGGTATGATCCCTTTGCTATCTTTCTTGCCATTGTAAATTTGGACACCCTGTAATCCCTGACTCACACGGAAGAGACGTCACAATACCTACAAATGCTCCCTACGTAAGGCGTACGTCTTGCCTACGAATCGGGACACACCTACTTCCACACACACGGTCCCCACTCTGTCACATCTACCTGTAGAAACCGTATATGGTCTTGGCTCGTAGCAACAGTCTCCAATTCGCTGCGTTTGACATTGAGCTCTTTAAGCTCCGCCTCTAGTCGATTTGTAAGCTCTGCCCCATGTGACATCACGGCATCAAGCTCTATCTGCATCCCGCCCACGACTTGAGTCCTGATCCGGTCCACGGCCTGGACCACTGAGTCCAGAAGCCGGTCCACCTCTGAGACCTCGCCGTCTGTGTACGCCTAGACCAATCACAGAAGAGGCAAGGTTTGAACAGCCAATCAGAGAAGAGGAGAGGCCAGGCCAATCAGAGAAGAGGAGGGGAGTGAGCGGCTAATCAGGAGAGGAGGGGAGAGGAGGGGGGAAATCAGAGGAAAGAGGTTTGAACGGGACAATCACAGGAGATAAGAGGGGGAAATATATTCACACATTAGCTAGAGTTCTCCGTGTCAGGGTGTGGCCACTTTGCAGAGTTAACGCACCTTAACTGAGTCCAGTTTGCGGCCCACTTCGTTCAGACGCAGCTCTCTGTGTTTGATCCTTGTCACGATGTCCTGCTCCAACCTGGCAACGTGTTTCTGTAGGAGGATCTGGAATTACTACTACCACTACCATTACCTCCTCCTTCCCTGCCTGGGATCGTCTTCAGTTCTGGATCTACAGCCTCCACCTCTCTGTGCCTCCCTTCTCTGCCCCACGTCCTCCCTCTCCTTTTTTCCCCACCTCCCAGCAAATAGCCCCCTCCCCCTCATCTCCATCCCCTCCCCACCTGTTTGCTGAGTCTCTCCGTCTGCACAGACACAGTCTTGTGAGTGCGATGTTCCTCCAGGACACAGATGGCGCAGATGCACTTCTGACAGGAGCGACAGAAGACCTGAATCAGAGAGAGACCGTTTAAAGCAGCGTTCACATCGGATCATCCAGGGTTTAATGCAAAGTCAATGGTGACGTCCGTTTGTCCGAGGAAATGTGCATCGCGGCACGCACGTTTGTCCTGCACGGCAGACGAGGCATTGCGGCAAGGCAGAGGCGGTGTGCACACAGACTTTATGTATGCGCACAAAGTGGTCATGGGGACACTAGCGGTCAGAGTGAGAAGACTGAAGATACTCGTAAACAGCTAAACCAGGAATAAACCAGGGCTGACAATGGGGAACACAGCACTTGTGAACATATGCCTCCAGCCTGAGTTCTCATTCATCCAACTGTAAACAAGTGCTGCTAACATGTTTGTCAACGCGGAAATAGTTTAACAATAAAATGTACTTATGGCGCACTTCTGTGAACACATACTGCGTTTTATGAAGTCTCTGGAAGGTCTCTAGACACAGAGATGCTGCTGAGTTACATTCTTGAAGAAGAACACAAAAAGCTGCTAGCTTAACCCCTCTAGCATCAAAACCCATCCGCCTCTTCTGTCCTACTTTTCCCCACCGCAGGGCTGTGCTTCCAATTTTCTAAACTCATGCGGCTGAGATTTAGAGAAGGTGCGTCCAGTGCGCGTGGACGCTGCGTTCATGTGTTGGTGGTGTGAACGTAGCTTTAGACCTGGACCTGGACCAGACAGAGACAGACCAGCGAAGGAGACCAGAGAGACCAAACATGACCAAACCAGACCCACCTCGAGCATCCGGTCGTGCTGCTCACACGTGCGGCCCTTCAGCGCCTCCTGTGGGTGAAGGAGGGTATGTCTAGAGTAAAAGGGCGTGGTCTTGTGAGGCACCACGTGGGTGGAGCAATACGACACCATACAGGTCAGACAAGAGCTGACAGCGGGCTGCTTCAGACCTGCCAGGGAAGACAGAGTGAGATAACAGAGAGAAACCAGTGGAAACAGCTCTTGTTGCTCACTTACTTGTGCACACGTCGCACCACACAGTCTCTCCGAGCTTCACACGCTCCAGGTCAAGCTCCGCCCCTTGTGACAATGCCCCCGCGGCCCCTGCTGGGCCCTCCCATTGTGACCACGCCCCCTCGGCTCCTGCTGGCCCCAACCCCTCCTCATCAGGGCCATAGCGCTTCAGCTTGAACTTGTGGGCGATGGCGGCGAAAATACGGTTCACAGACAAAAGGGGGCGCTCCTCGAACTCCCGCTTACACAGAGGACAGGTGCAGACGGCAGACGAGGCCCAGTAACCCCCAATGCAAGCCTGTAACAGAGGGGCGGGGCCAGTGAGCCAGGACCTGAGGTAGACTATGTTCTGCCAACGTCATGCTAACAGCTGGTATTACATCTTAAACTAACAAAAACAGAGTACAGAGAAGTGTAGAAGAGATGTTGAAGTAGTAGCAGCACTCGCAGTACTTCAGTCAAAGTAGCACTCGCAGTACCTCAAAGTAGCACTCGCAGTACTTCAGTCAAAGTAGCTCTTGCAGTACTTCAGTCAAAGCAGCACTCGCAGTACTTCAGTCAAAGTAGCACTCGCAGTACTTCAGTCAAAGTAGCACTCGCAGTACTTCAGTCAAAGTAGCACTCGCAGTACTTCAGTCAAAGTAGCTCTTGCAGTACTTCAGTAGTCGTCCTCCTTCAGTAGCTTCTTTACAGCCTTTACACACAGGACTGCACAACGACACACTAACTCCGTAGTGAAGTTTGCTGACGACACAGTTGGGTGCATTGCTAAAAACAACGAGGCTGCCTATTATTACTGGAGTAACAGTTTGGTCATCAACATCTCTAAAACTAAGAAGATGCAAATGATCTTTATAACTTCTGTTCCTCCTCTTGCATTTGTAAGAAAATGATTGAAACGGATCCTATCTCAGAAATGTTTTGAGTGGTGCACCAGACTACTGTTTCAAAGGCCCAATCACTTCTGGCACGCAGTGTGGAAACCATTTTGGGATTACTATAAGGAGGTATTTAATGGTAATGGAGGAAAAGGAATGCTCCAAAGATTGCTCTTTTTAAGTCTTATTTATCTTATTTATAAATATACACACAGTACATTACATACATATACAGTGCCTTGCGAAAGTATTCGGCCCCCTTGAACCTTTCAACATTTCGCCACATTTCAGGCTTCAAACATAAAGATATAAAATTTAATTTTTTTTGTCATGAATCAACAACAAGTGGGACACAATCGTGAAGTGGAACGAAATTTATATAAAAAACTGAAAAGTGGGGTGTGCAATATTATTCGGCCCCTTTACTTTCAGTGCAGCAAACTCACTCCAGAAGTTCAGTGAGGATCTTTGAATGAGCCAATCATGTCCTAAATGACTGATGATGATAAATAGAATGCACCTGTGTGTAATCAAGTCTCCGTATAAATGCACCTGCTCTTTGATAGTCTCAAGGTTCTGTTTAAAGCACAGAGAGAACCATGAAGACAAAGGAACACACCAGGCAGGTCCGAGATACTGTTGTGGAGAAGTTTAAAGCCGGATTTGGATACAAAAGATTTCCCAAGCTTTAAACATCTCAAGGAGCACTGTGCAAGCAATTATATTGAAATGGAAGGAGTATCAGACCACTGCAAATCTACCAAGACCCGGCCGTCCCTCCAAACTTTCATCTCAAACAAGGAGAAGACTGATCAGAGATGCAGCCAAGAGGCCCATGATCACTCTGGATGAACTGCAGATAACTACAGCTGAGGTGGGAGAGTCTGTCCATAGGACAACAATCAGTCGTGCACTGCACAAATCTGGCCTTTATGGAAGAGTGGCAAGAAGAAAGCCATTTCTCAAAGATATCCATAAAAAGTCTTATTTAAAGTTTGCCACAAGCCACCTGGGAGACACACCAAACATGTGGAAGAAGGTGCTCCGGTCAGATGAAACCAAAATCGAACTTTTTGGCCACAATGCAAAACGATATGTTTGGCGTAAAAGCAACACAGCTCATCACCCTGAACACACCATCCCCACTGTCAAACATGGTGGTGGCAGCATCATGCTTTGGGCCTGCTTTTCTTCAGCAGGGACAGGGAAGATGGCTAAAATTGATGGGAAGATGGATGGAGCCAAATACAGGACCATTCTGGAAGAAAACCTGTTGGAGTCTGCAAAAGACCCGAGACTGGGACGGAGATTTATCTTCCAACAGGACAATGATCCAAAACATAAAGCCAAATCTACAATGGAATGGTTCACAAATAGACGTATCCAGGTGTTAGAATGGCCAAGTCAAAGTCCAGACCTGAATCCAATCGAGAATCTGTGGAAAGAGCTGAAGACTGCTGTTCACAAACGCTCTCCATCCAACCTCACTGAGCTCCAGCTGTTTTGCAAGGAAGAATGGGCAAGAATTCCAGTCTCTTGATGTGCAAAACTGATAGAGACATACCCCAAGCAACTTGCAGCTGTAATTGCAGCAAAAGTTGGCGCTACAAAGTATAAGCGCAAGGGGGCCGAATAATATTGCACGCCCCACTTTTCAGTTTTTTATTTGTTAAAAAAGTTTAAATTCCATCCATCCATCCATTTTCTTCCCTTTAATCCATTTCTGGGTCAGGGGGGTGGCAATCAGAGATGCCACCCAAGTCTCATAGCACCAGCCCCTCACTGACCCTCTGCAGGTGGTGAGTCCACAGGAGGACGGCTGCTCTCTGAGTGTGAGCATAGCCTTGATCTTTCAGTGGGGCTTTGGGCAAAGTGGGGTTAAGTGTCTTGCCCAAGGACACAACGACAGCAGTCATCAGTGGGAGTCGGTGGAGAAGGTGCAGAGGTGGGAATTGAACCCACGACCTTCTGGCCTTAAGGCCAATGCTCTACCAACTGAGCTACTGCCGCCCACTTCACGATTGTGTCCCACTTGTTGTTGATTCTTGACAAAAAATATCATTTTTATATCTTTATGTTTGAAGCCTGAAATGTAGTGAAATGTTGAAAGGTTCAAGGGGGCCGAATACTTTCGCAAGGCACTGTATTTCTATTTTTTCATTATTTCAATGTGTTATAATCACTTTGTTAACGGGAGGAGATCACTGTATTGTTTCATGTGAAGATGTCTGGATATTGTATGTATAACAATAAAAAACATATTGAAAAAAAATCAATAAAATAAAACTTCTGTTCCCTTTCGGCCAACTCAGGAGCAGCTTTTTCGTCTGACATTATTTTGTCATTAGCCACAATTCTAAGAAGTACTTAGAAGAGCTGTGTAGAAGAAAGAAGACTCGTATAAATATCTGGGAGTTAACAATCATTGAGAACATGAAATGGGACCAGAACATCTCTGTGGTGAAGAAGTCCAGGCAGCGGCTGCACCACAGTTTAGTTTTTTGTTTATAAAACAAGGACAATGTACAAAACCATTAGTCTTTTACTATTTACAAAAGAAAGAGCACCATCTCAGCAGAAGCTCCAGTGGAGCCTCTCTGACAGCTACGTTAGCACCACAGAGTGTGGCCTGAAGTCGTTCAGGAAGATGCTGCTGAGCGCATCACAAGGACAACGCTGCTCCAGCCCCAGGAGCTGTACATGAAGAGCTTTGTGAGAAGGGCACAGCAAGATTATGGCAGACATGTTATTAACTGTGTTGTTGACATGTATGTGACAAACAAGTATATCTAGTATCTAGTAGTAGCAGTACTTTACCTGGCAGTAGTAATAAAGCATTGGTTTGATACAGCGCTTTTCTGGACACTCCAAGACGCTTCACACGTCATTAATCATTCACTCCATACACGGTGGTGTTAAACTACTACTGTAGCCACAGCTGCCCTGGGGCACACTGACAGAAGCAAGGCAACCAGTCTGTGCCGTCAGCCCCACCGACCACCACCAACAATTCACACACACAGCAGACTCATTCTAGGTAATAGAGGTGAAGTGTCATGCCTAAGGACACAACAACAGTTTACAGCTGCAAAATCACAGCCTGGTTAGTGCTGTGAGCTTCAGAGGTTGGACGTTATCTGGCTTTTGCATGTGTGGCCACTTAGCGGTAATAGTACTTGTACCTGGCAGAAGTTGTGGCCGCATGGCGTGGACACTGGTTGGTTGAACAGGTCCAAACAGATAGAGCAGGTGAGCTCCTGTTCAGTGAAGAGCTCTGGGTCCTCCATCAGAGAGGTCAGAGGTCACTGCTGGTCTCTGCAGGTGTTGAGTCAACGTGATGTCGTCGGGGGCAGGGCCAGACAGGTGGCAGGCGGTGGGGCTTGACCAGTATTTCCAGTCCTCAGATCAGAATGTCAAACAGATTTACAACAACAACACGACCAGAACACAGGACTAAGGCTGGACTAAGGCTGGACTAAAGTGGAACTTATGCAGGTTTCAAGCAGGACTAAAGCAGGTTAAATGCAGGTTTCAAGCAGGACTAAAGCAGGTTAAAAGCAGGTTTCAAGCAGGACTAAAGCAGGTTAAAAGCAGGTTTCAAGCAGGACTAAAGCAGGTTAAATGCAGGTTTCAAGCAGGACTAAAGCAGGTTAAAAGCAGGTTTCAAGCAGGACTAAAGCAGGTTAAAAGCAGGTTTCAAGCAGGACTAAAGCAGGTTAAATGCAGGTTTCAAGCAGGACTAAAGCAGGTTAAAAGCAGGTTTCAAGCAGAACTAAAGCAGGACTAAAGTAGGTATTTTTTCACATCAGAACTTTGGCCTCCTTCTCAGAAAAGGAAAATTAACAGCTTTGCAGCTGGTGAAATAGTGAAGATGGAAAATACACTCACCTGGTTCAATAGGGACAATATATAGTAATCCTGCTGTAGTCCTGGTTCAGTTCTGGTACAGTCCTGGTGCAAACCTCGTTCAGTCTCAGGTGTTGGCTGTGGTCACGTGACACAGGTGCAGCAGGTTTGATCACATACTACAAAGGGGGCGTGGCTCTTCAATGTAAACAGATGTGCCAGAGAGCATCATGGGAAATGTAGGTAAACGAAGATGAGATTATTTGGATTTTCATCATTTGGCATCAACCTCATCCACACAGACCTGCAGCAGTGTTAGCCACGCCCCCGGGTCTCCAGGATGTCTGCCTGTTCAGAATAACACACTGCTAGTTTTTAACACAAGTAATCTTTCATAAATATTTCTCCTTCTATAATTTGTCCAAGATCCTTACATATTTTGAAGCCCAGTAAGATCTACACACGTCTACATCAGGTTATGGTGCACTGCAAGAACATGAGTCTGCCCTGCTCTATTATGTCTCCATCGACCCTGTTGAACCGATGTTGAACCAGGCCGAGCTTAGGTAAACTTCTGACTGACAGTGATAGAAGCCATGATTACAAGGAATAGAGCAGTGTATAGCGTCCTCCTGTGGCACATGTCTGTCATTACAGCTGTTTATACAGACACCCTCTGAATGACACGTTTCCACCGCCGGAGTTCCTGGTAAAAGGGGTGGAACTTTTACAGGAACCCTCCTCTCCCTCAGTCCTCAGCGTGTCTTATGAGTTGATCACTGCATAAGCGAAACTCACATTACGCCAAACATGTTATTCTGGATCCTTGTGCCAAACCCATTTGTTTATTTTACGGTTGTTGTGGTTTTTGTGTTTCTTCAGTTTTGTTAAACTTTTCAAGGCTTGTTTTGGAGTGTGACGAATCCCCAGTGCTTCGTGGTGAAGCTGATGTCCTAATAATATATCTCTTCATTTCGCCGCAATGCCTAAAACCCTGTCTGAAGCCGAGCTGTTGTTCCAGTGGTGTCTGCTAGGCTAATGCCGGTTGTTTTGGTGCTTTCTGCTGGCGTCTGAGCCTGTGCTAGCTTTGGCCAATCAGCGCCGGGTTTACCTCAAGTCCCACCAGTGCCCAACGGAGTACCTTGCATGGAAGAGGGACTCCGTTGGGCCCAGTCCCGGCTCAAAAGTGGCCAAAATGATGTGCGCTGACATGCTGCAATACCACCCCGGGCCGATGGGGGTGGACCCAGAATAAGAATTAGCCAATGCTAACATATAGCATTGGCAGACCTCTCGAAAACGTCTGAGCGGGGTGAATTTGTTTGGTCCACTCTAGTTTACTTGCTGGGAATTTTTGAAGTCTCTCGTTCAAATGAATGGAGCTGCGCCGGCTGACGCATGCGCAGATGTGTTTTTTCACAATTTTCTTGTGGGCGGGACCACTCGCGGCCCTTTTGGATAGCTCCAGTAGAGCATATTTTTTGGCCCATTAGTTAGAACAGCGGAGATAGGCGTGACTCTGTCCGTTAATATATACAGTCTATGGTTGGGCCCACTTAAAAGTTCCTGCAAATGGCCCTGTGAGGAAAGTTACTGCAGTGGAAACGCGTCTCATGGCCGCTCAGAGGAGTGATCGTATGAATAGGCTTTTATCACTGCGCTGCCGAACGGAACGTTTCAAGAGAACCTTAGTTCCTTCAGCTGTCAGACTACACACTTCCATCCATCCATTTTCTTCCCCTTAATCCATTTCTGGGTCGGGGGGGGTGGCCAGAGATGCCACCCAGTACACAGAACACCAGCCCCTCACTGATCCTCCTGCAGGTGGTGAGTCCACAGGAGCTGAGATCTTTCAGTGGGGGCTTCAGGCAAAGTGGGGTTAAGTGTCTTGCCCAAGGACACAACGACAGCAGTCATCAGTGGAGTAGGTCTTACGGTGGGCTCGAACCCACGATCTTCAGGCTCAAAGGCCAATGCTCTACCAACTGAGCTACTGTTGCCCCTGAGCTACTGTCGCCCCCACTGTATGAGTTTATTAGGTAGTTAATTAGAAATGTTTATAATTCATGTACTTATGTGTTTATATGGATGTGTTTTCTGCTGCTGGACACCTACATTTCTCCTACAGAGATCAATAAAGTATCTATCTCGCTAGCTATCTAGCTATACATACAGGATTTCTCAGCCTGTGATTTCACACAGCCTTAAGAACAACATTCAAAACAGAATGGAAACAAAACAAATCAAGGTTTCACTTTTTTATTTGCATACATTTTGTACAAACATTTAAACTGAAGCTGATCCGGCCGAGATCTAGGTCCTTAAAAGTCTTTATAATGCAGAAGCCTGGAATAGAAGATCAGAAAACACAGTTAAAACAGCTCCTCTGTCCTCACCTGTACATAGGGGCAGATCTTACAGCACCAAGGGGCAGGGCTCACCTGTACAGAGGGGCATGGCCTTTGTTTGTTGCTAGGCAGAAGAAGCCGCTGTGGGGGGAGAAGGCAGCATCCTGAACTTTGTGGCAGATTTTCCTCCTTGATACCGGGAAGTTGGAGAAGACTGTAAGAGACGGGACATGGAGCTGGGGACGAGAGATACACCCGTTAGCTACATGGATCTGGATAGGGTATTACTAGCTTGGAGCTGAAGGACCCATGTGCTCATGGGATTCTCGCGGTACTGCAGACTAAACAAGACTAATTTCACGTGGGCTACTAAGAGATTTTCCCCGTAGAACTCAATGTAAACTAAAACAGCTCGACCTCAGCTGACAGAGAACCTACAGCTTTCATAAAAGTCGGATTTTGTGGGGATTTAGTTTTCTATAAATCCACACTTTAGTGCCACAAACTCCGCTCGATCATCTCCCACTCTGGCTCCGCTCTGATTGGTCAAAGCACTGAAGAGCCCCTCTGTGCACGTGCATGAAAGCCACACGCGCGTATTTGGAGCAATGCATCATGGGAGCTCGTCCACTGCGCAGAACAGGGAGGACCAGACGATGCCCAAATATGGGTGAGTTCCGCTAATCATTTACTGCCCATGGTGGCACATGCGCCACTGAGCACAAGCCACCGATTTGAAAAGAACCCCATCTTGGATCACCAGGATTTGGTTAGCTCCTGTGGTGGTCTGTTAGCTCCTGTGGTGGTCTGTTAGCTCCTGTGGTGGTCTGTTAGCTCCTGTGGTGGCCTTACCATCCTTGAGGCCTCATCCTCGGCGCGGGAACCCAGGAACAGCAGCTCGGAGCTGGGGTTGAAGCTCAGGCAGGTGGCGGCCGTCACCAGGTTCATGACTGACTTCAGGAGTGTTGGTTCAGAAGAAGAGTCCAGAGAGTACATGTTCACCACACCGGACTGAGACCTGAGAAAGACCAGGGTTAGACCAGGGTTAGACCAGGGTTAGACCAGGGAGAGAGAGAGACACCTGAGACAAGGGTTAGATCCTATGATTAGATAAGAGGGGCCAGAGAACTGGGATGGACCAGAGAGAGAGACCAGGGAGAGAGACCAGGGGACATGTGTAGTCTGTTAGCTTCTGAGGCAGAGACAGTAGAGCTACCAGAGAGAGGCTTAAGACCAGGGATATAGACCAGGGTTCGATCAGACGGAGACCAGGGACCAGGGATAGACCAAAGAGGCCAGAGACCAGGGATAGACCAGGGTTTGAACAGAGAGAGACCAGAGACCAGGGTTAGACCAGGGTTTGAACAGAGAGAGACCAGAGACCAGGGTTAGACCAGGGTTTGAACAGAGAGAGACCAGAGACCAGGGTTAGACCAGGGTTTGAACAGAGAGAGACCAGAGACCAGGGTTAGACCAGGGTTTGAACAGAGAGAGACCAGAGACCAGGGTTTGAACAGAGAGAGACCAGAGACCAGGGTTAGACCAGGGTTTGAACAGAGAGAGACCAGGGATAGACCAGGGTTTGAACAGAGAGAGACCAGGGTTAGACCAGGGTTTGAACAGAGAGACCAGAGACCAGGGTTAGACCAGGGTTTGAACAGAGAGAGACCAGGGTTAGACCAGGGTTTGAACAGAGAGAGACCAGGGTTAGACCAGGGTTTGAACAGAGAGAGACCAGAGACCAGGGTTAGACCAGGGTTTGAACAGAGAGAGACCAGGGTTAGACCAGGGTTTGAACAGAGAGAGACCAGGGTTAGACCAGGGTTTGAACAGAGAGAGACCAGAGACCAGGGTTTGAACAGAGAGAGACCAGGGTTAGACCAGGGTTTGAACAGAGAGAGACCAGGGTTAGACCAGGGTTTGAACAGAGAGAGACCATAGACCAGGGTTAGACCAGACTGAGGGTAGCAATGACTCACCCACATGCGAGGTATTGGCCGTTTGGAGAAACCGCAATGGAGGTGGATTTCACACAACCGTTGTCTGTGAATCTGCTCAGACATCGAGCAGAACGAAGATCCCACAGGTACACCTCCCCTTCCTCTGTGGAGAGAGTACAGGGCCATGAGGAGGGAGGAGGAGTGAGGAGAGAGGGGGGAGAAGTTTCCATCTTGGGGTGAATCTGTGGCCCAGTCCCAATACCCACACACTGCAGCCTCTACAAAGTGTGCATTTGTTTGAAGTGCACGCAAGGGTTTGAGTGCGCAGGTTACAAGCGTGCAAAAAAGGCGGAATTGGGACAGTGCAGGTGATGTCATCGACTCGTCAAGAGAGGGTCATTTTCAGACCTAAACTCTATAAAAATTAAAGGTAATTTTGTCTGACCCTGTGGGAAACAAAATGAGTTGCTCCACACACGTTAAATTAAATGTATATTGGTTATTCGCAATTTGAGATAGCTGTATAATATTAAGTTAAATGTGGATAACTAACTGTTCTCTGGTCAGTTTTTATACATCTTAAGTTTATTGTACTAAGTGTGAGGTTTAAATTGAATGTTATATGAATGCTTGCTTTAAAAAGTTATTCAATTGTTAAAATACAATGTCCGTAATTCTTCATCAGAACATTTATGCTTCTTTCCAAGTAACTTAGCAAACCATCATCGGGAACGCGCAAATGAGGGGCGCGAGGGTGGAAGTGCGAGGGTGGAAGTGCGAGGGTGGAAGTGCGAGGGTGGAAGTGCGAGGGTGGAAGTGCGAGGGTGGAAGTGCGAGGGTGGAAGTGCGAGGGTGGAAGTGCGAGGGTGGAAGTGCGAGGGTGGAAGTGCGAGGGTGGAAGTGCGAGGGTGGAAGTGCGAGGGTGGAAGTGCAAGGGTGGAAGTCCGAGTATTGGGACCGGGCCTGTATTGACCAAAGAGTGGCCTGTGAGTGATCCGTGACTGACCTGAGCTGCAGTACACCCTGTCACCTGTAGGGGACACACACACAGAGCTCACGTCTCCGTTCAGCTTCAAACTGCGCACCACCTCGTTCGTCTGCACACACACATAAGATTTATGGAGTAAGACATAACCAGGATGTGTGTGTGAGAGAGAGTGAGAGAGATTAGTAGGAGTAGCACATTAATGAAGAGATCTACGTGTCAATGACGTCAAAATCCAGCTTCAGACTTCTGTTGGGTGCTTCTCCTGAACTCGACGACTGTATACATCATGATCCCAGAGAGAAAGCTTTCGGCTCTAATGTTTCTGTCTCTGAATGAGGCCTGATGTGCAAATCCACAGCGGTCCATACACTGTAACAATATCATTTTGCTGATACGGGATGCTGTCAATCACATGGGGCTAGATTTTGGGGGTGCGCCACAACCATAAAAAGCACTGCACAATTGCACACGGCTTGTAGGGAACACAGGACGTCAGTGTAATAAGCATAGATTATATATATTACCGGACGTAGTCACCCCTATCTCTGCCGTTGAAACTAATGGGCCATCACTTTTGCCTTCTGTGGGCTTTTTCAAAATGGCTGCAGGGAAGTAAAATGTGCATTGTGCATGCGCTAGCCTTCTGAAGTCCACAGCAGTCCAAAAAGAAAAAACAAGAAAAAAAGGACCTGACTGAAAAGCTGTTTTCGAGAGGAAAGAAGACGCCATACAAAAGCATTGGGTAATTCTTATTCCGGGTACACCCCCACCGGCCCAGAGTGAGATTGCATGCATGTCAACCCCCGCCCCCACTGCTAAGACAGGCACATGCACATGTGTGTGTATGGCCTGGGTATGGGTCAATGTTTAAAATGAATTACACTTAACCCTTTAGGCGCCAGAACCAAACTTGGGGATGGAAGTTGATTCGTCATCTAATTTGCATATTGTGACGTCATCAAGGTGGCGGCCATTTTGGAAAATGTTAATTATTGTATAAAGACTTCAAAAATCTGTAGCCTGGGAGTTATTTGAGATCAGGGAATACTATAAACAGTCAATGTGAAATATCTTTAGTATGAAATGATTTTGGGATAGAAATAAATTCCCTGATCCAGATTATAGATAATGTTTTAGCACTGGTTTGCGGCCATATGGAATTGTATTATTTTCAAAGACCTTCAGTGATCAAGACAGCTCTCTTTATAGTTTACAGTCATGAAATCTGGAGATTGGTTTCAATATTTCCCTTTCAGAGAAGTAGTGGGCTTACTATTTTTCTCAGTGGAAATGAGGCTCCAGGATATATGGTTTAGAAACAGAGAGATGAAATGAAAGGGCTCAGAACATGTCAGATCGTCTCAACAAGAAACAACAGGCTCTTCAACACTTCTGATCCACTTTTGTGGATTATTTTCTCTCAAGAACTGCCTTCATCCTCATCATCGCTGTTGGTAAAGGCAGTGAACGCGATTAGCGATGTGTTTTTGTTCCCGCGACTTCTCCCGCGACTTCTCCCGCGACTTCTCCCGCGACTTCTCCCGCGACTTCTCCCGCGACTTCTCCCGCGACTTCTCCCGCGACTTCTCCCGCGACTTCTCCCGCGACTTCTCCCGCGACTTCTCCCGCGACTTCTCCCGCGACTTCTCCCGTGTTCCCTGTGGATGTCTACCCCCGCTACTTTCTCCCACATGCCCGGTGTTATGATCCCCCTGTCCCCTCCACCACGGATCCTACTTGGCGTTCACAGAATGCTTCTACCGCGGCCACACGGAAGACAAGCAGCCGCTGTACAGGGGCTGATTGTGGACTATGGAGCGCGGTCTCCCCGTCACTAATAATGTCCATGTCTGCTTCACTGGACACCTGAGTGTCTTCCTCCTCTGAATCTGAGTGAGCCAGTACCAGACCAAGTACTTCTCTGGTACTGAAGACCTCGTGAGTAAAATAAAAAACACTCTCTCCCTCTGCTCTGCTCTCGCTCCTCTCAGCTCTACCGCTGCTGCTTCACCTGCGCGCTGCTGCGCCGCAGGTGTTTTACGAACTCAATTTACTCTAAAACTTTCAATATAACCACACCCACAAATGTTGCTCATATTACAGGCACACATGTCCACTAACCCCTGGTGAAAAGTATTAACAAGATTCTGCACCACATTTTTACATACAGCCTGTTTAAGTGAGCAATGTTGCTTGTCGCAATATTGCGACTTTGGCGCTTAAAGGGTTAATACATTTCAAATGTTAAGACTGTAAATGACTTTATTGTAAATATGTGCAATTGTGATTGGAACTACTCCTTTTGAGTACTGTTTTTTGAGTACTATCATTGTGTCTATCATGTATTGTATGGGGCAAAGGGGTGTATGGTTGGAGTGTTTGGGGCCTGTGTCGTGTTTCTGTTTATTGTTGTAGTGTGTGTATTTGGTGTAGTGTGGTGTGAGTGGGGTGTTAGAATCGAATAAGCGTAAGCTTCCTCCATCCCCTTTTCAAGTTACATGATTGTGAATTGTAATAGACTGTGTATGTTATTTTTCCCTACTTGAAATAAATAAATAAATAAACAAACAAACTAATAAGCAGAGCATTGGGACAGAGGGGGCAGGGCACTGACCTTGAGTGACAGCAAGTGCAGGTATCCTCTGGTTCCTGACAGCACCACAGCGTCCCCTACAGGACACACGCAGAACTCCTTCACACGTGCCTCGTTCAGACCTGAAACATGAGTTGGTTTTACCGTTTCCTCCGGGATGGAGAGTGACAAGACTGGGAATCCGGCCTCTGGACTAAAACTCACCTCTAACTGTGGACACCGGTGTAACCTTGCCTTCCATCATGTGGTAGAGGTAGAAGAGTTTGTTCCTGAAGCTTGTGGCCATCACAGTGAGTCCATCTGCGGAGAAGCGAGCTCGACACACAGGGAAGCGCTCCAAGAAGACACTCTGGATGAGGGGGTTGGTCTCACCGTCCACCTGAGGATAAGAGCGGACTCACACAGGCTCTGAGGAAAAGAGCGTACTCACACAGGCTCTGAGGAAAAGAGCGGACTCACACAGGCTCTGAGGATAAGAGCGGACTCACACAGGCTCTGAGGATAAGAGCGGACTCACACAGGCTCTGAGGATAAGAGCGTACTCACACAGGCTCTGAGGAAAAGAGCGGACTCACACAGGCTCTGAGGATAAGAGCGGACTCACACAGGCTCTGAGGAAAAGAGCGTACTCACACAGGCTCTGAGGAAAAGAGCGGACTCACACAGGCTCTGAGGATAAGAGCGTACTCACACAGGCTCTGAGGAAAAGAGCGGACTCACACAGGCTCTGAGGAAAAGAGCGGACTCACACAGGCTCTGAGGAAAAGAGCGGACTCACACAGGCTCTGAGGAAAAGAGCGGACTCACACAGGCTCTGAGGATAAGAGCGTACTCACACAGGCTCTGAGGATAAGAGCGGACTCACACAGGCTCTGAGGAAAAGAAGAGCGGACTCACACAGGCTCTGAGGAAAAGAGCGGACTCACACAGGCTCTGAGGAAAAGAGCGGACTCACACAGGCTCTGAGGAAAAGAGCGTACTCACACAGGCTCTGAGGAAAAGAGCGGACTCACACAGGCTCTGAGAATTAGGCCCCGTCCCAAGTCTGAGGGCACTCGTGTTGTAATTGCCCTCAACAGAAGAGTGCCCTCCCATAGGGGAGTGCACTCACAGGATATTCTCCCTAAGAAATGGGACACCCTTGCATCTAGGGGACAATATGCAAATCAATGCAGCAAACATGTTCCACGTCACACACAACGTGATGTGTCTGAATTCACCACAGACAAATTTAACTTTATTAAAGTGAGACGTTTTTAAATTGTATTTCATATGAAGAAAATTAGCCATAACTAGGTACAGGACTGCTCCATGTCACTCACAGAGACAGAGAGAGAAACGAGTAGCCACGGATCACAAATCTCCTGACAAAGTGATGCAGTCTCTGAACTACATCAGGGATCTATAATAAAAACATGGATCCACGTCTCTGAAGCCTCAGTGAACGCCACACGCGTCAACACATACGGCACCAACACACGCTTTTAAAAAATCCCCTCTGAATGACTCGCACACGCTTCAAAGCTTCCTCACGTTCCGCACAAGCGTGCGTGTGGGTGTTTCATGTATGTCGTTTTCTTTCATTGTGGCGGGGCTTTGCCCGACAACTTCTTTACCAACTATCATAATGCATCATGGGACCTCACTTTAAGGGTGTGAGGGCCCTCGCCTCTTCTCCCTAAGTATTGGGACACCCTACAACCCCCGCGGGCACGCGCAAAAGGGTGTTTTTTAAGGGCAAGGGTGAGAATTGGGACGGGCTTTAGAGCTGACTCACAAAGGCTCTGAGGATTATGGTGCATTCAGACCGCCAACGCTGAAACGCTGAAGCCCCGCTCACCAGACACGCATTCTCTAGTTTTCAGACGCAGAGGTCTTCACACCGAGATGTCCTTTCGCGTGCCGGAAGTGGCTCATGCTAACAGAACTATGCTAGCGGCTTCTTGTGTACAGATCTTCTCCAATATGAAGCTTTGCAGCGCGTCTTTGAACAGAGACTTTATATAACAGTAGTATGTGTTCACGGAGGTGCGTCATACGTTTTTTCATATTATTAAACGGTATCTCCGCATCGGCGAACACACTTGAAGCAGTTGCATAAGGTCACAGGAGCATGACAACGCATATTTTCACAAGCACAGAGTCCCCCATTGTCAACCCTGGTTTGAGTTCTGGTGAAGCCTGGTGTGGGTCCTGTTTTGGCTGTTTCCGAGTATTTTCAGTCTGCTCGCTCTGTCCGCTAATGTCCCCGTGACCACTTTGCTGCTCTCTGATTGGTTGTCGCACGAACGTCCCAAGGAAAGGATGAGCAGAATCCATCTCCTGTGGGCGTCGATTTTTCGCTCCTGCTCCTCCCTTTGACTTTCCCGCCAAGTCTGTGCGTCTCTACTGAACAGTCCGTTCGTGCGTCTCTACTGACGAGTCCGTCCGTGCGTCTCTACTGACCAGTCCGTCCGTGCGTGCCGAGAGGTCCGTGCGTTGTGACGCTCGAACGCTTGTCACCATAGACTTTGCATTGAAACCCGACGCAACGCATGATCCAGTCTGAAAGCACCATTAGAGCTGCTCACACAGGTTCTGAGGACTGTACCTGGAACAGAGACAGCGATTGGTCAATCCCTGTTGTCATGACGACCTGGGCGTTGGGATGGAACTGCACCGACGTGAGTGAATCAGAGGACGGACGAGCGGCATTGGCGTTCAGGCACTTCTTCATCTGAGGAAGAAAAACAGCACTATAGCAGGTCTATAGCAGGTCTAAAGCAGGTCTAAAGCAGGTCTAAAGCAGGTCTAAAGCAGGTCTGAAGCAGGTCTAAAGCAGGTCTAAAGCAGGTCTGAAGCAGGTCTAAAGCAAGTCTGTAGCAGGTCTAAAGCAGGTCTGTAGCAGGTCTGTAGCAGGTCTGTAGCAGGTCTATAGCAGGTCTGTAGCAGGTCTATAGCAGGTCTGTAGCAGGTCTAGCAGGTCTATAGCAGGTCTATAGCAGGTCTATAGCAGGTCTGTAGCAGGTCTAAAGCAGGTCTGTAGCAGGTCTGTAGCAGGTCTATAGCAGGTCTGTAGCAGGTCTATAGCAGGTCTATAGCAGGTCTATAGCAGGTCTATAGCAGGTCTGTAGCAGGTCTAAAGCAGGTCTGTAGCAGGTCTGTAGCAGGTCTGTAGCAGGTCTATAGCAGGTCTATAGCAGGTCTATAGCAGGTCTATAGCAGGTCTATAGCAGGTCTATAGCAGGTCTATAGCAGGTCTGTAGCAGGTCTATAGCAGGTCTGTAGCAGGTCTATAGCAGGTCTGTAGCAGGTCTGTAGCAGGTCTATAGCAGGTCTATAGCAGGTCTATAGCAGGTCTATAGCAGGTCTATAGCAGGTTTATAGCAGGTCTATAGCAGGTCTATAGCAGGTCTAAAGCAAGTCTATAGCAAGTCTACGTCTAAAGCAGGTCAGACCTTGAGGATGCCTTTGGGCAGGCTCTCTGAGGTCCTGGTGAAGGTTCCGGTTCGTCTGGTCAGATCTTCGTCTTCATCAGAGTCTGACTCTTCCTCTGTGAATCAAACAGGTTAAAAGTGCCCAGGCTCAGATAAAAGGGATCCCTTGAACCAGGACCAGAGGCCCTCAGACCGGGACTGGGATCAGGAACAGGACCAACCTTGCTTCTTCTTCTGGGTTTGTTTTGGGTCGATCTGAGCCCAGGCCGGAGTCCCGCCCATTGCCCTCTGGAATCTGCACACAGCAGCTGTCAGTCAAACTGCGTCTCTCTGTGTGCGTCTCTCTGTGTGAGTCTCTCTGTGTGCGTCTCTCTGTGTGCGTCCCTCTGTGTGCGTCCCTCTGTGTGCGTCCCTCTGTGTGCGTCCCTCTGTGTGCGTCCCTCTGTGTGCGTCTCTCTGTGTGTCAAGTGATACTCATACCGGTCTCTCATTCGCTGCTGGAGTCCAGATTTACTCAGTGACTTTTCTCCTCCTTTGACGAAATCTTTACGGAATCTGTGCGTCACGTCCACTCTGAAAACACACGTCATTCATGAGCTCTGACTGCAGACGCTGCTCCCTCTACAGTCTGAAGTGGTTTGTGTGAAGCTCACTGCTCCTCGGTGATGTCATCCGGGTCAATCCAGGCAGGCTGTTTGATTGGCACCACCTCCTCCTGCTCCGCTCTAGTCTCCACTTCATCATCCTCTGCCTCGCTACTGTCGTCCAATCGCAGCACAGCCTCAGGATCCAGCCGCTCCTATTGGCCACAGACAAAACAGGTGTTTATCAAACCCCTGTGTTGTTTAGTCGGCTTTTCACCACAAAACAAATTGACCAGAAAGAGACCAGAGAGAAATCACAGTAGACGAGAGATCAGAGGGAGACCAGACAAAAGAAACCAGAGAGAGAAGCCTAAAAAAATCACAGAGGGACACCACCACAGAAGCTTACAAATAACGACATGTTTATACTAGAATACACAGTACTTTATTTGCCTCTTATTTTGGCAAATGTAAAACTTTATACCCTTTATTATTATTATTAGGTTCAAGATAGAGATTTTTTGCTTGTTCTTTGATGCCAGAGATAGAGATTTGGTATAGCTATTGTTTACTTATCTTGTGCTGTGTGCTTCTCATTCCTACTGTTCTGTAATTTGTGATGCAACACTGAAATTTACCCACTATGGGATGAATAAAGGATTAATCTTATTCACCAGACAAGAGCGACCAAGAGTGAGAGAGAGAGATCTCTGGTGTTAACTTTAGATATAACCATAACTACCATTGACAGACTAAAGAACTATTGATACAGGTCTTGGTCGGTCCTCGGGTCTCAGTTCTTCCACAGACAACATGATTACAACAAAGTGCCGACCGAGACTGGATCATCACAACTGGTCTTACTTTTTGGGTCCGTAGTCCCAGGTCCTGGTCTTACCTTTCGGGTCCTAAGTCCTAGTCTTGGTCTTACCTCTCGGGTCTCTCCAAACACCAGTTCCTCCAGAAGTTTCACGGACGCGTCCTCTTCTCCCAGAACAGCGACTCTCTCCGCGTGCTGTGTCCGCTTCAGGAGCTCCTTCCCCGGGCCGGGGGAACAGCGAGACCGGGGCCTCTTCCTCTGGGGTTGAGGGGGTTGAGGGGACTGAGGGGCCGCGGGGAGAGTGATGAAGTCCGCTTCCATCTCAGGGATACTGGGGGTTCACACAGCGGTAACGGACCAGCCGAAACACCGGATCAGACCGAGACTCAAACCCGGATCAGACTGAGACCCAAACCTAGATCAGACCGAGACCCAAACCCAGATCAGACCAAGACCAAAACCTTGACACGTGCGACTCCGTGTTGTTTACGCACACTTCCTGGATGAAAAAGGACCGGAAGTGACGTACAGCTACACCGCCCCCTGCTGACTGTTTATATTTTTACTTAAAACTTTAATTTTTAACGAACACATGATTGACGCTGGGATACGTAACCGTAGTCTCATGAAAAGCATGTAATTTTTCCAACATAAATTAAACCACAACACCCTGTGGTGTTTTGTGTAAGAAGAGCCCTGAGACCTGCCACTTTGGGATGAACGCTGATTGGCTAAGTGAGGGTGGCCCTCTTTTTTCACTTTTCTGTCTGAAATGTGAAAAGCAAAACAGTTTTAGAGCCTGGAACAAGAGAACTGGGAACAGGATTTCTTACAGAGTTCTATTGTGTAGGTCAGTGTCTCCCAAAGTGGGGTCCGCGGGAGGGTATTGCAAGGGGCCACAAGAAGTCATCAAAAAAAATAAAAAATAATGTTTTTAACATTAAAATATTTGTGTTCATTATTTGACTTGAATAATCAAATTGTAATCATTTTTGTATTACAAAATGGGGTGCATCATTTACATGTTTGTAGCGAGGCTATTTCCCCCAAATAAAATAACGAGAAGAGCCTTTTTTTAACGCTGTCTTCTTGGTTATCATTTTGGGGGGCCGCGCAGACCCGTCAGATTTTGAAGGGGGCCACAGTGTTACTGACTTTGGTAATGGCTGGTGTAGATATTTACATACCCCAGTTTTAGACATATGTGAACGGGTATAAAGGCCAGGCCTGGTGACACTTCTCTGGTGGTGAATCTAACATGGTGCGATGTAACAGAGACAAACAGACTGTTGGAGAGTTTATTTCAGTTTCATGCAGAAAAGTCTGAACAGCTACAGCCAATCACACGCCTCCAATCCCCTGCCAATCATAAGGCAAAGAGAGGGGCGTGGCTAAGGGAGTCCTGCTTCAGTCCTGCTTCAGAACCGGCTTGGACCGGTTTAGAGTCCAGTGTTTGACAAACGAATAAAGGTTTCCTATTATGTCCTGTTGGTGTCAGCGATGAATCACAGCTGACACCAATCCGTGCAGGGTCGAGGGAGGGTTGGGTCCTGGGTCGAGTGTTCAGTCAGGTCCTGGGTCGGGTTGGTTTATGGGCCAAGTTGCGGGTCAGGTCCTGAATCAGGTCCCGGGTCAGGGGTTGGGTCCTGAGTCCGCAGCTCCAGAGTTTGGCACTGTTTTTCAGAAGCGTTTGGAGGAGAACTAAAAGTGCAGGTGCAATAATGAGCCGTCAGTGCTTCACCTGGCCACAGGGGGCAGCGGGGGGGCGCCGCGCATCACTGCAACACACAAAGGTCAGAGGTCATTCACAAAGTGTTCGACTGTTGCCAGAGTTACCCACAAACACGTTTGAACTGTGACTTGAAGTGCTAACTTTATGCTAACGTTATGCTAAGGCTACGTCACGGCTCCGTAGGACCTGACCAGTACCTTGGTCGGCTTTGCTCGGGTAGATCTTGGTGAAGTGCCGGTACTCCTCTGGAGGAGGGAAGTCGTCCAAAGGATGAAACGAATATTTAGACTCAAAGTCATCTGGAAACAAAAACAAAAACAGAATAGGTCTCAGGTCCGGTCTCAGGTCCGGTCTCAGGTCCGGTCTCAGGTCCGGTCTCAGGTCCGGTCTCAGGTCCGGTCTCAGGTCCGGTCTCAGGTCCGGTCTCAGGTCCGGTCTCAGGTCCGGTCTCAGGTCCGGTCTCAGGTCCGGTCTCAGGTCCGGTCTCAGTCAGTGTAAATTTTGACAAGAAATTTTAATTTTGTTTTAGTCTCAATTTTAGTCATCTGATTTAATTTAGTTTTAGTTCAATTTTAGTCGACGAAAACATGAAGCAATTTTAGTCAATTATTATTCCGAAACATGTTGCTCACGACATTTGCATAGATAGGGACATTTTTGTACAAATACGTACAGTATTATCGCTTGTAGCATACGATGACAAACGTGACACGAGTAGATTACTTTACTTTACTTTGGAGCAATCTATATATTTTATATATTATCATTGTAGGTCTTAGATGCATCATTTACTGTAGGCACTTAAGAGTATTTAAAAAAATGTTGTCCAGATAATGGCGGTAGAGCAAATTAATCCCCTCGAAGCTTCCAGACCATGTCAATGCAGCAATGTTGTGGTTAGCGTTAGCAACAGTGGTGTTGTGTTTAGCGTTAGCAATAGCTTCTGTTCACAGCTCGCGCCACCGGTGCTTACTAAGACAAGCCCTCATTGGTCCTCCTCGCATTACTCTGGCCAGTCGATTGGTTGTTTTCTCTTTTGCTCTTATATATCTGTTCTTCTGATTTGATTTCGTCATGGTCTATTTTTCGTCTCGTCTTTTATTCATGGACGGAAATGTCAATCAATTTGGTCATCGTCTGCGTCTCAATGAATGACTTCTATTTTAGTTTTCATTTATTTTTTGTTCCTAAAATTATGTTCGTGATGAAAAATATGACGATAATATATCGTCAATGAAATTAACGCTAGTCTCAAGTCTGGTCTCAGTCTGGTCTTGGTCCGGTCTCAGTGTAGCTCACCCATTGGCCTGCGGGGGGAGCCGTTGCAGTCAGTCTGGGCAATTGGGGGAAGAGGGGGCTTTCCTCTGGGGGAGGGGTCAGAGGGGGCGGGGCTACCAGGAGGAGGAGGCGGGGCCTCTCTGCAGCCAGGGCGGGGCGATGACATCACTGGGGTGGGAGGAGCTACAACAGAGAAACAAGTTATGATCAGTTACCAAGCCTGGGCAATCAAAGATTGTTGCGTATTCAAATTCGCCCATATTTGGGCATGCGTCGGGTCCGGTTCGGCGCAGTGGACAACCTCCCATGATGCTTTGCGCCAAATACTAACGAGCATGCGTGTGGCTTTCTGTAGATTTTCTGTCTGCTGAATCTGAGTTCTATGGGGAAAATCTATGAGTAGTTTCTGGGTTTTATTTAAGCCTGGTTCACACGGCAGGTTAATTATGCCGATTTTGGACCCGATTTACCCCTACGACAATCGTAAGAACGCTCCGAATATCGTAACAAAAAATCGGATGGATGTTCCTGCCGTGTGTGGTGTGTTAAGACTGCGCTCGTCGCTCGGAAGGACTTTGGGACTGCTCCGATCTCAATATCGGGGATATCCAACATGTTGGATTGTTTTGGCCTGATTTGTCTTCGTGTGTAGTGTCCCCCGGGGACAGACGTGCCATGACTGCGGCGTGTAGCCAATCAGAAGACGAGACGAGCCGACGTGGAAACACCGTAAAAAAAAAAAACAGTCAACGGCATGGCGCACCAGAAAGTTCGGTGGACATCAGAGATGGAGGAACAACTAGTTGACCTCTGGCAACACCGTGAATGTATGTGACATGTTGTGTAAAGAATATCATCACCGAAATGACAAGGAGAGGATTTGGGCAGAAATTGCTGCTGCACAGGTAGTGTTGGCATAAACCCTATTCTGACGGGATCAGTACTAAATGATCAGACTGATGATTGTGTTTGTACGTTTACTTTGCACTCTGTCCTAATACAGTACAGACGTGTTGATGCAGCCGTTCATGTCTAACAGTGTGTGTGATGCGTTCACAGGTAGTCCGTACAAACTGTATTGTTGAACAGCACAGACAGTACGGGCCAGAGAACTGTAGAGCAGTAAAATCCATGTATGTATGTGTTTGTCCTCATGGTGTCTGTGGCTGCTGTGGTCAGACGAGAGTCTCTATAGGCTGCGTGAAGCGGAGAGGCCAGCACACTCTGTTTAATCTGAAGTCACGCTTGATCTCAAGAGATGTTGTGAGATTTCTGGTGACCTGTGAATGCTCGGGGGTGAAATCAGTTCGTGTGTGGTTTGCGTGATTTTGCCGTGTGGCTGCACACCACACACTGTACAACCAAAGTGGTTAGACCCGTGATTTTTTATCTCCGTGTGTGGGGTCTCTCACGGAGAAAAAAAAATCGGCCGACAATTTTAAAACCGTCTCGTGTGAACCAGGCTTTAGTCTGCAGTACAGCAAAAGCCCCCGAGCCCATGGATCCTTCAGCTATAAGCTAGTAATACCCATAGACTGTATATATTAACGGACAGAGTCACGCCTATCTCCGCTGTTCTAACTAATGGGCCAAAAAATATGCTCTACTGGAGCAATCCAAAATAGCCGCGAGCGGTCCCGCCCACAAGAAAATTGTGAAAAAACGCATCTGCGCATGCGTCAGCCGGCGCAACTACATTCATTTGAACGAGAGACTTCAAAAATTCACAGCAAGTAAACTAGAGTGGACCAAAAAAATTCACCCCCCTCAGCATTGACACACATGTGGAACGGAGCTTTGGGCCAAGAGCCAACTTTTGGTCCATCCTGTTGAAGACTAATACTAACACTGTAAAGACGTTTTTGAGAGGTCTGCCAATGCTATATGTTAGCATTGGCTAATTCTACTTCTGGGTCCACCCCCATAGGCCCGGGGGGGTATTGCAAGCATGTCAGCGCACGTCGTTTTGGCCACTTTTGAGCAGGGACCCTCCCCCACTGGTAATACCCTATCTAGATCTTTTTATAGATCCCTGTCAGTTACACATTGGTAAAAATCGTTCTAGATATATGAGCCCCGTCCCAATTCTCACCCTTGCCCTAGATTTTGCGCGTGCCCGCGGGGGTTGTAGGGTGTCCCAATACGTAGGGAGCAGAGGCGAGGGCCCTCAAACCCTTAAAAACAACCCTCACGCGCAAGTGAGATCCGGAGCTCACTTGCATGGTTTTCTAAATATGAAATACAATTAAAAACGTCTCACTTTGATACTGACGATATGATATGATTTCATAAAGTCATTTCTGTGTCAAATCTGTCTGTGGTGAAATCAGACACATTGATAATGTGAGTAACGTGGAAAAAGTTTGCTGTGTCGATTTGCATATTGTCCCCATGATCCAGGGGTGTCCCATTTCTTAGGGAGAATATCCTGCGAGTGCACTCACCAATGGGATCGCACGCTTCTGTTGAGGGCACTCATAATACAAGTGCCCTCAAAATTGGGACGGGGCCATAGTAACTACAGCAGTGCAGTCATCTAGGGGGCGCTAAGTCTGTGCTGTGATTGGCTTGTGTGTGTTCTGATTTAACTTGTGTGTGTGCTGTGATTGACTCCTCACCTGTGGCTCTTGGGGGCGGGTCTTTGTTTGGTGGGTGGAGCCTTGCTGAAAGGTGGGCGGGACTTGGCGGTGGAGGGGCAGGGCCTCGCGTGGGGGCGGGGCATGTTGGAGCAGGCCGTTTGTTCAGGGAATTGTTTCTCTGCGGGGGGTCAGGGCCGTCTCCGTTACCATGGTGATGGGGAGGGGGCGGAGCCAGGGAGCAGAGGGTGGGATTTCCTCCTGAGGTCGGGGGACGAGGGGCAGAGACAGGAGGCGACGGAGCGTTCCCACGGCGACACTGAGGGGGAGGAGTTGGAGAAGGGCCACCTATGTCATGACGATGACCTGGGGGTCGGGGTGCAGCGGCCCGTGGAGACCGACGCGACGACCCATCTGTAAAGGAACCCACGTTTGATTGATGTCAGCACAACATTAGCATAGTTTAGGTAGGACATTAGCACAGTGTCTGCACAAGTTTGAAAACAGCAATCAGACAGAAGGGGTGGGGTTACAGTACAACTATGTCATCACCTGCAGACGCTCTCAGCTTGGAGGCTCCGCCCATTGGTGCTGCTGGATCCGAGGGACTGGTGGCTCCGCTCCCATTGGACGCTGCAGTATCTCCGCACACTTTCGACTCTGAAGATTGGAAAGCCATGAGAGAAGCCCACCTTCATCTGACATCACTGACAGAGGAAGTCCTGCCTCTTTAATCCACTAATGCGGGAAAAGCAGATTTGAATTTAACCTAGCTGGAGCCAATTTCCTTATATGGGCATTTGCTCTGCTATGTTAGCTTTGCGATGTAACAGAGCCAGACGTGTTGCTAAGACGGTTGCTAAGGTAAGCTCGAGTTTCTCCCATTAATGAAGGCATCTGATTGGTCAATCCTTGAATTTAAAAATCACAAAAGAGCGCTAAACCACAGATTTAGGCCAAAAATGGTGAGTGTAACACAAACTTGAATGTAAAAGTCAATAGGAGTCAGAGAAAAACTTCACCATGAGCACTTCCATAATGGGCTTCATGGATCTAGTGGGTCGGCATTGTCTTGCTGTCTACGCATATTTTCTTCAGTTAACCAACATTTCACTGTCAATGTTTTAACTCTGCTTTTATCTTTGTACCTTTAGTAAGACAACATTCAATACCCAGAAAGGTGCCATATAAATAGGATGTACTATTATTATGATGTTCCAGGTCCCGTCCCCTACTGCACTACAATTTGGAGACTGCTATAATTAAGCTTTTTTGTGTAGTTTGTAGAAACAACATAGAAGGCGAAGGAAGAATTGCCTTGGTTCAAACAGATGGTGACGTTATCAAAGACGACGTCTGTGAGGACAGGGTTGCGGCGGCAGAGACAGAAACACACAAACAAGAACATCACCCTGCAACGGCTGGAGTTTCTGTGGGCTCCAGAGGGTTCCTCAGCGCTCCGCTCTAGGTCCAGACTCACTCAGATTCACTGACGTTCCAACAGAATAAGTCTAATGAGTTTCAGCTGATTTTAATGGAATGTAAATGAAGCATGTTTGACCTATTACCTGGTTAAGTGGATAATAGGTCATAACTCGGGCTGGGATAGAGTTTAGGGTCTCTCTCAGGTCTCTCTCTGGGGTCCCTCTTTCTGGTCCAACTCCCCGGTCCAACTCTGGTCTTTCTTTCTGTTTACATCCTGTACCTGTGGTTCTCTGGTGTCTATGTTTCTCTGGCCTCTTTCTGGGCTATCTATGGACTCTCTCTCGGGTCCCCGTCTCAGGTCCCCGTCTCGGGTCCCCGCCTCGGGTCCCCGCCTCGGGTCTCCGTCTCGGGTCCCTGTCTCTGGACCCTCTCTCTGGTCTCTCTCTCTCTGGTCTCTCTCTCCCTGGTCTCTCTCTGGTCTGGTCTCTCCCTGGTCTCTCTCTCTCTGGTCTCTCTCTCCCTGGTCTCTCTCTCTCTGGTCTCTCTCTCTATGGTCTCTCTCTCTATGGTCTCTCTCTCTCTGGTCTCTCTCTTTGGTCTCTCTCTCTGGTCTCTCTCTCTGGTCTCTCTCTCTGGTCTCTCTCTCTGGTCTCTCTCTCTGGTCTCTCTCTCTGGTCTCTCTCTCTGGTCTCTCTCTCTGGTCTCTCTCTCTGGTCTCTCTCTGGTCTCTCTCTGGTCTCTCTCTCTGGTCTCTCTCTCTGGTCTCTCTCTCTGGTCTCTCTCTCTGGTCTCTCTCTGGTCTCTCTCTGGTCCATCTCTCTGGTCTTTCAGGTAGTAGTTTTCCAGCCCAAGTCATGAATGAAGACTACATCATTGTGCGTCCTTACTATGTTGTATGTCTCCACAGGTGTTAGTGTCGGTCCGTGGCGCCCCCTGCTGGAGGTACTGGTACAAACGGAAGTACGGGTGCTCAGAGGACGGCGGCTTACTGTCCGAGGGGGCGTGGCTCAGCTGTGGCGAGCCTCTCTTCAGGTCTGATCCTCTGCAGATCTCGGAGAAAAGGGCCCCAGGCTCTGAGGGGGAGGGAGGGGACTGAAAACACATGCAATTAAAGCTGAGGTACGCAACTTTAATCTCAGAAATAACAGAAGTAGCTTTAGCCTCAGAATCAGTTATCTAAGTCGGTCACCACAGAAAACCTATATAGGCCGACCTAAATTCACAATCGAATCAATATATAATCAATTCTGTCTCTCTTACACACACATATGGACACACATGGACACACAGAGACAGACACACAGACAGAGGCACACACACCTGTGTGTGAGTGGGGGGTGGTGGAGGGCCCCCTGGTGGTGAAGGGGGGTGGGGCATTGCACCTATAACACAAGAAAACACAAAAGAGATATTCAGGTAACTGTAAGAAATCAGACTCCACTTGTGGAAGAGGTGAATATGGTTATTGTGTTTGTGCCTGGCAATAGAATTAATTTGGGACTTTAGAGAGTTTGGTCCTGTACACAAATTTAGGCCAACCGAAGCCAGCGTTTTAGGGATGGGAGACCAGAGAGAGAGAATCCAGCATCCATAACAGAGACTGTAGATCCAAGAATGAGGATGTAGAAAAACTTCCTCTGTATACAACATGTCAATGATAACTACATGAGTATATGATGTGTATAAGGACATCACACGATAATAAACATATGTATAAATGTGAAAGTAAGACCACATAACGGTCCTGCCATAATAAACGTGCGCAGTCATTGTGACAACTCGTTTTACTTCTGCTGTATAACATTATATATACACCTTCCTTGTGTATATAATTATTTTTAAGGTTGATAAAGGTTGTTCTGGCCGGAATAGGACAATGGACGGGGTAAAGCTTTTATTATGCGGCAGGTGCAGAGGGCTCTTGTGTTGTTAGCATCGTTAGCATTAGCATAGGTTCGTGTTTGGTGAATGAAACAGTCGTTCGCCACTCACCGGAGACACACCGGAGAGCGTACACAGCCGTGCAGACGTTAGCTCATGTTCCCGGGAGAAATGCGGCTCAATGACGCCGTTTGCACCGCGTTTACCCGGTTTAAGAGCGCGATCCCCACGGAGAACAGCTCCCGTTATCCCGTTAGATTGACGATTACTCACCCAACCACGTGACCCCAATACTGTTTTTAGAAATACAAAAAATGAGTATTCTTTTCGATTTGCATATAAATCTCTTTTAGATAAGCAGTTGTGTGGCCCCTATAGTTATATCTAATTTTACTTTGCACTGGAAACTGCGTGTTTATGAAATTAGCCATATAAATAAAGTAAATTGGATTTAATTATGATGCTCCAAAGGCACACAATAGATAGATAGATAAGTATCCTCTTTTAAAACCCACTTTTATCAAACAGCTTTAAAAACTTCTCATGTCGTATTATACCGTCTGTCCTGTCTTTGTTTTGTCTTTCTTCTTGTGTTTCCTCTGTTTGTCTTGTCTTCTTGTATTCTATCTTATTGTTTTTACTTTGTATTATGACTGATTTATTGTTTATTATGCTGACTGCAGCGCTTTGTAAACATTGTTTTTGAAAAGTGCTATACAAATAAAGATGTATTATTATTATTGTTATTATTATTATAAATAGATAGCTAAGCAGTATTGCTGGTTTAAATAATTACGTAAAAACAAAAACATTAGTAATGTGTTGTATTTTTTTATTACACTTATGGTAGAAATAATTAGAGTGACGCACGGGTCTGTTCCATAGACTGTTGTCTCTTCTGTCAAAACAGATAATAAATATTCATACTTTTTCCACGATTCTGCTTCCGCTCGTGGCTCAGACCAATCAGAGCGTTCGGCGAAAGGTTTGAAATCCAAGATGGCGGCTGAGAGCGTACGACTGTGAGTGAAGTGATATTATGCGGTTATAATCTCAGTTATTTCTCTTTTAGTGAAGACAGAGTAAGTTCAGAAGACATGTTGCGACGAGAACAATGCCTCAGTGCGGTTTAGAATCAAACGGTTCTTTCAGAGACTGGACTGACGCTGATTTCAGATCATATCTGGAGCTGGGATCCTAAACCTCATAAATATGACTTTTCACTTTGTTTCTTAAAACAAGAACTCTCAGAACAATCAACTTGACGCCTTTTAGTTTTGGAAGTGTCATTATTCTGCATTTGTACCTTTTTGGTCTTCCTATGTGACTTCTTCTGTATCAATTTGTAATTTAGTTCTAATGTCAATGTTTGTATTGGGTGTTTTTGTTGTTATTGTTTGTAGTTATACTTTTATCTCTCAAAACAGTCATTTTGGGATAATTATCCTGAATTCCATTGATTTGAATGTTACTAGTCAATATGACAGCTGTGGGAGTTCTAGTAGTTTCAGAATTCTGAGTGTTCAGCGCTGCTTCTATGGGACACCTGCAGGGTTAGGGTTAGTTCGAGGTCTGAAAATAACATACCTAATATAAGGGAATTACATTGATGTTGAACTTGTCATTACAACAGTCTGCAGAGATTTTCCACTTGATGTGGTTTTCTGAAGCTCAAAGTAAACCTATCTATCGGCTTGTAATTTAGTCTTGGTTTAAAATCTGAGGAACGCTGTGAACCAACAATACAACTCAATGTATTTGTAAATCCGCCTAAATCACAACAGCAGTCGTCCAGGAGGGTTTTACAAAGTTGTGGATTCCCCAACAGCAGAGAATCAAACAGTTCAAACAGGAGGAGGAGCCATTGGTTCATACGGAGCGGTTTGACCACTGTCCAGAAATGTCCTGGATTGTTACTGTCCTGGGGCGACAGTGGCTCAGTTGGTAGAGCACTGGCCTTTGGGCCTGAAAGTTGTGGGTTCGAGTCCACCATGAGACTTACTTCACGACTCCCACCATTTTAGTTTGTTGTGCTCTTGGGCAAGACACTTATTCCAACTTTGCCTGTTTCCTCCACTGAAAAATCAAGGCTCCTGTGGACTCACCGCAGGAGGATCAGTGAGGGGCTGGTGCTATGTGTACTGGGTGCAGCTCTGACGGATGGAAGGTACTGTTCTGAGACCCTCCTGCATCGACAAGGAACTCAAAATCCCAGTGGGGAAAAAAAAGAAACATCAGGAAAGACCATATTGAGAGAGGGATCCGCTAGCATGGACAGGCTGTAGCTCCAGGACTGGGGCTGTGCAGTGCAGAACTGAAATGACAGCTCTATTTACATTCCACTCTGAACTGAATGTTTCCAAACACAATAGAAAACGCCTTCTGCTGTGGTGCTGTGAAATCAGATGCATTCATTCGAGGGCCTTGAGATCTTAGCACCTGTTACGGCACAAAGCTAATATAGGAAATTGGCTTACACTATGGTGATGACACACTGGCTCAGTACACTCCTCCTGACCCCTGACCTCCTGACCTGACCTGGTCCTGTGTCTCCTCAGGGTGCTGCAGACCTGTGACCCTCAACTCTTGGACTTGGGAGACTCGGATGTCACAGACTTCTCTGCTCCAGTAGAGGCCTCCAACATGTTGCTGTTCCTCACGGTTCGACTCTACTTAAATCAGGGGTGTCCAAACCGGTCCAGAAAGGGCCGCTGTGGCTGCAGGTTTTCTATCAGACCCAGCAGGAGCAGAGCAGACTCCTCCCATTTCCTCAAATCTTCAAGTTAAGACTGAGCTTACTTGAGGAAATGGGTGGAGTCTGCTCTGCTACTGCGTGGTCTGATGGAAAACCTGCAGCCACAGCGGCCCTTTCTGGACCGGTTTGGACACCTCTGACTTAAAGACCTTATGCCGGGTTTAAAAAAAAAAAATTGTGGATATCAAAATTGCATGACAATGTCAATCTGAAAGAGATTCCGGCAAAAAAAATCCTATATTTTATAAAAAGAACGTGTTTTTCATGCATTTAAGCTGTCTATGCTCTAACCTGTGTGTGACGTCAGCCCATGCATTGAAAACCATGGATCTATGCCACAGGACTGCCTTTTCTCTCTTCTCTCCACTGATGCCCAACACAATACTGCACTCTACAGGTGACAATTGCTCACTACACATAAATTGCCGTTTTGAGAGTGAAAATGTGTCTGAGGTGGGATTTGAACCCCAGTGTCTGGATTGGCAGTCCATCGACACAACCACTGGACTAACTCAGTAACAATGAAGTGTTACAATCTACTAGTTATCTCACACTCGCTGTACACGGCCTTGTCAAATTGAATATCCGCGAAAAAAGAACGAATACCAAATTGTAAACAACTTACAGCGTTGAAACGTACCCACTCTGACGTCACCAAGGGCTGTGAAGTTTTTTCGTTTCTAAGGGCGTTGCTATGGGGTTATTTCGATTTGGGGGGATCAGACAAAAAAAACAACAACTGATTTTGAAACCTTTAGTAGTTCTCTTCTAACATAAAATGGTATTAAAACTGTATTTCTAAATGAATCAAACCCGGCATAAGGTCTTTAAATGATCACTTAATTAACATTAATGAAGTCCTTAAAGATCAGGTTCTTAAAGCTTTGGTCTGTAATTTCAGGACAGCCGTCGTATGCAGAAGGTCCTGTGGAAGCAGCTCTTTGTCCTGGACTCTGTCATGTCTCTGATAGAGGACCTGAAGTCTGGAAGCCAACTGCTGCAGGTGCCCTGTCCCAAACCTGCAGGTGAGAGACACCAGAGTGGGAGAGAGAGAGAGAGAGAGAGAGATCAGAGTGGGAGAGAGAGAGAGAGAGAGAGATCAGAGTGGGAGAGAGAGAGAGAGAGAGATCAGAGTGGGAGAGAGAGAGATAGAGAGACCAGAGTGGGAGAGAGAGAGATAGAGAGACCAGAGTGGGAGAGAGAGAGAGAGAGAGAGATCAGAGTGGGAGAGAGAGAGATAGAGAGACCAGAGTGGGAGAGAGAGAGAGAGAGAGATCAGAGTGGGAGAGAGAGAGATAGAGAGACCAGAGTGGGAGAGAGAGAGAGAGAGAGAGAGACCAGAGTGGGAGAGAGAGAGAGAGAGAGAGAGACCAGAGTGGGAGAGAGAGACCAGAGTGGGAGAGAGAGAGAGAGAGAGAGAGAGATACCAGAGTGGGAGAGAGAGAGAGACCAGAGTGGGAGAGAGAGAGAGACCAGAGTGGGAGAGAGAGAGAGAGACCAGAGTGGAAGAGAGAGAGAGAAAGACCAGAGTGGGAGAGAGAGAAAGAGAAGAGACCAGAGTGGGAGAGAGAGAGAGAGAGAGACCAGAGTGGGAGAGAGAGAGAGAGACCAGAGTGGGAGAGAGAGAGAGAGACCAGAGTGGGAGAGAGAGAGAGAGACCAGAGTGGGAGAGAGAGAGAGAGAGACCAGAGTGGGAGAGAGAGAGAGACCAGAGTGGGAGAGAGAGAGAGAGAGAGAGAGAGACCAGAGTGGCAGAGAGAGAGAGACCAGAGTGGCAGAGAGAGAGAGACCAGAGTGGCAGAGAGAGAGAGACCAGAGTGGGAGAAAGAGAGAGAGAGACCAGAGTGGGAGAGAGAGAGAGACCAGAGTGGGAGAGAGAGAGAGACCAGAGTGGGAGAGAGAGAGAGAGACCAGAGTGGGAGAGAGAGAGAGACCAGAGTGGGAGAAAGAGAGAGAGAGACCAGAGTGGGAGAAAGAGAGAGAGAGACCAGAGTGGGAGAAAGAGAGAGAGAGACCAGAGTGGGAGAGAGAGAGAGAGAGAGACCAGAGTGGGAGAGAGAGAGAGAGAGAGACCAGAGTGGGAGAGAGAGAGAGAGAGACCAGAGTGGGAGAGAGAGAGAGAACCAGAGTGGGAGAGAGAGAGAGACCAGAGTGGGAGAGAGAGAGAGAGACCAGAGTGGGAGAGAGAGAGAGACCAGAGTGGGAGAGAGAGAGGGAGAGAGGGAGACCGGAGTGGGAGAGAGAGAGACCAGAGTGGGAGAGAGAGAGAGAGACCAGAGTGGGAGAGAGAGAGAGAGACCAGAGTGGGATGAAGAGAAAGAGAGAGACCAGAGTGGGATGAAGCGAGAGAGAGAGACCAGAGTGGGATGAAGCGAGAGAGAGAGAGAGACCAGAGTGGGAGGAAGAGAGAGAGAGAGACCAGAGTGGGAGGAAGAGAGAGAGACAGACCAGAGTGGGAGGAGGAGAGAGAGACAGACCAGAGTGGGAGGAAGAGAGAGAGACTAGAGTCGGAGGAAGGGAGAGAGACTAGAGTGGGAGGAAGGGAGAGAGACCAGATAGAAACCAGAGACTTGCAACCAAGACCCAGCCCAAACTCTGAACTCTGTGTGACTTCTTTGGGGCCCCTGTGCAGACGGGGCCCATGGCCGATGGAAGGACCTGAAGCTTCAGTACAGAACTTCTTTAGAAGAGACAGAAGAACTGCTCAGAACTCAACTGCAGAAAGTGGAGGAGATCAAAGAGAAACGAGAGAAGATCAACCAACTCCTGCTGAGGATCCAGCAACAGGTATGAGTACTATTACTGCTACTACCACTGCTACTACCACTGCTACTGCAACTGCAACTGCTACTACCCCTGTTACTGCAACTGCTACTGCTACTACCCCTGTTACTGCAACTGTCACTACCACTGTTACTGCAACTGCTACTACCACTGCTACTGCAACTGCCACTACCACTGTTACTGCAACTGCTACTGCCACTACCACTGTTACTGCAACTGCTACTGCCACTACCACTGTTACTGCAACTGTCACTACCACTGTTACTGCAACTGCAACTACCACTGTTACTGCAACTGCTACTACCACTGCTACTGCAACTGCAACTGCCACTACCACTGTTACTGCAACTGCCACTACCACTACCACTGTTACTGCAACTACCACTGTTACTGCAACTGCTACTACCACTGCTACTGCAACTGCCACTACCACTGTTACTGCAACTGCTACTGCCACTACCACTGTTACTGCAACTGCTACTGCCACTACCACTGTTACTGCAACTGTCACTACCACTGTTACTGCAACTGCAACTACCACTGTTACTGCAACTGCTACTACCACTGCTACTGCAACTGCAACTGCCACTACCACTGTTACTGCAACTGCCACTACCACTACCACTGTTACTGCAACTGCCACTACCACTACCACTGTTACTGCAACTGCCACTACCACTGTTACTGCAACTGCTACTACCACTGTTACTGCAACTGCAACTACCACTGTTACTGCAACTGCTACTGCCACTACCACTGTTACTGCAACTGCTACTGTCACTACCACTGTTACTGCAACTGCAACTGTCACTACCACTGTTACTGCAACTGCAACTGCCACTACCACTGTTACTGCAACTGCTACTGCAACTACCACTGTTACTGCAACTGCTACTGTCACTACCACTGTTACTGCAACTGCCACTACCACTGTTACTGCAACTGCCACTACCACTGTTACTGCTACTGCAACTACCACTGCAACTGCCACTACCACTGTTACTGCAACTACCACTGTTACTGCAACTGCTACTGCCACTACCACTGTTACTGCAACTGCAACTACCACTGCAACTGCCACTACCACTGTTACTGCAACTACCACTGTTACTGCAACTGCTACTGCCACTACCACTGTTACTGCAACTGCTACTGCCACTACCACTGCTACTGCCACTACCACTGTTACTGCAACTGCCACTACCACTGTTACTGCAACTGCCACTACCACTGTTACTGCAACTGCCACTACCATTGTTACTGCCACTACCACTGTTACTGCAACTGCTACTGCCACTACCACTGTTACTGCAACTGCCACTACCACTGTTACTGCAACTGCTACTGCCACTACCACTGTTACTGCAACTGCTACTGTCACTACCACTGTTACTGCAACTGCTACTACCACTGTTACTGCAACTGCCACTACCACTGTTACTGCAACTGCTACTGTCACTACCACTGTTACTGCAACTGCTACTACCACTACCACTGCCACTACCACTGCTCCTGCTACTGCTGGCATTGACCATTGACCAAGCCCAAGTCTGCCAACTACAGGGGGTGCAACACACAGCAGCCGTCTTTTAAGGGACAAAGTGCAAGGACCACATCACTCCTGTTCTTCGATCCTTGCACTGGCTCCCTGTATATTTTAGAATTCATTTTGAAAATCTTAGCGTTTTAAAAGTCAAGAAAGTTAATAGAATGGCATCTTCTTTTTTATATGAACTCCTCCCGCCCCACCTTCCCTCCAGAGCACAGCGCTCTGCAGAGCACTACCTTCTTGTTGTCCCTAGGACCAGGCTGAAGACTAGCCTGTTATTGGGCCACAGCTGTCGAACTCTTCTCCTTTGCACATTAGAACTGCACAATCACTTGAGCACTATAAGTCCTTGGCTTTTAATACCAGGTAGAAAGAGAAACGTTTTACGGTTTTTATGCGTGTATATAATTCTGTATTTTAGTGCTTTTTATTGTGCTGTTTTTTGTTTTTGTTTTTTCTTGTCTGTACAGCACTTTGGTAAGCCTAGGCTGTTTTAAATCTGCTTTACAAATAATTTATTGATTGATAGTACTGCTACTACTGCTGCTATTACTGCTTCTGCTGCTACTACTACTACTGTATACTACTACTCTTCCTCCTGCTGTGTACTTGTGTTCTCAGAGCGCGCAGCGGGAGACGCTACAGTCGTCTCTCCTCTTCTCCCATGAGGCTTTACGGCACAGTGAGGCTCAGCTCCAGGAGGTCATGGCCAAGGCCGAGGTCACAGCCAGTCACATGGTCGACTGGGAGCGAATCAGAGATGAGTACGTGGGTCACATGGCCTTGTTATACCCGCCACGCTCACCCTTGGGAGAGACCTCGTCAGATAGTTCATATCTCAGCCAAGAGGAGGGAATATTTTGTATTTATTAATGTCTCTTCGCATTGCTCTGCACTCTGCCTCTTTATGTCAACATAAAGTGGTCACATCAAACCACAATTCCAAGCAATGTTGCCAAATCAGAGAATATTATTGAATTAAAGCTAGAATCTAACTTTGGCTTCATAAATAACATGTTAAAAGCTGGGGTCATCTTTAATCTTTTGCGTAAAAAATATGCCTGTGAGTTACTATTCGACTCTTTGGGCAGAGCTGATTGGCTGACGGGGGTGGCCCTCTTTGTCACTTTTATGTCTGAAGCCAATCTAAAGATGTGACAGAGGCCAGAAATGCATAAAGTGAAAACTAGCCAGGAAATAGAGACATCAGTTTATTAGTTGTATTGTCTGAAAGTCTGAAAGTTGCAGACCCAAGCTTTAATGTTACGTACCCCAGCTTTAATTTAAACAGTCGGTGTGTGCAGTGGGATAAGCCAGGTGCACACATAACTCCTCTTTTGCAGTCTTCAGGTGGAGGTGTCTCTGGTGCAGGACTTGATGGAGATGACGCTCTTGTCTCTGAGTCCATCTGAGCTCCTGCTGGAGATTAGACCAGGATCAGGCCGTGGTCATGACCTCGAGCCCCTGAAAGTTTCTGTGAAGTGGGATCCAGACGATACCTTCAGTCTGCAGGTAAACTGGAAACAAGAGTTGCATTTCCACCGCAGGAGTTCCTAGTAAAAAGATGGGGGCGGCACATGTACAGGAATTGTCCTGTCACTTAGGCCCTCTCAGTGGACGTGTCTCCACTGCAGAGTAGGACCCTTCGGCGACGTCATGAGTTTTGATTTGACCACAAAATCAATAATTATTCATTTTACGGTTGGGACTGCTCTAGTTGTTGTGGTCTTTGAGTTTTTTATAGTTCTGCTAGCTTCGCAGACTGATGAATCCCCAGTGCGTGGAGGTGCACTTATATCTCCTGATATATATTTTCATTCTTCCGCAATGCCTCAAACCCGCTCTGAATATCCGTCCATGTATTGTACATCTTGCTATTGATAAGATAAACTTTTATTAGTCTCGCAGTGGAGAAATTTCAGATTGTTGTTAGCTGTTTCCAGTGGTCTCTGCTAGGCTAATGCTGCAGTTGTTTTGGTGCTTTCTGCTGATGTCAGAGCCTGCTTTAGTTTTAACCGATCAACGCCGGATTAACCTCAGGCCCCACCCGGAGCTTTTCAGGGCCCAACGGAGTACTCCGTTGGGCCCTGTAAAGGTTCCTGTGGGGGAGTGTCCTAGTGGGGAGACGCCCCTGTAAAACTACCCCGAAGTTCCTGTGGTGGAAACGCAACTATGGTGTGTCTTTCAGGATCCCGGGACATAACTGTTGGGTCCCACAGGGGTCAATCCTGGGACCTCCAATATTCATCAAATATGATTTTATTGTGTGTTTGTGTCAAAGGTGTCTGAGGAGGTCTCGGGGCTCATGCACGTCTCATCCTCCTCTGACCTCAGATTAGTCCTGCAGGAGGTACTTCAGCAGTACAGCAGGGAGGCCCAGCTCCTGACGGAGATCCAGGTTCTCCGGTCCAGGTGAGAGCCAAGACCCAACTACTGACAGACCCTAGTCCTGTTGAGACCCAACCATTGATATGCCCAAGTCCAGGTGAGACCCAACCACTCATAGACCCAAGTCCAGGTGAGACCAAAGTGTAGTTTTAAGAAAGACAGTCAAGTTAAAATCACTAAACATAAGAAAATGTTATGTTTTCCCAGTTCTTGTAGTTTACGGCAGTGTAGCCTTCACACAACCTCCTCCAAGTCTGAACCTGAGGCATCTCAAACCCCAGAAGTTCCCAAGATCAGTCAGAGTAACAACTCTTGTTTGTTATCAGTTTTGCGATCGATTGGAGGCCGTCACAGCGCCGTCTGGTGTTCCTGAAGAGTGCTACAGTGGTGTGCGAGCTTGAGGTTGAGGAGGAATACCCGAGTCGAGGAGGAGTGAGGCTGCTGTCCGTGCAGAGGGACGGTACGACCCAGGACACAGGGACATTACAGGTGAGACAACCTAGGACACTGACAGTACAGTGTTCAATAGATAACGTGGGAGAGATTTAGTCCATGTCTCTCCAGTGTCTTCTGGTCACACCTTACTCATAATCCACCATTTACTTGAGCTGTGTTGGGGATGTAGTGGCCAACCTGAACCTCTGCCACAGAAATGTGCCCAAATGCCGTCGCTACAATTGAGCATTGCACACATAAGTACATAAGTCTCCTTAGTAATATAAAAATCAATGTTTATTATTGTATTTTGCTGGACAACAAAACTCCATAAAAGTAGTGGTCCAAAGAAACTGGCCCTTGAGGGTCACACACACCTGAACATCATATCTTGATGCAATGATTATATCTCATCATGTATTGTGTGTCTTCATGGTCTCAAGCTAAAACAACGGTTTTAAACCCCCTTAGATCATTGTATAACCAGGCTCTGAAAGTCCTGGATAAAAAGCCTCGCCGGTACCATCACTGCAATATACTTGAAAAAAATACAGCATACTAAGCTTTGACAATCTGATTAGGTATTCCGATGTACGTTTGGTTCATAAGATTCTTAATGATACTGCCCCACCCCCCCTAAAAACATATGTACAGCTTCGCTCACAGCTAACCAACAGAGCATTAAGATCTGTGTCCAGGGGAGACTGCAATGTTCCTAAGAGAAAGTCTGCCTTCTCTCAATCAGCCTTTTCCTACAAAGCCACTAAAGAATGGAATGGGCTCCCAGACAATCTAAAGAACAATGCAGATTTCCACAGTTTTTCACGGGCAGTTAAAGACTGGCTTTTAGATCAACAGTCCTGCTCGCACTAAAAGTACCAGATGGGTACTTGGCCATCAGGTGTTACCCTCGCGGGTATCGTCTGATGGCCACCACATTATTAGTGTTAAAAACTATTGTATCTATGTGCTAATTATGTATAGCTACAAAATAATTATGAAAACTGTTGCACTTTGTCATTCTGCACTTTATGAATGCAACTGGCACTTTTCATCTGCACTTTTACTATATATTGCATGTTTATTGTCTGTTTTGTATTTTAATTAACTCTATGTATTTTAATTGTATTTTTGATTGTATAAGGACTACAGATGGAAATTAGCATTGTGCTAAATCTGGGGCAGCCATCTTTTTAATGTACCTGTCCGTTGTCCTTTTAAACAAATAACTGACAGCTCCCATTGACACAGCACACAGGCGCCACCCACAGGCCAACAGTTGCTAATGTTTGGCTCCTACAAGAGACCTCTGATCTGAGTTTCTCCTCAGTGAAACACTCGTGTGTAAAACTCACTTTTTCCTTTTGTTTCAGAATCAAGAAGAGAAACTGTCTCTCACACAATGGCTCTTGCTGCTTAGCTCCTCCTCCCAGGTCTGAACCAGTTCTAGTTTGTTTGTAAATTTTGCTTTTGCACTTTTATTTTCTGTCCTCGTCTTGAAATATTTTTTTTCTGTCACATTCTTAAAGAGCTCACTGAACACTTTTGTTACGTCTGACAGCTTTATTTGTACCGATGGTCAATGCCATTTTTAACATTTAAATAAAAATTTAAAAAACACTGGTTTGATTATTGTTTTACAGTTTATTCAGAAAATAAGTAGAATAAAACCCTGAGCTTTAAAAGTCATTAATCCTCTTTACAAAAAAAATAGATCCCGAAATATATATATTTGAAAATCAGTGAACGTGATTATTGTGACTGGGGAGATGGCTGAAAGGGCTTCATCACAGTAACCTCAATACTGCTGAGACCACACAGAAATCTGCTTCGACATTTCTCTTCATACAAAATATATTAAAGGAGCCTTCTCTGAAGGCTTCTACACGGTGGAATGCTCTTCTAAACATTATAAAGTCACGTGTTACTCTTTGGAAAGATTTAAGACAGAATTGAAAAACAAACACTTAGTAAACAAAAGGTGTGATCGCTCTTCATTGGTCCAAAAGTGCTGACGCCACTGTGTGCATGAATGTGTGTGTTATGCTCTGGATATCTTCTGACTGTATACAGATGTGTATTTTATTGTATGTATGTGCTATTATTTTGCTAACACTTGTCTGAGGGGTGTTCTTTTCCCTCCCAGGGGACCACGGTTGTAAATTAGTCCAAGGCTCTAGTAGAATGCATCAAATGGAAATGGCGTGCAATATTATTTTTTTGTGTGTAACACAGATCAGAGAATCAAATACAGGAAATGCAACGATAAACACATGGTCTTTGGTCCATAAAAGGGCAGATGACCAGTGTCCATAAATCTTAATTGATGGATTCATGGACTACTTTTTCTTCCACTTTATTCGTTGCCGAGTCACAGGGGCAGCAGTCTAAGCAGAGACGCCCAGACTTCCCAATCAAGGGCATCCGGGAGGACCCCAAGGTGTTCCCAGGCCAGCTGGGAGTCATAGTCCCTCCAGCGTGTCCTGGGTCTTCCCCAGGGTCTCCTCCCGATCCATGAATGTCCTGGATAATCACGGACTGACGGGCTATATACTGACTTATGGTCAGAGCTCTACGTCCCCTCCCTCAACTTTGGGTAATGGCCGATTGTGAATAGAAGCGGTTCACATGAGTTTCCTCCACACTGCGACGGATAAAGTGGAAGGATGGACTGACGAAGTGTTTGTTTCATTCCTAATCTCTGAAATATATAAATATGTAAACTTAAACCCCGTCTCAACAGTAAGAAATAATTAAATCCTAGCGACTTGACAAAACTTGTCAGAAGGAAGGAAAACCTACAAAAACAAAGAGCTTGTCTCCACGGTAACGACTCCATGAGGATGAGTCAGCTCTGGAGAGGCGAGCTCATCCCAGGAAGGTGGAGATGAAGACGCTGGTGTCCAAGTTGAGGGTTGCGTGCCACCAGCGATCAGGAAAGAAGAGCGCCTGAGGAAACGTGTGGTGAGTGAGTTTGTTCTTATCTGCTTCTTCAGTTAGCTACTTTAGGATTAGCTTTAGCCTTGGTTACCTGTGTCAGCCTGTTGCTCACCTCTTTACTTTCTTGTTTGTCTTTGCTTTCAGTTAGCATTAGTCAGTTAGCTTTTATCATTAGCTCACCTCTTCAGTACAACTAGCATTATCTCGTTAGCTTTCCTCTCAGCACAGTTAGCATTAGCTTGTTAGCAACATTACCCTCTTGGCTCACCTCTCCAGGCCGGATGGTGCACTCCAGCGGGGCCTCCTCAAGGGGCAGGGAGCTGAGCGTGTGTGTGACCCAGGACAGAGTGCTCATGTTGGGGTGGAAGTGCGGCTGCTGCTCTGGAGGATACAGGAACCAGCGCTGGAGCAAACACAAACAACAATACCCACATTCAGAAGGTGTTTGCTGCCTTTCTCAACAAATGTATTTTCAAATGATTTCTGGGGCTTTAAAATGCTGTATGGGAGTGGTCTCTCTCTTACATTGGGGGTAGTCTGACCTTGCGTCCGTAGATGACCTCAGAGAACCCGGGACCATGCCAGTGGAATGGAACTCCAGTCCCTGCACCTGAAAATGCCAGGTTGCAGTATTAGCGCTATGAGTTTTAAAGCAGTCTAAAATAAATCTGAACTCTGAGGACATTAATATATATATATATTTTAAGTCTTTTTAAGGAGAATGCGCTGAAAACAATGTGTGGAAAGCTAAAAAGATTGAAATGGAGAAACTAGGAGTGTGATGCAGAGGCTGAACAGAACAAGTGCAGATGGTGCCTTCACATGTGTCTGCCAGGACATGACGAGGAAATCATGGAGACAAATTCTAAATTATTTGATTTGACAAAGCTCCTTTTAAAGGAATTAAAGCTTTTTGAGCAGGAATTGAAAATTGTCTGAAGTCAAATCAGCCTTGTCCACAACATCTACAAATTCTCAAAGTTTTTAGCTGAGTGTTCTACTCTATTTGTCAAATTTCTGACACTATTTGAATGGAATATAAAAAATATATTTAATGATACAAAATTCTCCTAATGAAAACTGTATAATGAATCTAATTATAACCCAAGCATAAAATTAAGTTCAACAAATATATATTGATTCTGTTTTATTGACCTCTGTTGAAAATGTAAAACAAATCACATACTGTATGTATTATGTATGCATGTATATTCTTTGATCTTCAATATTGGTATGTTCATTTGAGGTCATTAGGATGTTGAGGATTGTGTTTTTTTCACAACTTGAATTAAAACGTTTCCAAAAGTTCTTAACAGTTGCATTAGCAGTAGTGTTGTACCTGCAATCCCAAAGCTGTAGATGGCGCTGCGCTGTGGCAGGCTGAAGGGAGGAGGCTTGTACTCCGAGAACAGACTGTGCCACTCACTCAGGTTATTGTCCCCGAAGAAGTACAGAGTATCTGGAACAAGAGAGTACTTTTACTGAGTATTTGGAACATGAGAGTACTTGTACTGCATTGGAACAGGAGATTATTTTTTGCTGCAGTATTCAAAGTACATGACCTGTAGGGCATTTATCAGGACTGGACTGACTGAGTGTGACATCACCCCTAGTGTTAGCCTTAATGCAACATAAGCTAGCTACACCCAGTTTCCTTATACAGGCATTTGTTCTGATGCCGCAAGTTTTGTGTAAGCAAGTAATATTTATTTACAGTATATACCGCCTTTCACAGACCAGAGTCACAAAGCGGTTTACAATTGTGGGCATTTATCTCCTACTCCACACAGGGGCCGAGGTCGCCAGTACAGGACGCACACGCTATTGTACAAGTTTTTAGTGGTAGGGGAAACAGCGCACAGACACGGGGAGAACATGCAAACTCCACTCAGAAAGCCCCTGTTCCAACCGGGATTCGAACCCAGGACCTTCTTGCTGCTCCACTCAGCCACCCATACAAGCTTGAGTTTCCCCCGTGAATGAATCATGGTCCATTGTTTATACTGCTCATATCTGGATTGACAAAGACGATATAAACACCAGGTTCACAGAGAGCGCTAAACCTCAGATTTGAGCCTAAAATGATCAGTGTGACAAATGATTACAGAGCTAAGAGTTTACGTTTTCATGTAAGTTGATAGGAGCCAGAATTGGAGCCAAACTACACCATGAGCACTTCCTGATAGTGAAGGCAGAGTGGGTAGCTCCCCTGACATAACTACACGCACACACAACACACGCACACACAACACACGCACACATAACTACACGCACACACAACTACACGCACACACAACACACGCACACATAACTACACGCACACACAACACACGCACACATAACTACACGCACACACAACACACGCACACATAACTACACGCACACACAACAACACGCACACACAACTACACGCACACACAACTACACGCACACACAACTACACGCACACACAACACACGCACACACAACACACGCACACACAACTACACGCACACACAACACACGCACACATAACTACACGCACACATAACACACGCACACATAACACACGCACACATAACACACGCACACATAACACACGCACACGTAACACACACACACATAACACACACACACATAACACACATAACTACACGCACACATAACTACACGCACACACAACACACGCACACATAACTACACGCACACACAACACACGCACACACAACACACGCACACATAACTACACGCACACACAACACACGCACACATAACTACACGCACACATAACTACACGCACACATAACTACACGCACACACAACACACGCACACATAACTACACGCACACACAACACACGCACACATAACTACACGCACACACAACACACGCACACATAACTACACGCACACACAACACACGCACACATAACTACACGCACACACAACACACGCACACATAACTACACGCACACACAACACACGCAAACATAACTACACGCACACACAACAACACGCACACATAACTACACGCACACATAACTACACGCACACATAACTACACGCACACATAACTACACGCACACATAACTACACGCACACATAACTACACGCACACATAACTACACGCACACATAACTACACGCACACATAACTACACGCACACACAACACACGCACACATAACTACACGCACACATAACTACACGCACACATAACTACACGCACACATAACTACACGCACACATAACTACACGCACACACAACACACGCACACACAACACACGCACACACAACTACACGCACACACAACACACGCACACATAACTACACGCACACACAACACACGCACACATAACTACACGCACACACAACACACGCACACATAACTACACGCACACACAACACACGCACACATAACTACACGCACACACAACACACGCACACATAACTACACGCACACACAACACACGCAAACATAACTACACGCACACATAACTACACGCACACATAACTACACGCACACATAACTACACGCACACATAACTACACGCACACATAACTACACGCACACATAACTACACGCACACATAACTACACGCACACACACACACACGCACACATAACTACACGCACACATAACTACACGCACACATAACTACACGCACACATAACTACACGCACACATAACTACACGCACACACAACACACGCACACACAACACACGCACACACAACTACACGCACACACAACACACGCACACATAACTACACGCACACACAACACACGCACACATAACTACACGCACACACAACACACGCACACATAACTACACGCACACACAACACACGCACACATAACTACACGCACACACAACACACGCACACATAACTACACGCACACACAACACACGCACACATAACTACACGCACACACAACACACGCACACATAACTACACGCACACACAACACACGCACACATAACTACACGCACACATAACTACACGCACACATAACTACACGCACACACAACTACACGCACACACAACTACACGCACACACAACTACACGCACACACAACTACACGCACACACAACACACGCACACACAACACACGCACACACAACACACGCACACACAACTACACGCACACACAACACACGCACACATAACTACACGCACACACAACACACGCACACATAACTACACGCACACACAACTACACGCACACACAACACACGCACACATAACTACACGCACACATAACTACACGCACACACAACACACGCACACACAACACACGCACACACAACACACGCACACACAACTACACGCACACACAACTACACGCACACACAACACACGCACACACAACACACGCACACACAACACACGCACACACAACACACGCACACACAACACACGCACACACAACTACACGCACACACAACACACGCACACATAACTAAACGCACACACAACACACGCACACATAACTACACGCACACACAACTACACGCACACACAACACACGCACACATAACTACACGCACACATAACTACACGCACACACAACACACGCACACACAACACACGCACACACAACACACGCACACACAACTACACGCACACACAACTACACGCACACACAACACAAGCACACATAACTACACGCACACACAACACACGCACACACAACACACGCACACACAACACACGCACACGTCAGATTACGTCCACAAACGTGAAGCTGCTCTGTGTGTCCTAACAGCGCATCGTCAAAAGAAAGCACAGACAGCGCCCAATAAAATGTGAATAAAGAGTTGTTGACTGTTTGATAAAGTGTAGGCACCCCCTGTACATGTAATACTGCAGTACATTCTCCTGTGGTACTAGTACTTCATGCAGTACTGTGTAGTATTCTCACCGCTGCCCAGTGTGTCCGGCGCCTGAGGCCGCAACAGCTCGTTCACATACACCGAGAACAACACGTCCACTGCAGAGAGAACACTCAAGTAAGGACCAGGGAGAGGGAGGCCAGAGAGAGGGAGGGAGGCCAGAGAGAGGGAGGGAGGCCAGAGAGAGGGAGGCCAGAGAGAGGGAGGGAGGCCAGAGAGAGGGAGGCCAGAGAGAGGGAGGGAGGCCAGAGAGAGAGAGGGAGGCCAGAGAGAGAGAGGGAGGCCAGAGAGAGAGAGGGAGTCCAGAGAGAGGGAGGGAGGCCAGAGAGAGGGAGGGAGGCCAGAGAGAGGGAGGGAGGCCAGAGAGAGGGAGGGAGGCCAGAGAGAGGGAGGGAGGCCAGAGAGAGGGAGTGAGGCCAGAGAGGGAGGGAGGCCAGAGAGGGAGGGAGGCCAGAGAGAGGGAGGGAGGCCAGAGAGAGGGAGGGAGGCCAGAGAGAGGGAGGGAGGCCAGAGAGAGGGAGGGAGGCCAGAGAGAGGGAGGGAGGCCAGAGAGGGAGGGAGGCCAGAGAGGGAGGGAGGCCAGAGAGAGGGAGGCCAGAGAGAGGCAGGCCAGAGAGAGAGAGAAGCCAGAGAGAGAGAGAGAGAGGGAGACCAGAGAGAGAGAGGGAGGCCAGAGAGAGAGAGAGGCCAGAGAGAGAGAGGGAGGCCAGAGAGAGGGAGGGAGGCCAGAGAGAGGGAGGGAGGCCAGAGAGAGGGAGTGAGGCCAGAGAGAGGGAGGGAGGCCAGAGAGGGAGGGAGGCCAGAGAGAGGGAGGCCAGAGAGAGGCAGGCCAGAGAGAGAGAGAGGCCAGAGAGAGAGAGAGGGGCCAGAGAGAGAGAGAGGGGCCAGAGAGAGAGAGGCCAGAGAGAGAGAGGGCGACCAGGGAGAGAGAGGGAGGCCAGAGAGAGAGAGGGAGTCCAGAGAGAGAGAGGCCAGAGAGAGGGAGGGAGACCAGAGAGAGAGAGGGAGACCAGAGAGAGAGAGGGAGGCCAGAGAGAGAGAGGCCAGAGAGAGAGAGGCCAGAGAGAGAGAGAGGCCAGAGAGAGGGAGACCAGAGAGAGAGAGGCCAGAGAGAGGGAGGCCAGAGAGAGAGGCCAGAGAGAGGGAGGCCAGAGAGAGAGGCCAGAGAGAGAGAGGCCAGAGAGAGGGAGGCCAGAGAGAGAGAGGCCAGAGAGAGGGAGGCCAGAGAGAGAGAGGCCAGAGAGAGGGAGGCCAGAGAGAGAGAGGCCAGAGAGAGGGAGGCCAGAGAGAGGGAGACCAGAGAGAGAGAGACCAGAGAGAGGGAGGGAGGCCAGAGAGAGAGAGGGAGGCCAGAGAGAGAGAGGTAGGCCAGAGAGAGAGAGGTAGGCCAGAGAGAGAGAGGGAGACCAGAGAGAGGGAGGGAGGCCAGAGAGAGGGAGGGAGGCCAGAGAGGGAGGGAGGCCAGAGAGAGGGAGGCCAGAGAGAGGGAGGGAGGCCAGAGAGAGGGAGGGAGGCCAGAGAGAGGGAGGGAGGCCAGAGAGAGAGAGGGAGGCCAGAGAGAGAGAGAGAGGCCAGAGAGAGAGAGGGAGACCAGAGAGAGAGAGAGAGGCCAGAGAGAGAGAGAGAGAGGCCAGAGAGAGAGAGAGAGGCCAGAGAGAGAGAGGGAGGCCAGAGAGAGAGAGGGAGACAGAGAGAGAGGGAGGCCAGAGAGAGAGAGGGAGACCAGAGAGAGGGAGACCAGAGAGAGAGAGGGAGGCCCAGAGAGAGGGAGGCCAGCCAGAGAGAGGGAGGCCAGAAAGAGAGAGGAAGGCCAGAGAGAGAGAGGGAGACCAGAGAGAGAGAGGGAGGCCAGAGAGAGGGAGACCAGAGAGAGGGAGGGGGGCCAGAGAGAGGGAGGGGGGCCAGAGAGAGAGAGGGGGGCCAGAGAGAGAGAGGGAGGCCAGAGAGAGAGAGGGAGGCCAGAGAGAGAGAGGGAGGCCAGAGAGAGAGAGGGAGGCCAGAGAGAGAGAGAGAGAGGCCAGAGAGAGAGAGGGAGGCCAGGGAGAGAGAGGCGAGAGAGAGGGAGGCCAGAGAGAGAGAGGGAGGCCAGAGAGAGGGAGGGGGGCCAGAGAGAGGGAGAGACCAGAGAAAAGAGCTGTAGTACCTCACCTTTCCTGTAGGAGTGCGTGTTGGCTGTGCTCAGTCTCACCACTCTGTCTCCAAATTCTTTCAGTAAATTCTGTTTTTGGCACAAACGGCGGAATTTCTGTAAAGACATCAGAATTCAGTGAGTTAAAAAAACAGAAGGGGGTGGAAGGGACAAGCCTCATACAAAACGAGTTGTTGGGAACAAATCAGACACATCTATTTAATATAATTGGAAAACATGTTATCTTTTGTGAAAGAAAGAGCCCAGTGAGTCACTATTTGACTCTTTGGGCTGAGTGAGGGCAGTCCTCGTTTTCACTTTTCTGTCTGGAAAAAGCAGTCACAACTAAAGGCCAAACACACATTATGTGAAAACTAGCAATAGAAGCAAACTTGAACCCAGGAACTAGAGGCATTCATTACAGAGTATTGCTGTGTTCTGAAAGTTGTGTACCCTGGCTTTATTGATAAGTTTGTGGATGTGTTTGTACCGTGTTGTCAGTGAGGCCCCTGAGAATCACCGGGCGACTGAAGGCAAACCTGCAACACAACAACATCAATGAAACCAGAGAGAGACCAACAAGAGAGAGGACGGCACCTGTTCAAGAAGTCTGCAGATGAGATAGAGTCCACCACTTCGATGTTACAGCGCCCCCCATCGTCCAGTCTGGGATCTGCACTGCTGCGCCTGGACAGATAAATGTGCTATGTTCAGATAAATATTGAGATTTATTTAATGGGATACAATTTAGTCCTTTCAGTTAAATATTGTGATTATAATGTGTTATATTCAGTGTAACAATGTTTGAGATCGGTCCTCACCAGCCTCCGTCCTCTGCGCTCTCCCCGCTGCACAACAGGAGCCAGAGCCCGGGCAGCATGAGCAGCCAAGACCGCTCCATGGGGCTGCACCTGGGGCTGGGGCTGGAGCTGGGCCTGGGGCTGGGCCTGGGGCTGGGTCTGCGGGTTCGGGTCCGAGTCCGGGTCCAGAGGAAAGCGAAGGGAATGTCACTCCCGTATTCGTCCTGGAAACCGGATTCGTCCGGAAGTTCAGTTTGATCCAATGAGCAAACGCAGCAGTAGATTACGTCACGGAATCTGGACGGAAGCGGAAGTAAATATTAAAAACTACCTATTCATGCCTAAACTTAACCAGCCATTCCCATAAAATAACCCCAACCCAGCCTAAACCCTAAACTTAACCATCTTAATCAGACGCCTAAACTTAACCAGTCACCACTTAAGAACATATTAAACTTTTTGACATGCGCAAACTGAACTTCCGGACGAATCCGGCTTCCGGGACGAATACGGGAGTGACAAAAGTTGATACAAACCAAACAGTCTCGGCGTCGGTGTGTTACTTCCGGGTTCAGAGCCAATCAGAGTGCGCCACAATAAAACACGTCACAGTGTTTACATTTTTTTTTTTTTATCAAAGTATTAATAAATCTACCTCTGCATGAGGTCTGCCTGCCTCATGCAACAAATGAAAATGTAATTTTTGGGAAATGTGTAAATCTGTAAAGAAATATAAGAGTGCAGGGCACTTGCTGTTTGCTGTATGTAGCCATTGCTGAACTTGATGATTTTGTGTCACTAATCAACAGTTTTGACCCAAATCTTAAGTTCACTGCTCAATCCAACTCCTGCCAAGTGAGTTTTTTGGACATGTGGGTAATCAAGGACAAAGTCAGCATCATCACATCCCTGTATCGAAAAGAAACTGATAGAAACACACTGTTGTTGGCCTCCAATTTCCATCCCACACCCTTGAAAAAAGGCCTACCTATTAGTCCGTTTCTCCGTTTGAAAAGGATTTGCCATACCACTGACGATTACATTAAACAGGCCACAGATCTGAAAGTCAGATTTTTGCAACGAGGGTATCCTGTATCTTGGATTGATGACGCGTTTGAGCAAGCCCTTCACAAACCCCGCTCAGCACTTCTGAAAAAGAACAGTAAGAAACAAAAAAAGTTCTCTGTCACCTGTATCACACAATTCTCTACCCATTCTCCAGCCATCAAATCCACATTTTTGAAGTACTGGCACATTTTGACATCAGACCCAGAAATCTCTAATATTTTTAAAGACCCCCCCTCTTTTTGAAAACAAACGAGGACAAAATCTGAGGGACCGACTGGTGTGGGCCACCTTTACAAGTCCACCAAAGGAACCCTCACAAACACTGCTCCAACCGATTCCTACTGGGAACTACCGCTGTGGCTGCTGTGCTCAGTGCAATAACACTGCAAAAACTGATCATTTTTGCACCCCGCACACTGGTAAGAAATTCCCCATTAAAAGTGTGATTACATGTGCCTCCACACATGTAGTTTATATTCTTAAGTGCCCATGTGGTTTGGCCTACATTGGTAAAACTACAAGAAAACTAAAACAGAGAATCAGTGAACACAGAGCATCATCCGCAGGAACGACAGAGACTACCCTGTAGCCGTACATTTTAATGACCACAACCACGACATCAGTGCTTTAAGATTCTGTGGCATTGAGAAAGTCCCCCTTCTACCCAGAGGAGGAGACCACGACCGACTGCTCAAACAGAGAGACCTACTAAATCTACACACTTCAGACCCTAGCCCCAAAAGGCTTGAATGACGACTTCAATTTAAGCATATTTTTATGAGAAATGTTTTTTGATATTGTCAAGTCATCGATAGGTCATTTTGTACATGGTTTATTTTTCTTAATATAGTGATATGTGTATATGGTGAAATGTATATAGTACACTGGTGTTTCATTATTGCCTGGTCACTCTATACGTACCCTATTCAAATCCTGTCCAGTTTTTCAGTTTTTCTATTTTTTCTATTTATTTTATTGAATCAATCTCACTATAAATAGGTATGTAGCACATGTGTGTGTGTGTATATATATATATATATAGTATTCTGTCTGACTGCTATCTTTGAATGTCTCCACCTAGTGGTTCATGTGTTTTTTGTGCATTGCTCTGTGGGTGTAGTGACTGTACACCCTTGGGTGCCTGCCCCACCCTATTTAAGAGGACTTCCTGGTGCTCTTTTCATGTTTGCTTGATGAAGGCATGACGCCGAAACTTTGCAATTTAAATAAATATTTTTTAATTTGCAAGTAAGACGGTGTGCGGGATTATTCTCTCTCTGACATTAGGCTATACAGACCCCTCCTCCTATGCACCCGATCTGTAGGAATTGATGTGCGAATCCCTACTCCAGTCATTGCATTAACAGCCCATTTATGTTGGTTGTGCCCAAAAGAAAAAGGCTGTGAACAAATAAAACAGATTTAATGACAGCCATTGGCTGACATTATGCATTTCAGACATTTTTGAAATGTCCCATTCTCCTCCCTGTAACAAACAACAATAGAGTTGGTCTGTGGCCATCCCCCTCACTGTAGTGACATGTTTATTACTCTCTCGTAATGTTAATTGTTGAAACTGCTTACATCCTCTACAGTATGTGCTTCCGCATACCGTATAAATAATCATATATATTTATTTTTTTTAATGTAAAAACCCGGCCAGGCCATCAAGGAGGCAAAAATGCCTGGTCCGGTTTTTGGTCCCAGTCCAGCCCTGGGGACACAGCGCTTGAGAACATTTGTCTTCACCCTGAGTTGACATTCTACTGTGACTGTAAACAAGAGCTGCTACGGAAGTAGTGTGAGCATCAAAGCCAGATTGACTAAACTCATTTGTGCCCTTAAAGGAATAGTTCACCGTTTTTACATACTGACATATGTTCTTACCTTACCTTAGACTAGTTAATACGTACCTGTCTGGTCTTAGTCCGTGCGCTCTGTCATGCAAACGGAGCAAAAACGGGAGCACAAATGCAGCCTCCTCTGTATATTTTGTAGCACCAAAAGGTAGCTCCCGCTAGAAGCTAAACTCTTCCAAGTGTTCCCTATTAAATGTATATAGTTACGTGACGTGTTACACTGCAAAGTATAGTAACACAGAAATGTAACAGTCGATTTTCTCAGCGGATAAAACGGGTACTATATTGTGAGGCGTAGTAATCTGAGGTGCGCTACGTCCGCGCACTAACTTCTCTCCGGAGACTTCTCTCTCGCTCACTTCCGTCAATAGAAGCAGCGTGACTTGTAGTGCACACAGTAGCAGCGAGAGAGAAGTCTCCGGAGAGAAGTTAGTGCGCAGACGTAGCGCTCCTAACTTCTCTGCGCACTAACTAAGCTTCTAACGGGAGCTACCTTTTGGTGCTACAAAATATACAGAGGAGGCTGCATTTGTGCTCCCGTTTTTGCTCCGTTTGCATGACAGAGCGCACGGACTAAGACCAGACAGGTACGTATTAACTAGTCTAAGGTAAGGTAAGAACATATGTCAGTATGTAAAAACGATGAACTATTCCTTTAAAAACGCACGTCCATGCAGCGGTGGGAACACTGCTTTACACAGTTACTTATTATTAAGTAAGTTTGTATTACTATTCATACTTACTTCCATTTCTTTCAGTTCCACAGACTGTATGTGGACAGTCCGAGTGTGATATCACCATTACTAACATTGTTCTCTCCCTATGGACCCTTGTGTTCTTTTGTGTCTTAACTGTTGATTCTCTGATCTGTGATGGTGATTTCCACGGTTTTGTTAAGTCCTCTGAGATGACTACTGTTGTGATTTAGGGCAATACAAGAATAAAGTGAATTGAATGGAATTATTCTTAATGCAGAAGAGGTGGATTTGAACATAAGTGAGATGGAGCCAGTTTCATTAAATGGGCATTTATTCCTTCTTCGATAATGTTAGCTTTGCACCATAACAGGGACAGGGACAGACGTGTTGCTAAGACGGTTGCTAAGGCCAGCTGGAGCGTGCAACCATCACAACAGGCACTACTGTCACTTGTACCCTCCAGGCCCTCTTCAGCTCCTCTCTGAGCCCTTGTTATAGTTGTCTTGGTCCAGTAGCCCATATCTCATCAAGGTGCTCTGGTTCCCCAACACCTGACGCAGACCTTGACCTTGTATATTCTCTCTCTCTGTTTGATTCTCTGGTCTGCTGTTGGTGAATCCACAACTTTATTAAGTCCTTCAAGACGACTGCTGTTGTGACGTTAGGGCGATACACAAATACACCTATTTGAATTGAGATTTTTTTATTCATAGTTTCAGAAACAGATCATTCAATTTCAACAGTGTTGTCTTTACACTTAAAACATCATCACATTTGCAGATTCAAGAGTTCTTCAAACTCCAGGAAAACCCCAGTTGCTGCAGTAAAAGTACTTTTACAGTCCACTCACGTCATATAGTAAAAATACAAATTTCTGCAAAAACATCATAACTTCATTTATAAAGAGAGCAGCAATTTCAACCCATAAAAGAAACTGGCTTTAAACTAGGACCAGATAGAGGGCCCGGCTTCAGTAGCACCGCTATATCGGACAATATTTGGTTGTGCTATTTGTATTAGATAGATATATATTAACAAATAAAATCTATAAAATACAGAATTAGAAAGAGGACATTATTTAATCTTATAAGTACATCCTATGGCTGAATGGATGAAGTGGTTTGAATTGATAAATTGAATTGATTAAGCCAACGTTGTTACAGCGTTATGATTATGTTTATGGTTATGTTATTTTTAGAAACCCTATTCTATGCTAAGCTAACGTCAACATCTCTGAAACCAAAGCAGAGTGCTGAAAAGTGCTGTGGAAATAAAATGTATTAAATCTGCTTTCTTGGTTTAGCTTTAGCTTAACCTTTAGCATTGGCATTAGCATTAGCCTGAACATGGAAATCTCACCTCCTCATTTGTCCCATCCAGTAACGAAAAATGACACCAGTAATAATAATTTGACAGACAAACTCTACAAATAAAATCTATATATTATTCACAATCTGTTGGCAGAAGAGGCCTCATTCATTGCTTGTACATAAAATTCTACAATTTTTCCTTCACATATGAGTAATTTATAACTTGTGTCTTAGTGAGACAGCAGCAGGCAGAGCAGGGGCCCCAGCAGCACGGGCAGGATCTGGGCCAGGGTCAGGGCCAAGGACAGACTGGGCGCTCCGCTGGAGAAGCTGCCGTCTGGATTAATGAATCCAGCAGTGTTGGACACGTGACCCGAGATCCAGGTCTGGTACCTGGAGACTCGGGCATAAACCCCAGGGAACAGTTTCAACGCACAGCCCTTCCCGAAGCTGACCACGCCCATCTGCACCCACGACCCGTTGATCTTCAGAACCAGGGGCCCGCCAGAGTCGCCCTGTTGCACAGAGAAAACTTTACACAGCACTGATCCAGATCTGAGTCCAGGTTAATAATATCAAACTGAATCATGTTTGTGTTTGTGTACGTGCGGGTGTGTACATGTATGTGTGTACGTAGAACAGGAGAAATGTATTTTATTGAACTATTGAAGTTTGCAGTAATAATCTGTGTGCTCTGTTTCCAACAGTTAATGGATTAACAAACCACTCTGTTAAATTGCCGTTAGAACTAACCTCCAAAGATAAGTGGAATGAGGTTGCACAGTTCTTCAAGCCATCCAAATCCTCCACAACACCAATAACAAGTCAAAGGTCGTGAGGCTTTTTGAAGCTAACTCACTTTACACCTGTTGATGATGAAACTGTCCGAGAGATAATCATAAGTCTGAGATCCTCTACATGCAGCCTGGATGTACTACCCACTAGATTACCCACAAGTCCGTTCTGAGCAGTTTCCTTCATTCATGCAAATGGTAAACATTGCATTAGTCCAGTCCTCAGGTCTCTGCACTTCCTGTGGCTCAGAGAATAGACTTTAAAGCAGCTCTGTTTGTTACAAGTCTCTCCATGGCCTCGCACCAAAGTACATCTGAGACATGTTGGTGCCATATGAACCAACCCGGACTCTAAGAAGCACAGAAACTGGCCTCCTGCTGGTGCCCAGGGTCAGGACTAAACATGGGGGGGCATTGTTTCAGATTTATGCAGCTAAAATCTGGAACAGTCCTCCTGCAAATCCATATTGAAGACAGTTCTGTTTGGCTAACAGACTGTATCGTTACTCCTTTGAATGCATTGTGGTTATCTATTATCTTAATGATTATTTTTAATGCCCTGTGAGATTTTAATGTATGTTTTTAATAATCTGTGTGATCTTAATTGTTGTTTTTGATGCCCTGTTTTTAATGTTTATGATTGATGCCTGATGTGACAGGGGTTGTGAAGCGCTTCATGGATTGCTCTCTGAGTGTTGTTAGCGTGTACCTGGCAGGAGTCCTTGCCCTCCTGTCCCGCACACAGCATGTTATCAGTGATGTCGATGTTGCTGCTGCTGTAGCGGGAGTCACACGAGGTCTGAGACACGATGGGGACGCTGACCTCCTGCAGGCGCTGAGGGAACGGCAACGGGACTAGAGGACAGAGACCAGAGAGAAAACCAGAGGTTAGACACTAGAGACCAGAAAGAGACCCAGAGAGAAACCAGAAAGAGAGACTGGAATGTGAGGGTTGTTTTTTAGAGATTAGAGAGACAAAATAATCTTCAATGTGTCTCTCTAATCTGTCGATTTAAAAAAAAAGATAAAATATATATATATTTTTATATAATATATAATATAATATATAATATATATATAATATAAAAAAAAGTTCATGTTTTAGTGGAAAAATGTCTTCAGTAGAAAATATGTGAAGTTATTCAAGGGTAAAAACCACAGAGTAGAGTAGAAAAGGCCAGAGCAGAGTAGAGCATTCCAGAAAGCAGAGTAGAGTAGAGTAGAGTAGAGTAGAGTAGAGTAGAGTAGAGTAGAGTAGAGTAGAGTAGAGTAGAGTAGAGTAGAGTAGAGTAGAGTAGAGTAGAGTAGAGTAGAGTAGAGTAGAGTAGAGTAGAGTAGCCATGGACACTGACCATCAGAGTTGATAGTCCCCCAGCCGGTCACGTAGGTGCTGGTGCCATCGCTCGGCTTGTTACCGGCGGCAGATAGACAGACCGGCTGGATGAAGTTTGTGAAGTTCACGGTGTCGGAGAGGCGCAGCAGGCTAATGTCGTTATCGTTGGTGTCTGGGTTGTAGCTCGGGTGGTTGATGATCTCTGAGACCCTGCGGGACACCTCGTTAGCGTTGGACTGCTTCTGCGTGTCCCGCCCGAGGTACACGACCAAACTGGAGGTGCTGGGGCTGAAGGGACCAAAGGAGACTGGGTTTAGAGACAAACTGACCCTGGTCTACAGCCTCAGGCTGGATCCTGGTCTTAGTCCTGGTCTCAGTCCTGGTCTCAGTCCTGTTCCTGGTCTCAGTCCTGTTCTCAGTCCTGGTCCTGGTCTCAGTCCTGGTCCTGGTCTTACGGGCTGAAGCAGTGGGCAGCGGTCAGGATCCAGCGGTTGTTGATGAGGGAGCCTCCACAGAAGTGTCCCCCGGAGCGAGTGAGCGAGGCCTGCCAGGGCCAGGAGCCCGCGGCTGCATCCTCCCCCCCAACGATCCGAGTCCTGGTGTTCAGAGGGGCCTGGCCACACACTACACACAAACACATTTTTCTTTATAAACTGCTGCTGTAGTCACAAAGCATCCACGGTGAACTCTACAGCTCTCTACTGGTGGGGACGATTTGTCCACAAAATTCGATTATGTGTTTTGATTCAGCTGCTCTTTTGGCTCTGCAGGCCGCAGTGCTACTGCGTGTTTGGCCAGATTTAATAAAGGCAATTCAGGGTGCTCTTAGGAGAGCTGATGGAATGGGTCTGACAGTGGTGTTCATGTGGCAGATTCATCCATTCATTTTCTTCCCCTTAATCCCTTTCTGGGTCTGGGGGTGGCAGTCAGAGGTGCACCCAATTCACAGAGCACCAGCCCCTCACTGATCCTCCTGCAGGTGCTGAGTCCACAGGAGGATGGCCGCTCTACTTGGCTGCCTTGATATTTCAGTGGGGCTTCAGGCAAAGTGGGGTTAAGTGTCTTGCTCAAGAACACTTTAGATTACATTAGTGTAAAACCAATTTAAGTTTAAAACATTGCTGTATTGTTGCAAAGAGAGTTTGGGAACTCGTGACATATATGAAACAGTCTCTGCAGTAATCGTATTTATCATCTCAACTCAACCAACTTGTACGTTCGGATTTAAGCGCTGAATGCAACCTAAGAGAGGCAGCAATGCGCAAGGAGATGCCTAGCCTACTCCAAACACAAGAAGAAGAAGAAGAACTGCTGCACATGCTCAGAGGCCACAGAAAGAAGCTAGCTGCTGGTGGTGGACCATGGATCTATTATATATCTACTGTACATAATATCGGGAGTTCCGCTAAACTTGCTGTCCCCATGGTGACACATGCGCCACTGAGCACAGGCTCTGGATTTGAATAGGCATTTTGGCTCGCCGGGGCTTGGGGATGGACCCAAGCATCTGAATCGCACAATAGGGAAGAACATGTTTTATCTTAATCTTACATGGACCTGACTGTGGACCATCTGAAGACCTCAGGTTGAGGACCCCCGGTTGTGATGGATTGTGGTGTGTTTTATTCAAACCACACAGTCAGAGTCTGTGTGATTTCAGGGAAATGCAGCAGAAATAACATTGCATTCAAATCAGGTCAGACGACCAACCAGGTGTAGGGAGTTTGAAAACAGTATGTACAGACAGAAGGGAAGGGGCCACAGTGATCCTTCACTCTTTTAAAATTCTGAAAATCGTTTTTAAAATTAGAATCAAAACAAAAAACAAATGTGAGAAAGTAACTGACATAAACATGACAAAATTTTACATTTTCATCATAAGCAAATGAGGATGAGTTCTGAAACTCCTGCAGTGATGTCACACAAACACCAGCTGCTCTTATTATACTGGGTGTAATCCCTCAGATCAAATACATTAATACAATAAAAACTGGCCTCCTTGCACTGCACTTGTGAACTGGTCTCCCCCAGCCAGGGGTCCTCGCAGGCTGCACCCCCTTCCTACCTGTAAGCCTCCTCAGTCCTGGATCTACAGCCTCAGTCCTGGATCTCGGTCCTGGATCTACAGCCTCAGTCCTGGATCTCGGTCCTGGATCTACAACCTCAGTCCTGGATCTACAGCCTCAGTCCTGGATCTCGGTCCTGGATCTACAGCCTCAGTCCTGGATCTACAGCCTCAGTCCTGGATCTACAGCCTCAGTCCTGGATCTACAGCCTCAGTCCTTGATCTACAGCCTCAGTCCTGGATCTCGGTCCTTGATCTACAGCCTCAGTCCTGGATCTCAGTCCTGGATCTACAGCCTCAGTCCTTGATCTACAGCCTCAGTCCTGGATCTCGGTCCTTGATCTACAGCCTCAGTCCTGGATCTCAGTCCTGGATCTACAGCCTCAGTCCTTGATCTACAGCCTCAGTCCTGGATCTCGGTCCTGGATCTACAGCCTCAGTCCTGGATCTCGGTCCTGGATCTACAACCTCAGTCCTGGATCTCGGTCCTGGATCTACAACCTCAGTCCTGGATCTACAGCCTCAGTCCTGGATCTCGGCCCTGGATCTACAGCCTCAATCCTGGATCTACAGCCTCAGTCCTGGATCTACAGCCTCAGTCCTTGATCTACAGCCTCAGTCCTGGATCTCGGTCCTTGATCTACAGCCTCAGTCCTGGATCTCAGTCCTGGATCTACAGCCTCAGTCCTGGATCTCAGTCCTTGATCTACAGCCTCAGTCCTTGATCTACAGCCTCAGTCCTGGATCTCGGTCCTGGATCTACAACCTCAGTCCTGGATCGACAGCTTGTTTGTCCTCCAGAATCCTCTCTCAATACTGGCCTCCCAAGGTTTCTCACATTTTTTCCCACTAGGTTTCTGAGTGGTTACTTGTCGATGTAGGGGGTCAAAGGACTGTGATTTGAACTGAAGTGATTGGAATTTCTGAACTATTTCAGATTATCTTGCGCGTCATATTCTGTGGCAAAAGGTGCATGTAAAAATTAGGAAAACTTACCATTGGGCTGAGCAGCAACTCCTGAAACACACAGCAGTTATCACAAAGATTAGATATACAGGGCTCTGTGCTCGTCCTGTGGAGTTTTTTGTCTTTTCAAAGTGTTTTCTCTGCGCTCTGACAGTTTTCTCATCCCTGCAGTTGTATCAGATAGATTCCTGATGAGTCTGCATTCAGGAATCATTGTTCTGACCATCCTCATTTGCCCTGGGTCACAGCCACTGTTCTGTGTTTGTCTTAATATGTGACACATGGAGGGTTCAGTAGTGCCACACAGACATTTTGGGACAGATGTAATCACTGCTCTCTCTCTCTCAGGCTGAAAATTATCCTTTATTTCATTGAATATATGTTTTTATTCAATTCGCGTTGTCTCGACAAGCAAGTATAAAGTACTGTATATTCTAATGCAAGAAATATAGTTGTATGTTGTATGTACAGTACATCTCTACATGTTACAGCATGAGGGTATGGGACCAAGTGACTAAGATGAGCAACAGTGGACACATATTGCCCATTCTGACATTAGTTCAAGATACTACACCAATGAGGTCAGGTCGACACTGTTTGTTGGCCCACATTGTTCTTTTTACAGTCTGACAGAACCCAGTAGAGCGCCCAGCCGCTCTACTGGGAGAAGCTCTCCCGGAGGTGTGAGTTGAAAGTCCGTCTGACAGCGTGTTCAGCGAGACGTTCCCAGCAGACCCTCACTACACGCTTGGGTCTGCCAGGTCTGACCGGCTTCCTCCCCTGCCAGCGGATCCAACTCACGACCAGGTGTTGATCGGTTGGCAACTCCGCCCCTCTCTTTACCCGAGTGTCTGAGACACGCGGTCGAAGATCAGATGATACGACAACAAAGTTGATCATCGACCTCCAGCCTAGGGTGTCCTGGTGCCACGTGCACTGGTGGACACTCAGTCCAACAACTGAACACCGCTCGGGTTCAGATCAGGGCCGTTCTTCACAATCACCCATGACCAGGTGTCTCTGGCATTTCCCACATGGGCGTTGAAGTCCCCCAGGAAAATAACGGAGTCCCCGGTCGGTGCACCGTCCAGTACCCCTCCCAAGGACTCCAAGAAGGCCGGGTACTCTGCACTGCTGTTAGGCCCGTAGGCCGTCACAACAATGAGAGACTTGTCCCCCACCCGGAGGCGGAGGGACGCGACCCTCTCATTCACCGGGGAGAACTCCAACACGTGGCGGCTGAGATGGGGGGCAATGAGAATGACCACCCCCACTCGCCGCCTCTCCCAGAGAGAAACACCAGAAAAGTGGAGCGTCCAACCCCTCTCAAGGAGTTGGGTTCCAGAGCCCAAGCTGTGTGTGGAGGTGAGACCGACTATCTCTAGTCGGTATCTCTGAACCTCCCCCACGAGCCACGTCCCAAGAGCCAGATTTTGTGTGTGTGGACTGGGTCGTCGAGGCCTCTGCCTCTGCCTTTGGCTACTGCCTCAGTCCTCTCTGCACCTCTCCACCAGGATCCCTCTGTGGGTGGTGGGTCCATAGGCGGGCCTGCTCACGTCATCCCCTTGGGTTGAGTCCGGCTGGGCCCCATGGGCTAAGGCCCGGCCACCAGACGCTCGCCTACAAGCCCCAACCCCAGACCTGGCTTCACTTCACTGATAAAAAACAATAAAAGAAATAAACCTGTGTGTTTGGCAATATTCCAACAGACGTGTTTGATCTGCAGTGACATGAAACTAGAACTGCGTCAATCTGAAGCCGGTTTCACTGGTTCCATCAGATACAGGTTCTCAGCTTTTCCACTGATCAGTATTGATTTTAGTGACTATCACACAGACCGACTGGAGTTCATCTGCAGTAATATGGTGTACATCAGGGGTGCCCACACTTTATCAAACCAAGATCTACTTTTACAGTGACCATTGAGCTGTGATCTTCCTCGGATTTGTGTGTGGTTAAAACCCGGAAAAACCGTTTGATTAGATTGATGATGCATGGGATGTGATCTTTTACATTTACAATTAGACAAACATCTGCCACGTTCTTTGTAGACCCGTCCTGCTCCACCTCTGCTGCTGTGACCTGAAGGGCCGTTGCTGATTATTACTATTGTTATCTTTTTAGAATGATCAATTTTATGTTTTATTTTTGCTGCTACTGGACGCGTGAATTTCTCCTACGGGGATCAATAAAGTCTCTATGTTATTTGCAAGAAACACATCGTTCGCTACTTTTTATTTGACTAAATATCTTTAAATTGTATGATCTTGGTGATTTATACACAGCAGTACTGTACATCCCGGCTCTTGTGATGCATGCTTCCTCAGTTTTTACAAAAGATGTTTCAAACTAGAGAATGCAGATACAACCAAAGAGGGACTGATTTGCTACAAAAACCCTGTGTCTATCAGTCCAAAGAGTTGATCTATGGAACGATCTACCGACACATCTTAAGGGCTCTATATCTATTAGAACTTATACAAGTATAACTTAAACACGACTCCATTAACGTTGTTACGCAGCACACTTTGTTACGCAGCTCGAGCTCCAGAGGTGACTGACAGGAGAGAGAAACCAAAACAGCCGCTGCACATGGTCTGCTACAGTATGTGTTCGCTTCTATGCTGTTTGTCTGCTATTGTTTTAAAGGAGACACTTCGACAGTAAGACAGAAGAGTTGTGTATCGGTTTGGTTCAGATCAGCTTGAGAGTAAGTCCAGTTTCATGGTAAACAGGCAGTCTTTGGTCAGAAACACAGATTTCCAAGACACTTCTCCATGAATAGAAACATTTTTGGACTTTGGTCATCTTCTCTCTATGGACCAATACCAAAGTGTTTTCTGTCATTGCATCTCTTGTGTTTGAACGGTTTGATTCTCTCTTTTGTGTTGGTGAATTCAACGGTTGTGTAAAGTCCCCCGAGGTAACAACTGTTGTGATTTAGGGCTATTGCGTGTGGTGCTGTTCCCAGTGTGCGTCTGGTAGTCTAGTGTTCCCTGTGTATGTGTGTTGCTTTAATCTGTGTGTGTGTGATGCTGTTCTCTGTCTGTGTGTGTGTGTGTGAGTGATGCTGTTCCCTGTGTGTGTGTGTGTGTGTGTGTGTGTGTGTGTGTGTGTGTGTGAGTGATGCTGTTCCCTGTGTGTGTGTGTGTGTGTGTGTGTGAGTGATGCTGTTCCCTGTGTGTGATGCTGTTCCCTGTGTGTGATGCTGTTCCCTGTGTGTGTGTGTGTGTGTGTGTGAGTGATGCTGTTCCCTGTGTGTGTGTGTGTGTGTGTGTGTGTGTGTGTGTGTGTGTGTGTGTGTGTGTGTGATGCTGTTCCATAATGACATAATGACACAGTGTACTGACCAAATAAACGAATCAATAAAATAGAATAATAGATGTTAGTGATTTATTTAACAAGAACAGAATATAACTATATTATCAGTTCAACTCAAGAGAGTACCTGTATTTCTGGTTGCTGCGGGTGAAACTCACTACAGACCGGTTCGAGAGGAATGTCCCTGCGTCTGAGCTCTGGAATTTTTAGACTAAAGAAAATGATTAAAGAGAACAAACGACAGGTTTGTGTTTTTAACATCTGCACAGGTGATCCCTCTGGGGTCTTCTACTGTTAGAGCCTGATTCAGCAAGGCAACTTTATTTACATAGCACAGTTCACACACAACTATTAGCTGGAGAGACTTCACCATGTCTCTATTGTGCTCCATTGAGATACCATCTGTGTACCGTGTGACCTATGACTAAGGAGAATGTTCCTCAGTCAAACCGGTCAGTCCACAGATTGTTTGTTTTGTTTTAAAGGAGACACTTCGACAGTAAGACAGAAGAGTTGTGTATCGGTTTGGTTCAGATCAGCTTTAGAGTAAGTCCAGTTTCATGGTAAACAGGCGGTCTTTGGTCAGAAACACAGATTTCCAAGACAGTTCTCTATGAATAGAAACATTTTTGGACTTTGGTCATCTTCTCTCTATGGACCAATACCAATGTGTTTTCTGTCATTGCATTTCTTGTGTTTGAACGGTTTGATTCTCTCTTTTGTGTTGGCGAATTCAACGGTTGTGTAAAGTCCCCCGAGGTAACAACTGTTGTGATTTAGGGCTATTGCCTGTGGTGCTGTCCCCTGTGTGTGTATGTGCGTGTGGTGCTGTTCCCAGTGTGCGTCTGGTAGTCTAGTGTTCCCTGTGTATGTGTGTTGCTTTAATCTGTGTGTGTGTGATGCTGTTCTCTGTCTGTGTGTGTGTGTGTGAGTGATGCTGTTCCCTGTGTGTGTGTGTGTGTGAGTGATGCTGTTCCCTGTGTGTGAGTGTGAGTGATGCTGTTCCCTGTGTGTGTGTGTGTGTGTGTGTGTGTGTGTGTGTGTGTGTGTGTGTGAGTGATGCTGTTCCCTGTGTGTGTGTGTGTGTGAGTGATGCTGTTCCCTGTCTGTGTGTGTGTGTGTGTGTGTGTGAGTGATGCTGTTCCCTGTGTGTGTGTGTGTGTGTGTGTGTGTGTGTGTGTGTGTGTGTGTGTGTGTGTGTGTGTGTGTGTGTGTGTGATGCTGTTCCCTGTGTGTGTGTGTGTGTGAGTGATGCTGTTCCCTGTGTGTGTGTGTGTGAGTGTGAGTGATGCTGTTCCCTGTGTGTGTGTGTGTGTGTGTGTGTGTGGAGTGTGAGTGATGCTGTTCCCTGTGTGTGTGTGTGTGTGTGTGTGAGTGTGAGTGATGCTGTTCCCTGTGTGTGTGTGTGTGTGTGTGTGTGTGTGTGAGTGATGCTGTTCCCTGTGTGTGTGTGTGTGTGTGTGTGTGTCAGTGTGAGTGATGCTGTTCCCTGTGTGTGTGTGTGTGTGTGTGTGTTGTGAGTGTGAGTGATGCTGTTCCCTGTGTGTGTGAGTGATGCTGTTCCCTGTGTGTGTGTGTGTGTGTGTGTGTGAGTGATGCTGTTCCATAATGACATAATGACACAGTGCACTGACCAAATAAACGAATCAATAAAATAGAATAATAGATGTTAGTGATTTATTTAACAAGAACAGAATATAACTATATTATCAGTTCAACTCAAGAGAGTA